ACTGAGGGGCAGACAAGCTATGATTGCAGCAGAGGTGGCAAAGACGGAAGCATCAATGGAGGCCCCTTCTTCCAATCTCAAACAAACGGACGTCAGTCTCAGGCGGGCTGACACTATGCGTTCACTCGGTTCTTGATACTCTCGACAGATGTCGAGAAGTTTGTTTAACGAGAACATGGCACCCTCCTTCCCAGAAGGAAGACACGAAAGCAAGTCCATGACGAGGTCTTCGGCAACATCAACGATAGCCAAAGCCCGTTCAGCGAGATTCCCCTTGTCTTTGTCGCGTAAATCGTGCAATTGCTGCTTGAACGAATTGATGTCATCTGCAGTGGCAGCAGGGTCCACATCTATGCCCATTCCCACAGGTGCCGGCTCTTCCACTTCAGCATCTTGCGCTGTGGGTGGGGCATTTTCGACAGGCGCAGGAGCGTCATCGACAACTTCTTCGACAGCCTCATCGTGAGGTGGGGCGGGAAGCTCGCCGTCAAACTCATGAGGTACAGTCAACAAAAGGTCCGTAGCCGCAGCGACATTGTTTCGAGCCCGCACGAGAGCTTGCGTAGCTGATCCACGGGGGAAGCCCATGTCCACTAACTGGTCGATATGGCCAGAATCCGCTGTGACAACAGGGGGTCGATGATGCTGGGCGATGATGTGGATACCTCGACTCGCCACCGCGGGAATGGCCAACGGCTCCTCGTGCTTGCCTTCCATCAGAGTTGAGTAGCAGTTGACCACCGCTTTGATGATGTATGTAGGGCACTCTAACAGCCAAGAAGCCTCCCAGACATGACGAGCAAGCGGGAATACAGCAAGACGGAGCTTGAGGAACATGGTAGTAGGCGCAAAGGGGTGTTGCGCCTGGCCTGGCTGCACAGATGCAAGCGCATGCGTTTCAGGGCTGTCCAGGAGCGCTCGAGTAGATACGAACGTGTTGCACATGAAGAGGACTGTCTTCAAAGCTTGTAGCGCTTCTTCGTGACGGTCTTTCTCTCCTTGACTCCTGTTCTCTAGCGGCACAGTAGAGGCATGATCGATATGATCAACGATGCGTCGGGAGGATTCTAGTAGCTTGTCGAACCCTCCTTTGCGTTCAAACACCAAGAACAGCGAAGTATTGAGATGCCCCTCCAAACCTCGACCTGACTTTCAATTAGCATTATACACGTTGAAGGATAACGTGTGATTATCCTCACCGTCAAAGAGTGTGGATAAAACTGTCCCTAGTGCGAAGCCATCGATAGCGAAAGCATCGGGAAGCGAGTCCCGTACATCTATGAAGAGACTGATGAGCCCCTCACATATGACCGGCATTGCCAGTACGTGCACGACTCACCCGACAAATGGTCAATGAGGATGTCAGCCACGCAAGCAGAAAGAAGTTGGCCCTGCTCTTGATGAGCCTGGTCGCGCCCCCGCTTGATGTAGATCAGTCGAACAAGACCTGTGTTTACCGTCAGATACAAGAAGCCTTCGCCAGCCAGGAGTAGGATGCTCACATTTGAAAAATTTCGACAGTATGGCATGGAGCCGAGTAGAAAGATATCGCACGCCAGGTTCAGTGGCCTGTTCTGGAGTTGCGCCTTCCTCGACGGGAGGCGCTTTTGGTGGCCGTGAGAGGACGTGGAACCTAAAACAGAGGCGATGGACCTTGCCCAACGACTGGATGAAGGCTGGGTCATTCTGGACATTGAAAGATTTGATAACCGCCGTGGCCACCTTGGGATTTGAGCCAGATAGCGCATACAAAGCGTCACCAAAGAGTGTTAAGCGCACAGCAATGCTCTGGAGGACCCGAAATTTCATCTTCAGACTATCGTTAGCTCGCCCCTCACGTACAGTCTGCCATTGATCGATGGCGTCGTTGACCATCCAGAATTCGGTGCTTTGACCGAGTGAGGCTTCGATCGATTTGATTATGGTGTCAAGGAATTGAGCGTGACATGATTCGATGGCATACTTCATCAGATGCGCGAGGGCCATCGCGGCCGTTGTGGCTCCAAATCTGATGGGCCAGCAAGGCGAGTCTGTCATCAGCATGAGAGTGTCGAGACCCGCCTCATTGACGAAATCCTTGACGATCGTGGCATTGCGCAAAAGACCGCTGAGCATCTGAGTTTTTGCATTAATGTAGCTCCTGCACCAGACCAGACACGTACCTTGAAGACTCTCGTAAAAGCTGCCAAAGGCTTGTTGGTCGGTGCAGGTTTGGAAGGCTGGGTCTCCAGTGAGGGGACCATTTGAGTAGATATCTCATCAACCAGATAATCCAATCGTTCTTCGTCTTTCGGCTCAAACGTTGCGCCAAATTCGTGTGCCTTCTTTAATACGTCGATCACTGCAGTGATGATTACCGGCCGGAGGGAAGGATGGTGCCGGGCAAGTTCGTCGAGTGACAAGCCAAGATTTTTGGCGTTGTCCCGCTCATTGAAGATCTGCTCATGTCGTGGTGATACAACAGTATAGACGAGATTGGAAATAATTCCAGGATGGGCGACCGTATAGTCTAAACCAGCTTGATTGAGACAGACTGCACCCACAGCGTTTGAAAGGGACGAAAGGACCTAACACAAGCTTCATTAACATGATATATCCTGACGAAACAGCACACGTACCTCGCTGGAAGGGGGGATATCGTTCTCTAGTTCATCATAAAGGGTCTGCGGGAGCTGCATTTCTTGCAGGATTGATAGTGACGTGGGCTCGTTGTGGACGAATGTAGCCATCGTGTTGATTGCTAGAAGTATATTCAGCGCCTATCTTTGGTTGGATTCCGTCCACTGACCTAGAGCAAAGACACGAGGCCCAAACCGTGAAGAGTTTTGGAAGATGACCTTCAATGATCTGGGCAAGTCGGAGTCTACCAGGTTTCTGAGGCCTTCAGTACCGCCCGATGCTTGCATCAATCTCTGAATGGATCGCAATACGCTCTTCAGCGGATTGTTCACCGCGGCGAGGATCGTCTCTTCCGACATCGTCTCCGAAGGAGCCTCGTCTACAATTTGCAGTCTTTGCTGGATTTCTGATTTGATCCACAAAACGAGAGCATTGACGCCATCAATGCCGCTGAAATTGGACAAGCCTTGGGGGTTGGAGAATATGATACTGTCAATCAATCCGGTCGCTCTTGGTATGCACTGGAAGGACGTGAGCGATGACTACGGGAAAGATGACAGGCTCAACGTACAGTTTCTCGTTTGCTGCCGGTAGTTTTGAGCATTTCCAAAAGCAGTCTTAGGATGCCAGCCCCCATGAGCATGTTGCTATGGGAGGGGGAGGTTGCAAGGTACGCGATAAAAGCCATGGTGGCGTCAATAACCTCAAAAGACATGGTGTCTCCGTTGGTTGAGCGCTGCACCAGTCGACGAAGGAAAGTCACCATAACGCCATGGTTGACGTTGACACTGACAGAAGTCATTACTTCACCCATCTTGTTCTGATGATGCGCGCAGGCGCAAAGAGCAATCAATGCGCCCGTGGTCACATCCTCCCCAACAGTGTCGGATGACCGCATGAGGTCGGCCAGCTGCGAGACCATTTCAGGCTCGTAAAGAAAGAGATTGGATTGCGCTGCGTCCTCAGATGAAAGGTACACTGTTGGGTAGCGTCAGTCTCGGTCTACTAGACGATGCCCCCGGGTGTATGTGTCAGCTTACCATAAGTTGCCAAGGCCAGAAGGCGGATGGACAGCAGTCTTCTCCTTGTGCATCGATCACCCATGAGGAGCACAAGCCTAAGGCGATTGAGAACGGAGTATTGGTCATCGAGAGGGATGTGTTCTCTTTCGGCGAGTGCGCTCAGCTGATCGACAAAGTTCTCGCGCATACTTATCGACACATCTCCCAGATCGATCAATGACGGCCCCGACAAAGCCGGTGCTGTAGTGGCCACCTGACGTGCCATGGGAGTGCTGTTTTTGCTGTGAGGTACCGAGCGCTGACGCGTGGGCGTCTCTACAGAAGCCGGAGACAGCATCTTGGTTGGAGACTTTTCACCTGGTGCTCCAGTCGGCTGGACAGTAGGATAGAAGGAGACTTGGACATGTCGCAAAGCATTTGGGACTTCGATCTCCTGATCCGATGCCAGTGAAGTAAGATTGATGCCAGAATGCACTAAGCTTTCCCATCCTCTGCTGAGAACTACAAGCCGATGAAGTATAGCATGTCGCTGGGCTGGCTCGAGGGGAGTGGTGATGGCGTATTGTTGAGCGGGACGCAAGAGGACGAATATGGCTGATTGTAAGACATCCAAGTCATTAGTCAACAGCAAGTCGGACAACCGCTGGTTGATACTGTAAGCGCACTCTTACGTCAACAGCAAGTGGCAAACATACGTCGTAAGAGTTGAACAGTTTCCTGTTGGTACAATTCTCGAGCAACAGCCGCTGGACCCTCAAGACCTCTAAGAGTAGCTTTTTGGTCTTTGGGGTGAAATCGTTGAGCTGCAGTTTGGTGAGATCATAATTTTGAATCACTCCTGCCAGGATTTCATCGAATCGGTCCAACACCAGTACCCATGTGTGAAGATCACCCCTCGGATAACGCCACGCTTGGAATTGTTCGAGTACCTCCGCAATCTCTTCATCGGATGCCGAGGAAATTTTATTGATCAGAGCGGCAACATCATCAGGCTGAGTCGAGTCAACGATAGGTTGCAATACCTTGGAGAGGGGTGAAGGAGCTCACGGGAGGGTTTTGTTTCTTATTGGACTTCTTGACCTTCATGATGAGCCGGTCTGCGAGTTGCTGACCGGTGTCGGGTTCTATGGTGTAGCGGGTGGCGCGCGATGCGGAGGATGTTGAGAAGCAGCAGGGTCTGGAGGAAAGAGAGATGCGGTTGGAAGAGAGTTGGAGATACGAGGGAGCTGTTCATCGCACTCCTGACTCCTGCCCGCACCCGCGTGCAAATGATGCATCTGGGCGAGCGTGGGAATGTGCCGCCTCCACCACGCGTATCCTTCACCCGTCAGCAACTGGTCAGCATTCGTCAACTTTCTTCAGCTTTCTTCAGATCATGAGCAAGATGGAGCCCGCAGAGTCTCAGCAGTTACTCGTATCCCGTCTCGGGTCTCTCACCGCTCAGCTCACCTCACAGAGAGAGCCCGATGCCAAAACCGAGACTGAGCTTGTCTCTTTACTAGACGATATTGCAACAGTCCTCAAAGATGGTATGTCCTCCTTGGGCTGAGCCGGGCTGACCGTATAGAGTCTCACAGGGCAAACCTAGGAGCAACGAAGCTTCCAGATACTATATGTGCTCTGCTGAACCTGCTCTCCACGTCGAGCAACATAGTCAACCCTGATGCTGCTCTCAAAGAGGTCGGGAGAGTATCGGCTAATCTGGTGGTGCAAAATGGTAATTGACATGACGGAATCTTTGGCCATCGCTCATCGAACATGTCATAGACCCCAATCGAAACATAATGTGTGCCTTGGGGTATATCGATACGGTCCTCTCACCTGCTACGCTCGGACGAGGCCCTCGCCCGTGCGACCACGCTCTCGTTGCGAGCCTTTACAACCTCGTCGTTGAGGGCAATGGTGAGTGCCACTGCACTAGGGTCCAAGCTGATATCTAGAGTCATGTATTGCCGCCATGAGACTCGCGAACAACTTTCGACAGCTCAGTATATCGGCAGAGGTTTATTTCTTGCATATCTTGCAACCTCAGCCCTGCACCCCTGAGGACGCGAACGTTTGCATTTGGCTATGGACTGTGATACAACGGTCGACAAGCAGCAGTAAGCTCAGCAACCTACAATTTTCTGTGACTAAAATGGCGCCTCCGTAGACGGGATCGAACTAGCATCTGTATTAGACGAAGATACCACCTCAAGACTGATGGCTCCCATTCGGCAACTAGCATCTCCCTTAAGCTCCCCTAATGACTTTCAGCAACAGGAAACCATGCTGGAAACACTGAATTTGTCTTGTCAAATTATCGAAATGGTACTATCCAGCTCGTATTCTGCTGGCCACCAGGCGCTACTTTTGCCTGGACAAAGACTGGACGTCATTCTCGACTTTATCGAGCACGCAGAACCCTCACTACATGCCTTAGTCGGCGGAGAGAACGGAACTGGAGACGGCTCGGAGGAAGATGAAGAGCTTGATCCCGAACAGAGCATGGGCGATTCCAAAGCATACCTCGCACACGGTATAGTCTCTGTCAGTAGCGAGATGTCAGATGTTGCAGATGCAGCAGCTTTCTGGGCGCGTCTTGGACGATGGCTTGCAAGCGATATAGAAAAGAGAAAGGACCTCGTAGAATGCGCCCTTCTCGGCATGGGAAATAGTGTGAAAGATGGTCAGTGTCGTTCAGTTTCGTCTTTGTGCCTGCAACTGATCGAATATACTCGACGTAGATGCTAGTGCGCACAGAATACTCTCGGGAGATATTGTCCCCTTCGACTGTATCATGAAAATGCTCCGTCCCGAGACCCCCGCTACCACTCAACATGCTCTAGTCGGTCTTCTCAGAAATCTATCAATCTCAGTGGAAGGTCAGAAGCTACTATCTACTCTTGATGTAGGCGACAAACTGGTGGATATGGGAGTATGGGATGAAAAAAGAGATATGTTGGGATCTGTTCAGGGCGGAGCAATTGGTATTTTCAAAAACCTTTGCAAAGGTCAGCGTACGTCAATCCCTGTTTGCATCTTGGTCATGAAACATACTGAAACTTGCAAAGCTGCAACTGCCTCCCATCTTATCGTATGCTACAAAGACCAGCTACTCGCCCTTCTAGACCGTACCAACGATCAGGCCATCAAATTTGAAGGTATCCGTGTCTTTGTCAATGTTGCACGCAACCTACCCAAAGGTCTGGACCTCGCGGGAAAGCAAGCACTGCAAGACCAACGCATCGCAAGGCTTATGGTTGACATGCTTTCAAATGCCTATGAACACCCTATCCTTCAAGGAGAGGCAATCTTGGGCCTTGCGCTGCTGGCCGTGTTTGGCTCTGCAAAAGCTGAAGGTATGTTCGTCTGCCTGTGTCTGATCTGTGCTGATTGGTGTGATGCTCTCATCTACAACGCTTTCAGTATTGAAGGCTATGAATGAGACGTGCCCTGAAAGTCCAGGCAAGACCGGGGAGCAGCAATTGCGAAACATCTTGCTGAGCGGTAAGGACAGCCTCAGCGAGGAGATTCGCCAGAATGGAGAAACCCTAATATCTCTCCTATCGGGTCAGCAGAAAGTAGAGTAGCCGCATATTGATGAATGAACATGATTTTGCTGCTGACATTCTTCATCAAGAATACATGATGGGCTGTACTTGGGCAATATCACAACAATTGACAAAATTACCAGTGCAGCAGAACACCACATGTCCCTAGACGCAAAGTCTCCTCATTAGACCTTGCAAACCCGGAGTCAACAACCACCCGCACATTCTTAACAACACGCATCATGACGATAAAAGAGCTCTACCTGGCCGTACTCATTACAGACACGAAGAGGCCGGTAGTTTCGGTGAAAGCAAGATATGTTACATGGAGCATGTGGGCATAATCATATTTATGTACAGTGATGATCAACGCGGGTGATGCTGTAATGGATCTATAATCCCGTTCAAGTGATCTACATTCGTTAATAATCGTGGACGTAGGAAGTGTGTGTTGCGAAGTCAAAAGTTCGTGAATCAGTCAATGCTGAGTTTTGATGTAGTCTGAGAGTCACAGATCAATATTGCACGATCCCCTGTTCTATGCCTGCTTACCGTGAATGACCCATTTCTAGCGGAAGTTTGATGCGCCAGCCTGGACGAATTTATCGTCTGTCCTAATCTCGATGTGGAGGCCGTGGAAGAATGATATGGTTGTCTCGTTGCCGCCAGAGGCACTGGCGACGAGATGAGCAGTTTATTCTTCTCTTTGTCTTTGTAGCTCGCGCTCGGGGTTCCCAAGTCGCCCACGTTCTTTACGCTTGCCCGCATAGACGAGTGGCTGCTCCCAAACAGCCTGGACGAGCGCTCTGAAGGGCGTTTCTCGTCTCGGCTGGGAGTAGGGGCATAGCGTCTACGGCCAGCCAGAATCCAAGGATGTCGCATAGCAGGCTGAGGCTTTAGCCGCTTATCAGGGTCCCAAGTGAGACATTTTGCGATGAAGTCGACAAAGAGTTCATCGTCGCACTTCAAGACACCGACCAAGGTCTTTGATCCTGGTCGGCGCCGACGGCCCTTTGCATTGACGAATGGTCGAGGAGCCCCAGTGGCGTCTGTCAAAAGGGCAGTGGTGAGTATACTGTAAGAGGAGTGAGGAAGTAATCATGCTCACCAAAGAAGTTTTTCCGTCGCGAAGCCTTTTCTATGATGTAACGATCAGGCACACCGAGTACCTCCATGATGCACGCCAACTGTTCGTGTTCGTTCTCGCCAGGGAATATGGGCACGCCAGTGTAAAGCTCGGCCAGAATACATCTGTAAGACGTCAGCAAATGTAGGCAATGGGCGTTGAATACGCACCCCAACGACCACATGTCGATAGCCATGGCATAATTCATACCAAGAATCACTTCAGGGCTGCGATAGAATCGGGATTGGATGTATGTATATACTGCAAACAAATGTGTGTCAGCTACAACCTCATGTAAATTTCATCTGCTCACCTTTTTCAGTCTCCAGACAACTGCTGCCAAAGTCGATTACTTTGATCCCGCTCTTTGCCGGGTGACACAATAAGATGTTTTCAGGCTTCAAGTCGCAGTGCACGATCCTGTGTGACCGCATCAATTGCAGGGATGCAAGCATCTGCGTGGTGAACCTTCTAATCAAAACTGGCGAGAATCCAGCGAATTGGTTTGCTTTGATAAGCTCGTACAGGTTGATGCTGAGTAGCTCGGTGACGATGCAGAGATGGCTGCGGAATGAGAAATGGTCAGTCATGCGAACCATGAAGTGCTTGTTGTCAGGATCCTGCGGACCTGTCAGTGATACTCTCGAGGGGCTTCTTTTCCCAGTACTCACCCATTCAACCAGCTGTTGTAGGATCTTGACCTCGACCAGTGCTTGCGCGTGGAATCTCTTTTTGTTTCTGATGATTTTGACCGCCACAGACCTACCGGTCTTGTGGTCCCTACATTGGACAACCTGACCGAAAGAGCCCTTGCCCAGGATGCCACCGACCTCGTAGCGGTAGCAAAGATGGTCACCTTCTACAACGATATAATCACCTCGCTCATCGTCATATCCATGGTTGTACATGGCACCTCCAGATCGACGTATTGACCCAGGGGAAGGACTGTAATAGATGAGATCGAAATCAAGCACCTCCTTCCTCTCCAGATCAGACATTCGAGCCAAATTCCTGGTGATGAATTGCCGCTGTGTCAGAGGTTCAACAGGAGACACGTCGCGGGGGAACTCGGTGATATCGGCGAGAGTGTCCTTTTTGTTTGTTGCCGCCCTTTCCCGGCGTCTTTTGATATATGCTTCCATCTCTGCGTCCGCGCTGACCTCGTCATCATCGCCAATGGGGCTGACCGAAGGTGATTCGGCCAGAGACACCTTGCGAAAGCTTGATCCCACAGCACCGGTAGAAGATGAAGACGGCATTCGAGGGGCCATACTGGGCGGTGCCATCTGCGAATGCATCGACTTGGAGGGCTTGATGGGAGAGGTTTTGCCGGATGACACTGCTCCGTCTGTGGCATCTTTTGAGTCTCGCCGTCCTCTGAACTCCCGACTGGCTCGCTTGGCACTGGCCGAAAGAGTCATCGCAGTGACAGTGGACGAGGAGGGGGGACGAGGCAATTGTCTCCTGGAGGGAGGGACGGCGCTTGCAGGAGCCTCTCCTCGCACAGGGGGAGGATCAGACGGGCGATGGATCACACGCCTGGTATCTTGTTTGGCTGACATGGGAGCCAACAAGTGATTGCGATGAGCACCCGAAGTAGACTGGCGAGGAGTAGAAGGCGGACCCTCAACAACACCAAATTCGGAAATGGGGTGGCGCCCGTAATCGCTGGATCCCGAACCGGTCACCGTATTGGACACCTTTCGGGCCGTAGGGAAGGCTGGAGGAGGCATACTTAGGTTCATTCCACTTGAAGTGACCGTGGCTGGGGAAGCAGCTGGGCGATTCGCAATACGGGGAATCTTTGTGGGGGTGACTGAAGGAAGATTCCTTGGGGAATTGGAATACCTGGGTTCCAAAGGTCGAGCGGGGGAGCCCATGATCGACGGAAGTCGGTCATACGTGCTGCTTCCATTGATTGTAGCATCGCTCGCGTTGGACTTGGCAGAGGTACGACTGCTACTGAATGAGCTGTCGGTGGATGACTGGTGTTTGAGTGTAGGGATGGGTTTGGGAAGATCACCCGAAATGGAAAGTGTCTGCGATGGACGATCAGCAAAAGATACGTTGACAAGGAATTGAGACTCACTTTTCCTCGTTTTCTCCCAGTCCAACCAGTACTGGCTGCCGGCGCCGAAGCCAACTCCTTATCATTCACCTCGGATGTTGTCGTCACAGGCTGATTCGTCTGCTGAGCGAGCCCTTTCTTCGACGCACTCCCCCTGAGCATCGAAGGCAGATGCATCCCAAGAACAGACTTTCTCGCTTGAGATCCCGAAACAGTCTTACTGTCTTGTTTGGATTTGGGCGTCTCGGGTATCTGAGATTTGGGCTGGGAGGGGGGCTTGTTCTGGAAAGAGGAGGAGGAGGAACGTCGAAAGAATGGTATAGAGGATGGAGTCAGCCTTTTGTTGGCAGTAGATGACTTGTAGTTTTGGGGCACAAGCGGTGTAGCTGATACCCCCAGGTCGGCAGAGTCGTGGCCATGACCACTGGCAGGAGATAATAACTCTCCACGGTGGATCTCGGACCATGGAGTCTGTGGGCTGCGAGGAGTGGTCGACTCTTCTACAGACGGTACCGGAGATGCTGCTGACTTGAGATTGAGGGCCGAGGAGAAGGACCACTTCTTGTGCATCTTTGTTTGTGATGGCGCCAGTGACGAGGGAGACACGGGTTCGCCCGTGGGCGACAAGGGAGGTGATGGATCTCGAACGGGCATATATGCGGCGGGATTTGGGAATGCCGGGTTCGTTGGAGGCGGAGGCATGCTTGATTGCCTGTTGACATACAGCTGGGGTAACGGCGGCACCGGCGGTACATGTTCCTCGGTCTCCTCTGACACCTCGACGCTTGCACTTTGAGAGGATAAATCGCTTCCTGCGCTTGTTCTTCCATGCTTGGTCGCAAAATCCCCAGTAGAGGACAAGGTGGTCGCGGTTGTCGGAAGAGAATGCGAATCTCGGGAAGTAGGTGTCCCTCCCGTACTGACCGTCGATGACATGGATTCGCGTTGATTCGGTACGCGTGGCTTTGGTATAAGTATAGCGGGAACATCCTCGCTGAGGTCTATCCAGTGACTGAGAGGAGAGCCGGCGTCCTTGAGTGACCCATTACTGGGCTTAGACGCGAGCCTAGGCTCTGTATAGATCTTGGCTTCAGGTGTGCCGGGTCGCGAGGCCACAGTGGAGGCACTGGTGGAAGCTTTGCCTTTCGGCTTGGGTTTGCCAGATGTACTAGCCAGACCATCCAGTTTTCGCAGAGCCTCGTCGATGCTGGGATTAGGATCCCGCGCCTTGGGCGTGGCTCTGTGCTTCTGGGACTTTTGAGAGTCTGATCTTTGAAGAGTTCTACCGGGAAAATATGCAGTTGCGCTCGACGCATTTGCCGGCGGTGTACCAGAAGTCATATTGGTAGTGGAGGTGCTCGTTTTGAGAAACTGATTTATAGAAGCAGACGAAGGGCTGGGGGGTAAATGGGAGAAATCCTTGACAGCAAATTGCTTTAAAAGGTCGTGCGAAGAATGACGGGTGGGATTAGGTGGCGTCTTTCTGTTGTCACGCCCAGCGCGTTGGGCAAATGTGCTCGTCTGCGAGTCGGCTGAAGACGGCATCTGTGAAGGACTGGCAGCCGTCAGGCTCGCTCTCTGTTGTCGACGAGCATATATCCGTGACCTCGCGCTACCGGGCGAAGGAGGTAGAGTACCTGTATCTATAGGTGGCAGCGCAGAGCTTCGGGGAGTTTCTTGCTGCTGCTGTTGCTGCTGCAAGTTCATCATTGATAATGAAGCCGAAAGCGAAGCCTCCATAGAGGAATCGAATTCAAACTGCGACAGAGCAGCCAGAGAGTAGAGAGAGTCGTCAGGGGTAGCCGTGTTGGGTGCCGTGAGTGCCTCTCTCGACGTCTGGCGGGCAGGAGACTTGTCGGTAAGCCGTGGTGGGTTCTGAGCGGCCGAGTTGGACCGCTGACGTGACATCCGCACATCCAGTGTATCTTTGGAATGTCTTGACGGCGAATGTGGCAAGGGTGGGGGGCGCGACGATGGACTGCCAGTGCTCGGATAGGGCATACTGGGAGCGCGTTGATGGCCCGCGTTTCCAGGCAACCGAGGAGTTGACAGCTCGCCCACGCCGATGAGATTCCGTCTGTCGATTGCAGAAGGCTGTACGGGGCTGGCGTGTTGATTCGAGTAGGACTGTGACGCGAGCGGTGAGACGGGGTAGGCACTCGTGCTGCATATAGTGTCAGCACCGGTGTCCATTCCGCTCTGTCACTCACGAGTGATGGCTGAGGTCTCCTCTCGACAATGGCGGAAGGGGCATTTGTGCGTTCTGAGGGGGATGGGGAAGGGGCCTCGAACGGTGTACCTGGCGGGGTGAGCGGGCGCGGAGGAGGCCGCTGGTGCTTACTGGGCTTACTGGGCTTACTGGGTCTGTGACGGCTCGCCTGGCGGGGGAGGGAGAGTAGGGGGACTGCAGGTCGCCGTAACTCTTCTTCTTCTGGGGACTGAGGTCAAGGGCGGCCGGGGCCGGGGCGCGCCTTCCGCGGGGGGAGGCGGACATGGAGGCGGGGGAGGCAGCGGCGGGCAGGGGGCGGGGTGGCTCTGTGGGGGTCGGCGGGTGGCTCATGGCGGACTACAGCGCCTTCCTACTCTTCGAACACTGCACCAACCCTCACGTCGCGCACAAGAGCCCGCGCGCACAAGCACGTGGCACCCGGCGCACCCCGCCGCCCCCCACTTAGCATCTGCTCCCGCCGGTGCCAAACAATCAACAACGGGGCCATCGCTGGATGTACAGTATCTGCACTCTCCGCCATGCCCTCCCCGGCCCCCGACGACACCATCCTCTGGGCAGACGACGAGCACCAGTCAGACGACGACGACGACATCCCCGTCTTCTTTGGCGCCCACAAACCTGAGGAGCGTCTCTTCCAAACACTCGCCCGCCCCGCCCAACAGCAACCATCCCAGCCCAAAGACTCCCTCCGCCGGAGGACACTGCTGCTCTCGACCGAGAAGCCACGCCACAAGCACGGCGCGCTGTCAGACAGAGACTATGTCCGCTTGTACAGATCAGCCCCCAGCGACGAGAGTGACTCGTGCAGTACTCCGGTCAGCTTGCGAGGCCCCTCCACCCCTGCCCGGTCGGAACAAGACCCCTCAAATCTCACGTTTGACTTTGGAACCCTGCGCCTGTCGACGCCCAATGAGTCTCGAGACCAGGAAGATTCAGACCCTCCTAGCGAAGGTAGCGACAAGGAGAATGTGCCCGTGCCGTCCCCGGCTCAAGGCGCGCCGCCAGTAGAGGAAATGTCATTTGAGCGGTTCGAATGTGACTGTACAAGGCATGGCAGCTTGGACTTGAACGACGAAGACGATAGTAAGTATATCGCATTGAAAGGTGTCGACGTACTAATGTCTCATTCAGGCATCCCAGAGCTCGACATGGGGGGGCTCAAACTGTCCGACTTTGCGGACGGAGAAACTGGGGCCACCTATCATCACATTGATGACTTTGGCTCCTGCTCTTCTGACGAGCCGCAGAAGGAAACGACAGATAAAGAAGGTCGTGTCCTCCAACCTCATCCATCACTCACTCCCGTCTCTGCGACTCCCGAGCACCAGTCCCTCGATTTCGATGACGCGACCTCTCCTCTGGAGGTTGCCAGGGCAGGTCCAGTGGCCATTCCGGTGCTTCATAACCACCACTTTGCTTCTATCCGTGCCGATGTAGGCTCCCCTTGCCGCAATCTCCCTCCTTCGCCCATGACTCTGCCAGCCCTTGCCCAGGACGAGACGCCTGCCATCAGACTCGCAAGCATCGACAGCCCCACCAAATTGGTCTCGCCCGCTGTGCCCATGACACCCTCTCACACCTCGACAGTACCCCCTGCGGACCTTGTCCAGCGCGGGGCCAAAACTGTGAAAGCGGAAGCGGGAGGCAAAGGAAAGGGCAAGCCCCAACCCTTGGACCACAAACAATCTACTGCACTCAAGATGACCATCAAAAGTCAACTTGACTCTGCCATACTTCCCAAAGTGGGCGCACCTCGGTCTGACACTATGCCATCTTCTGGTCTGCGATTCTCCTCCGCGCCTTCCAGCCGGACCATATCGGCGGGAACAAGCTCTCATCCAGTGCCACGCGAAGTCTCCAAACCGCATCCAGAGCGACCACAAACGCTTGAAAACAGGCCTGAGCCTCGACCAGCCAGACGCCCTCTTCTCAAGTTTAGCTCTGCATCTGCGTCTGGTGGTAGCGCCATACCTCGCCCCGCGCTTGCCTCCAAGAGCTCGCTTCCGCGCCCCAAAAATACCGTCCGAGACAAAAGCAGCTCAATGTTGCCGCCGCCCTCGTCTATCCCTCTTAAACGCCCTGCTGTCTCTCAGCCGGGACCGCCGCTTCCTTCTGCCATGGCTCCACGGCGATCCGTCTTGTCGCAACCGACTATCAACCACACAAGACCAACGCTGGGTCAGCCTGCCAGAGCCTTTCAATCTCTAGGGACACCAGTGCGAGCTGCCCCTCTGTTTTCAGTCGGTGTAGGGGGCGAAATGGTTGCCATGCCCAGGGTTGGTATGAAATCACCTGCAAAGTCAAACATGTTGCACAAAAAGCAGTTGTCAGACCGGGAAACCCCTCGAAAGGTGAATCTGCAAAGCACTTCCATAAGACCTACAACTGACTCTACATGTAGCTTGGAACACCCATGCGATTCGGGACCCCTCGCCAGCAGCCAAGTGCTCTAGTTCCCCTTGCAGCATCGGTGCCCTGCATGGCCAATTTCTCCACGGCTGGACCGACCATGACTATCCTAGCTTCGAGCCCAACGAGGAGGTCGTCTCTGCACAAGAGCATGGACGCGGCGCAACCAGCGCCTCGAGGACCTGTTGCCATGTCCACCAGACACGCATCCGAGAATCCCGAGAATCCTGCCAATAAGACGAGTCCACCCTCTGCTGCTTCTCAGGCCTCATCAACAGCTCCAAGTGAATCCAATCAGGTGGAATCGTCTCAATCGTCACGGTCGTCTCCCCCTTCGTCTCCGCGTCCCGCTGCTCGGCGCGCTAAAAGAGCTAGCGCGGCCAAGACTCCAGCAGCAAAGGCGACCTCCAAGCCCTCTACCCCGAGCGCTCCCGCACTCACAGAGAAGCAGCTGAAGACTACGACGGCGCGCAATACTGCTCGTAATCAAGTCTATCACTGCGCTATCGATCGGCAGATTATACGCCAGCCGGGACCTCGCCCTCCTAGTCCCACGTCTAAAATCCGCACCACCTCTGACAGAGAGGAGGAGGACAGGAAGAATGCGAGAGAGGTGCGAGCAAGGCGTCGCAAAGGAGAACCCGAAGAGGATGACAAGCCAGTCTTGGAAAAGATTGAGGTTCTCAAGGCTCCCGGAGATGAGGAGGAGTATACACACTCGCCCGTGAGACCTGCAAAGCGGTCGAGAACCAGTACAGGCAGTAACAGTAGCGAGGGTAGAAAACGTATACGGTGGGATAGAGAGATTCTCGTTATCCACAGCGATGGAGCGGGCAAACGGACGCCAAATGAGGAACCGGTGGATGCGAGTGTAGGGAAGAGTTGTATCAAGACCAAGGTATGTTTGACAAACTTCAGCGTAAAAGTTGGCACGACTGACTCGAGTGTTAGACGCCCCTTGATGAACACGGCAATGTCATAGACGCACAGAGACCTGTTGATGACCTCAAACGAACAAGGGTTGTCGTTTCAGCCATTTTCTACGATGGTGAAGAACCTATTCCCGCGCCCGCTTCAGCTACGAGATCCAAAAAGAAATAATTCGTGGCGTGTTGTACGAGTATAAACAAACATGTATCATGCATCGTTCAAGAGCGCATCAAGCATTGCGTAAACGTAAAATCCCTAACCTTCGTAATCTTCGCTATACACTACAATTCTCCCTCTAGTGTCTCCGTGACGTATACGTGAAGGCGATATATTTTTCGATACAATATTGCGTACGACGGTGTTCAATGTCACTGGGCCGCACGCTAAAGAGAACTGTCAGCAAATGTCCACACTGACCAGCGGGGAACTTACTAGCTACAATCATACTCCCTTGCGCCAATTCTATTTCTTCTTCCATTACAGCCGACAATTTCGGTTTGCCCGCTCTGGCCATCTCACTCATTACCCCCATTGCTGCGTAGTCTGATTCATCAATCCACAAACCAGCGTCTGAAGTGGGATCCGTATCTCCGCTTTCCAGTAAGACCATGCTCTGAGTCCGCGATGTCCTCGAGAGAGCATCCCGAATCTGGCTCAGCTCTCGAGGATCCCTGAGGGAAGCGTCCGCGCCATAGATGGATCCTACATCATCCAACAAAGCCGCGTGGCCCATCGACGGGCTGTCCGGTGGGTTATAGATGGAGCCTCCGCCGTAAAGGTCACCCATGCTATAAGTAGAGTTGGCGACCGAGTGGATGGATTGTCTGGGGTTGTGACCGCCAAAAGACGCAAAGGAGGCACTTGGCGGGAGCATGGACTGGGAATTTGACGGGGACATGGCCGCTGAAGAGTAACCATGGGGCGCTTGTCCGTCTTGGAATGGGTTATAGACACTGCTAGCGGGTGAATTTCGGCCCGGGGGACCTGACAATCCCGCATAGCCATCCTCGTGGCTGGGTGCTGGGTCATACAGTCCCTGCACCCGAGTAGGCGGGTAGGATGTTGGTTGAGGATAAGACATGCGGGAGGATCGTCCCTTGGCGACTCGTCGAGACCTAGCTCGCCTAATCTTTCCCTGCTCTTCAAGCTTGTTGGAAAGCTGATTTTCAGCAGGGTCGTCAACATCCTCCTCGTCTTCGTAGTTGGTCAGATCAATGACATCGGCATAACTCGCATCAAGCGTGCTGTCCACAGCTTCGTCCATGTCTGCCTGAGGGTTGACGCTCATTTCACTGATTGCAGAGTCCATCGAGTTTGCGCGGGAGTGGTCTGCACGAGCAAAGACTGGACGGGGCAAAGCGAAATTTCCCATGGACTTCCTCGCATTGGTGACAAAGATGTCAATCTGAAGCTGGTCGGCCGTAACCATGTCTTGGCATCTTCTCAGTAGACCAGCGACCCACGCGATCTCCGCATACTCTCTTACAACCCAGCAAAATCGGATTCTTTTCGTTTTCCCCAGTCCATTCTTGATGGTGGTACACACATACTCGCAGACAGAGGTGCCGAAACTCACGCCGGAACCGCCGCAGACGACAAGTACTGTCGAGTGCTCCTTCCATCGCACACGCTCCGATGAACCCATAGGGCCGTCAATTCGGGCTCTGAGAAAGATGGGGGGTACGTGCAGGTTGTTGCGGCCGGTCTGCATGGATGCCAAGGATATTCGCTTGTCTTTGACATTATTGATACCGACTGCGGCTAGCGAACGTTGACGAACAAGATCGTAAAGGTTTCGAGTCAAGCCTTTTCTGGCCTTGACAAGTAACATGATCTCTGTGGGGTCGTTATTGAGTATGGTGAAAGGATGTGATTGTGACCAGGAAAGCTCTGGGAGATAGAGCAAGACACTCTGACCCGGTGCCCAATGGAAAGGCCTCGCGACTCGTACAGTCAAGCGCACAGTCCTTGATGGTAGTAGCTGAGCCTGCGCACATCCAATGGGGATCGCAGTAGGCGTGTAGACCGGGAAATTTCGGAGAATACTTGGAGCGATAGAATGGGTCCGTTCGGCAGTGCCAGGGAACTCGCCTTGGGACTGGGGAGGGGAGAACCGGTTGCCGTGTCGAGCTTCATAAGAGCCAACAGCTTGGAACGAACCTTCGTCGTAAGGTCCTTGCTGGCCGCGATGCCCAAAGTCATCAAGAGGTTGGGAACTAGATCGACTCATGGCAGGGGCATTTGGAAGCGTCTTGTCGTATGGATTGACAAATTGATGAGAGGGTTCGATATAGTGCGACGAGCGCTTGATCTCCTGGAGCCGAAAGGTGTTTTCGTCGTAGGGTTTTCCGGCCACAAGAGAACCGTAATTGTTTTTACCGAAAAGGCCATTGATACGAATCATGCGTAGGAACCGGACAGTCCGTTCACACACCCACAAACCTCCGGCAGCCGCCATCCAATACCATAAGATTGGATGGTGAATGGCAGAGCACGCGATCGTGGCGGCAACCAAAACGACGTGGGCAATGTAGAAGAACTACCGACAACATTAGACGGCAGGCCAAGCAAAGAAGCATTCTTGTACGTACCTCGTACCCGTTCTTCCTGATAGGTTTCAGAGACAATGCCATCAATGCCGTCATACAGCCGTAGGCGACACACCCAAAAATGAAATGGTAGCTGCTCCAAGCAGCGAACCATACTGCTTTTCCGTCGTGTTGGTCTTTGAACAACTGAATCGTCCACAGCACAGTGTGCACAGTGGTGAGTCCCCATACAATCCACGCGGCAGCTCGATGAAATAGAGCGAGTTTGTCGTTGTAGAGATGGGCGAGGTATCGTACGGAGAAAACCGCGAAAGGAGGTGCTTTGAGAGCGAATAGCACCACAAGAGGCATCAGGGCGAAAGCCATATCTCCGAACCGATTTCCCGACGTCCAAAAGGCTTTGCTGATAGAGTACCCAACAAAGCTCCTTTTACGCGTGGCAGCATAGCTGAATGTTGAGGCAGACGGCCTGATATAATCAGGACCGACCACAGAAAGCACGACTGATATGGCAATGAGAACCAGTACCGAAAGGATCAAGTTGTTGCTCGGCAGCACGGCCCTTCTTCCGCTCGCAGAGGCTTTTCCGAAGGGTCGTCTCTTGATACCCCATTTGGAATATGTCGCTCCCAGGGATCCGCCAGAAAGCCTCACATGATGTGATAAAGCATATAGGAGGGTGAGTGCGGAAATAGCAAACCACAGGAGATAGATGTATCGATATGAGGGCCAGCTGCAAAAGTCGTCAATATTTGCTCAAGGTAAACCGTGAGATTCTGTTCACCTCATATGATGGGCATCGAGATATGCAGCGGCATAGTTGGAGCCAGTCGCAGATACCGTTGGGTCCACCTAGATATTGTTAGCGAGGAGATGTCTACCGTACGTCGACTTACGGGCAAGGCGCTGGTTACGGATCCTGTTACGTCGGGAGTCTGCGCATAGGATGTTGTGGCCTTGTAGGGTGGCACATAGGTCGACGAGGCGATCTCTGCCGAGGTGGACCCTGTGACAGTCATCGTGTGGCAGACTCGAGGCGGAACAAGGGATAGTTGCGGCGGTGTCAGGAAATACGGGTGTGGATAATGACTCCCTCGAGATTGGGCGGTACAAAAACGCTACGTTGCTGGACGCGACGTGACGGCGGCCAACTCCGCCCCTCTTCCTTACGTGCCTTCTTTGACTCTTGACCAGCTTTCAGCGAGCTTTTCGATCCTTCAGATCGACATCCAACGTCTCCCTCCCCTTGCATGGGATCGCCAGGCGCCAGGCTCATGGCGTTCGGGAACAACGTCTGTCAGCAGCTCCATGATGGGCCCCTCATGACCATGCCCACAGACGTCACACGGGCTTTCGGCGACTGCATCGAGATCTTGTGGTGGGGATGGAATGCTACCGTTTATCAAAGTGTGTATGGCGATGCCTTCATTGTCCTTGCGCTTATACTATGAGCTACAGATGCCTCCGGCATGCTTCTAGGTCGAGGAGTGCCTAAGCCTCTTGTTCATGAAGAGGGGGGACGAGACCAAGTAGACGCTGCCAGGCCTGTCAAAATCCTTGGCTGTACACACCCTCAAGCTTTCCTCAACGCCGATGGATATGTTGTAGCAATGGAAAATGGAACGACGTCAATACGTTCTTGGGACGATGTTGTCGTCACAGAGCTGGGAGCCTGCTATGCGTACCAGAGTGAGTGGAGCAGTCAGCCCTTGGAGATCCTTCTGACGGGCATTAGAGGGATTAGGCGTGTTCTACTTTGACACTCTCAACCACTTGCTACTCGACCATAATCCTTTCGGACCGTTCAAACACCCGTTGATTCGTCAAGATACACCTCTAAAGCTCTATGCGGCAGAATCTACCGTCTATTTCCTTACGCAACATGGAACTTGTCATGTTCTCGAGGCAATCGACGCTCGTGCATTGCCGCCAGCTCTAAGGAGCACATGCCAGGGTCCGGTTCAGATTCAGTTGGTAGAAGAGTTGGAAGGGCTCGGGGTAACTCGCATTGTACCGGGCTCTTCCAATCGCTTCGCGGCTCTGACTGAGGCAGGGGATGCCTACATTCTTGCACCCAAAATAGGCCTGGAACTTCTGGACGTGGGAGATGATGTGCGGCTTGTGGGTGTAGGGTCCGACTTTGATCTTGTCGTGACAAAAGACAAGATATTTGTGCGAGGCTCGAGTGAGTGATTCGTCAATACGGAATTCTATGGCATACAGGGATGCTGATGAGACTAGACAAGTACGGGCAGCTGGGTATTGATTCACCTGATAACCAGGTTGATTTTGTCGAATTGAGCTTGGAAGATGTGGCACCAGGTGACATCACTAGTGTACATACGGCAAGGTGGTCGACTATATTATGCATCAAGCAATGATGCTGCCCTTTCCGCTCTCCACGCCCTTGAGCACAGCTTGGCAGCTCTTGTCAAACGCCTCGGACAACTCATCTGCTCCTTCCCCAGGACATATGACATGGAGATCAAGTCCCTTCGGACCCCATTCAGGTTTGAGTTGAGTCAAGCCCGGCCCGTCAAGCACATGGGAATGAGCCTTGAGATATCCGGGCCAGACGATCTTGTCAAAGTAGTCGGGCGGATCTGTCCAAACTCCTCCTTCGGCGGCATCATCAGGATCTGTAGCCAAGTTCAGCCTGTGACGATCGTCATATCGCAAGATGGGACTTGCGTTGGAGAACATAAGTCTGGCGCTGCTCCCGTCGATCTTTCAAGGTCTGATAAGGCACTTGAAGGAATATTCGGATATCCAGCATATCTGTCACAAGCTGCACAGTCAGTGATGGACACTACAGAGTCACTCACTTTGTCCCAGTATAGCACAAAGCCATCCACAATGACCCAGATAAGCTCCACACCTTTCTGCCTTTGTTCCGCATCCAGACTCCTGAAAGCCTCCGCCCAACGTTCAAACACCACTTGGTCAATTGGAATCTTGTTCTGCTTGTTCAGATGATCATGCGAGCTGTGATCCTCGACTCGGCCCGTTTGTCTGACTTTTGCCAGAAAGCCTTGCAACTCTTGCCAAAGAATGCAGGAACTTGGGTCGTCCCAATCCTGCAGGTCCGGATACTCTTTGCTATAGGGCACTTGGTCCGCGGGCTAAGTGTGTATCAGTATGCATCGCATGTCTGACCCCTGTCATTGAACTGACAGGACAGAAATCATCCTGGTGAATGATGATTGCGTTCTGTGGCAACGCTTGGCTGATGTGCTTGGCCAGCAGCGTCTTTCCCGAGCAGCTCGCCCCTCTTGATCTGTCATTCAGCACAGTCCGCTCAACGAGTGGTAGCAACATACCCGATACCTATCAGCACAACTTTTTGGGTGACCATTTCGTTGCAGAGATACAAGCAGACTTGCAGATGGTCGGCACACGTCCATCGCCATCGGTGTCGGGGGAAGACCGACGGAGGCATTTCAGATACGCGTCGCGTCGATTTTATCAGCTCGAACATTGATTTCTCCAGTCAAATTCAATTCTTCAATTCTTAATTCATCTATCGCAATGACTGCTGTCGACGACATCCTTCTGACGGCTCTCAAAGAGCATGAAAACCGCGAGTCAGGTGTGCCCCCTGATCCGCTCCATGTGCCAGTCAGCTCACTCAAATTAGATGCCCATATAACAATTCAAGAGCACATCCACAGAATCAAGGCACAGCTTGGGGATGCTTCCGCTGTAAGTATCAGCTCATCATCACCGCGCTATTGTGCTTACAGTCCACAGATCGGTCCCTACTCGAAATCATCAGCGCCTCTCTCAGTGGTGTCATTCAAATGCCTCTTGCAAGATACTGGATACCCGATGGAGGTGTATCTCCCGGGAGATATGGAGATGTCATCCGATGTAGACTGGAGCAAACTCAAAGAGAGATGGGTTGGATGGGGTGTTGAGTGCGCTGTTTTTCCGATATCGACGCTGCGTGACTGCTGACCAGCGCAGAATTCCTGGGGAGCAGCAATGGACAAAGCCCCAGGCTGACATTACTACTGGTCTGCAAGGCATTAGCATAGGCTCGCAATATCTCCCAGCTTCTGTACATGCTAAAACACCCCTCCCTCAGCAAGGAGGCTCTTACCTTGGTGCTTTGCTCAAGGTGTGTAGTACCATCCAGGAGTGGGGCGAGTACTGACTTTATATACAGGTGTACGATGACATTGCATACAAGCCTGCTTCCGTCCACGAGTTCATCGGTCTGTTATCGACCTCACCCATCCCTTCCAACGAACCAGAAGATGCCGACATTGTACCCACTATACACGTCCTGTCCAAGCGTGATCTCGCTCCCGAAACAACGGACGTTGATCCTTCAGACGACCAGGTCCGAGAAGAGCTCATTGATTATCTGTCAACAGCGTTTAACCCTCCCGACAGGGTCGCAGCAGAGTTCCTTCTCTTGCTTCTCATATCATCCCCAACAGCGAGACCCATGTCTCTCCCAGTGCTCGGTACTCTTGCTGTCAACTTTAGGCACAGCGGCGAGGCTTTTACCTCTGCCTTCAACTCTGTCGTCTCGTCTGTTGTGCCGCACTACGTCCCGCTCCCCCTCACTCTCTCTCTCCTCCATTCTCACCCCTTCCAACCTGCCATGACAGACGCCAACGGTCTCAATGCCGGTCTCCTCCAGCTTGCCGATGGCACCGTCTTGGCAGTCGAAGAAGACGCCATGGGCAATGGTGGCCAGCTTAATGAAAAAGCGCTCAAAAACTTGAAGGCCTTGGTGGATTGTGTTGAAGAGCAAAAGGTCAATTACGAGTACCCATATATGGATGGGTTGAAGATGGACTGTTCGGTCAAGGTGGCGGTCTTGAGTCAAGGAAAGAGCCTGATCCCTGTAAGTGATATCTTGACAATAAGGTTGATGACTGACGTGTACAAAGGTGGACGTGAACATTCCCATCTGCGCCGACGGTAGTCCCTCTACTGGGCCCCCATCGCTTGACGCTTTCCGTTCCTACCTAGCCCGCTACTCTTCCCCTGCCCACTCTGCCCGCCTGGTGATCCCGGACGAGTCTTCCACCATCATTCAAGACCACTTTGTGCAAGAGCGCAAAGTCAACCCCAAAGATGCTGAGGAAGTATTGAAGCGGCGTATGAAGATTGCTCGTATCGTTGCGCTCTCTTATCCGAAAGCCGTGTTGGACGGACAAGTGTGGGACAAGACGGTCAAGTTGGATGAAGAAGTAGCCAAGCGTCACACCATGTCATAAAGATGAATACAATATTTGTTTTACGGTTTATCCCCTTAAGCGTCTATGAGGTTCTCCTCCTTTGCCTCCTTCTTTTCCTCGGGCTCCTCGGCAGATCGCTTGGGCTTTCGCGAGTAGAACTCGGCAAGGATCTGGGACCATGATCAGCACACGTTACAGCAAAGGTTAAATCAACGCACCTTGGGACTGATTCGGTTGAGAGACTCCTTGGGGAAGATTCTCAAGAGTTCCCAAGCAATGTCGAGACTTTCAAAGATGGTTCGAGCCTCATAAGCGCCCTGGCCCACAAACTCCTTCTCAAACCTGTCCAAGAATTCGAGGGCAAGCTTGTCGTCGGCCGAAAGTGCTTCTTCACCGACAACTGCCTTCATGGACGCGGCGTCCTTACCCACAGCGTACTTGGCATACTAGTGGACATGTCAGACACGTTTCTAGTGGATAGAAGCGACATACCAGCTGGTTGGAGACATCACCGTGGTCCTTTCGTGTAAGCTTGTCACCGATAGCACTCTTCATCAGACGGGACAAGGAAGGAAGGACGTTGATAGGGGGGTAGATCTGACGGTTGTGGAGCTGTCGGTCAACAAAGATCTGTCCCTCGGTGATATAACCAGTCAAATCAGGGATGGGGTGGGTGATATCTGCTTATCGTTAGCGCTGGTAATGCGTGGTGAATCAACGCACCATCGTTAGGCATGGTCAAGATGGGGACCTGGGTGATGGAACCGTTCCTGCCCTCGACTCGACCAGCACGCTCATACAAGGTGGACAGATCGGTATAGAGGTAACCAGGGTAACCTCGTCGACCGGGGACTTCTTCTCGGGCGGCAGAGACTTCTCGAAGGGCATCGGCGTAACTGGACATGTCGGTCATGACGACCAAGACGTGCTTTTCAAGCTGATAGGCATAGTACTCGGCAGTGGTAAGAGCGAGACGAGGCGTGATGATACGCTCGATGGTGGGGTCGGAGGCAAGGTTGACAAACAGTGTCGAGTTGGAGATGGCTCCTGATTCTTCAAAGTCTTGCTTGAAGAATCGGGCGGTCTCCATGTTGACACCCATGGCAGCAAAGACGATGGAAAAGTTGTCCTCGTGGCCATCGTGGACACCCTTGTCGGCACCAGGTCGCTTGACCAAACCGGCTTGTCGACAGATCTGGGCGGCAATCTGGGGCAATGTCAGCGGTATGCAGCCACACGGACAAGTTGACAGACTTCGTTGTGCGGGAGACCAGCGGCAGAGAAGATGGGAATCTTTTGGCCACGGGCGATAGAGTTCTGGGTTTGACATCAGTAGCGTCGCTATATCGGCCAAGTCCGTGACTGACCATGGTGTCGATGGTAGAGATACCGGTCTGGATCATCTCTTCGGGGTAGATACGAGAGTAGGGGTTGATGGGTGACCCTGCGGTGCGTAAGCTTGCTGGTTCCGAGGCCGAACTGACAGACTCGCCATTGATATCAAGATAGTCCTCGGCCCAGACTTTGGGTCCCTTGTCGATCGGGTTACCACTTCCGTTGAAGACTCGACCAAGCATATCCTCAGACACGGCAAGCTTCATGGATGATCCAGAGAAGGAGATTCGGGTCGCCTTGGTGTCGACACCAGAAGTTCCCTCAAACACCTGAGGACGGGACCGTCAGTGCTGCTCCCTTTCACGGACCCTGCCCTGAGGCCGACGCACCTGGACGATGGCCTTCTTGCCGCTGACTTCGAGGACCTGGCCGCCTCGGACGGTGCCGTCGGGGAGGGTAAGCTGGACGATCTCGTTGTAGGAGGGGAACTGGGGAGATTAGCAGTGCGCGCGTGGAGGAGACGGGGTGGCCTACAGAGACATTGTCGAGGACGACGAGGGGACTGTTGGGTCAGCTGTGTCTGTGTGTAGTGCACTCACCCGTTGACGGCGGAGACGGTCCTGTAGTCTGGAGTGTCAGCGGGGCCACGGGGGAGGGGACGTACCCATTCTCGGCTCTACGTTGAACTCGCGGACTGCGGCGGCCTGGGGGGGTGAGCGGGTGCCACGTGGGGGGGAGGGGACTCACTGCGCTGATGGCTGCGAGGTCATGCTCGGGCACTTGCGGGGACATGGTGGCGGGGGATACAGGGAGACAGCGAGAGCACCATATGATAGCAGCAGCATAAAGGAGACACCATCACTGCTTACGTACTCACTCGGCCACCGCCGCCCCGCCGCGCCCAAGAGGGAAAGATTGTCCCCCGCATCTGCAGCACCATGCACACCTGGACTGCTGACGAGATCCTGAGGGGCACCGCCTCCAAGCCCTACGCCCTCATCATCCTCAACCAGCCCACCACACAACACCTCCTCCACACCGCCTGGCACGCCACAGCCCTCCACATCTGCGCAGACGGCGGCTCAAACACCCTCTACGACCTCGACCACCGCCACAACAGGTGCGTGTCGTGTTCCCTCGCAGTGCTCACCTCGACCCAGGTACATCCCCGACATCATCAAGGGCGACCTCGACTCAATCCGCCCAGAGGTCAGAGCCCACTACGCCTCCCTCAACGTCACTATCAAGCAAGACAGGAGCGAGTATGCCACAGACTTGATCAAGTGCATCGAGGAAGTACCCGAGGACCACGCGATAGTGCTGCTAGGCGGCTTGAGTGGTAGGGTGGACCAGACGGTGCATACCATGGGCGTCTTGCAGAGGACAGAGAGGGAGATTTTCGTGCTCGACGGCGAGTCGTTTGCGTGGTACCTTCGGCCGGCAAGTACGCCCCACTGCATACATACAGTCCTGCTCACGTCGACGCCAGGGCCAACATGTCATCAATATCGACCACAATACTATGGGCCAGACTTGCGGTATGCTGCCCGTCGGTATCGACTCTGCCCACGTTATCACAAAGGGCCTGAAATGGGATGTCGGTAAGCCGACGTGTGATCGTCCTTCATCATTTTGCTGACTCTGATAGACTGGGAAACGTCATTGGTACACAACCTATCAACATCAAACCACCTCTTGCCCGAGAACCCTACCGTGTACATAGAGACAGACAAACCTATATTGTGGACTGTAGAAGTGAAAAAGCCATAGACTTTCGGTTGTACAGTATTTGTACAACCCATGTATGTGTGTAGCAGCATATCCGCATGAGGAGATGTTACAGTCTGCATAGTACCACTCGAGAACCCTACGAGAAAACGTACTCATCCAAAGAGGACATTAGGTGGGTAGGGAATTCTAGTCTAGAAGATGGTTGGAGCATGCTCAGAGAGCAGGGCGGGGAGAAAGAAAATGTACACGATAGAGTCTAAAACGCAAAAACCACCAATCACCCGCCGCTTACTCCTTGGTCTCCTCCTCCTTCTTGGCCTCCTCGGGCTTAGCGGCGGCCTCCTCAGTACCCTCGGCAGCGGTCTTCTCCTCGTCGGTCTTGCCCCACTCGGCAAGCACTCGGAGAGCCTCGTCAACCTTCTCCTGGAGAGCGGGCTGAGACTCGACAAGGTGGAGAAGCTCGGCATTGTCCATCTCGAGGAGCATACCAGTGATCTTGCCGGCAAGGTCGGGCTGGGTCTCAAAGATCAAGGGGTAGAGAGCCTCACCCAACATCTGCTTCTGCTCCTGGAGAGGAGCCCTGGCAAGAGTCTGGGCGTCGAGTCGGCCGGGCTGGGCAGCGGGAGCAGCAGCCTGCTCGTGGGGTCGAGCGGGCATCTGACCACCTCGGGGGATCGAGCCAGTGGGGAGGCCCTGGGGAGCACCGACGGGGCTAGGGCCACCGTTTCGGGGACCGTTGCCGTTGGGCGCACCAGGAGCTCGGCCACCACCGGGTCGGACAGGGTAGCCGGGACCAGCGGGGTAAGGACCCTGAGGAGGCATGCCGTAGGGGGCGGGGATGGGCTGGCCGTTGGGACCGAATCGGGGACGAGCCTGCATCATACCCTGGGGGGCACCGGGGTAACCCATCATGGGGCCACGGACAGGGGGCATGCCGGGCATGGGCTGGTATCCGGGCATGGGAGGGTAGCCGTACATGGGCTGGCCCATGTAGCCGCCCTGCATACCACCGGGGAAACCGGCACCGCCGTACTGCATTCGCTGCTGGCTTCGCTGCGAGATCTGAGACTCGAGGGCCTGTCGTCGGACATCCTTGCGCTGGGCAAGGGCGACGTAGAGGGGCTTGGTGCCGATCATCTTGCCGTTCATCTCAGAAACAGCCTTGGTGGCCTCGTCGGGGGAAGAGTAACAGACGAAACCGAAACCTCGGGAGGCACCGCTGTCGTCCTTCATGACCTTGGAAGAGGTGATGGTACCGAAAGACTCAAATTCGGCACGGAGACGGTCGTCATCCCACTCGTCTAGTAAACGTCAGTCAGATCCGTTGCAGATTAGGCGCTACTCACCGTCAAGGTTCTTGACGTAGAGGTTGACACCGGCACTCTTGGCCTCGTTCTCGAGCCTCTTCTCCTCGTGGCTCCTCTTGAGCTCAGCCTCTCGCTCAGCCTTGCTCTGGGCCCTGCCGGCGTAAAGCTTCCTGCCGTTGATGTCCTTCTCGTTAAGAGCGTCGACAGCAGCCTTGGCGGCCTCGTGGCTTTCATAGTTGACGAAACCGAAACCCTTGGAGGCGCCGCTCTCGTCCTTGGAAAGAGCAACAGAGACGGTGGCACCGAAAGGCTTGACGAGCTCCTCGAAAGCCTCCTCGGAAAGCTCGGGGTCGATGTTCTTGAGGTACACATTGGTGAACTGGGCCTTGAGCTCCTCAAACTTGGAGAGACGCTCCTTCTTTCCGACGTGGTGGCCGACGTAGACCTTCTTGTCATTCAAGAGCATACCGTTGACAGCCTTGATGGCGGCCTCGGCAGCCTCGGCGGTAGAGTAGTGAACGAAACTGCGGATTGGGGGTCAGCGGCCATCTCGCAGCAGACAATCAAAGGACGTACGCGAAGCCCCGGCTCTTGCCGTTCTCGTCGGTGCCGACCTTGCAAGAGAGGATGTCACCGAAAGCAGCAAAGGTGTCGTGGAGAGCCTTGTTGTCGATGCTGGGGTCGAGGTTCTTGATGAAGATGTTTCCCTGGCCAGTCTTCCTCAAGGCGGGGTCTCGCTGAGACCACATGATTCGGCAAGCGAGTCCCTTGATGAGAGAGTAGTTGAGGTGCTCGAGGGCACGCTCACCGTCGGCAGCGTTGAGGTAGTTGACGTACGCGTAGCCGAGGGATCGCCTGGTCACGGCGTCTCGGCAGACACGGATACTGAGATGCAGGGTCAGCATCCACTTGGCGCTGCGTCCTGCATTCCGACTCACGAGGCAACAGGGCCGATCATGTTGAAGATCTCGAAAAGCATGGCCTCGGTGACGCTGGGGTCAAGCTCGCCAACGTAGAGGGAGGCGGAAACACCAGCGGCGGGGGCGGGGGTAGGCGCGCCCTCGGCAGGGGTGGACTGGGCGGTGGCCGAGGCGGGAGCGGCAGGCTTCTCGGCGACGGGGGCAGGGGAGGTGGCGGCTTCGGCAGACATTGTGTATGTGTTGTTGGTTTTTTTGTTGTTTTAGGTGGTGGGATCGTCCACGTGTAGGTTAAGAGTGAAAGCGTTTACGTAGTGTTTTTGAGGGCTGCGGGGGTCAGCACGGGCAAGGGGGGGGTGTTGGGGCTGCTCACCTTTGCAGACTGATATTTCTCTCTCTAAAGATCGAAACGGGCTGGATGGGAATCAAATCTGAAAAGAGCACCAGAGAACAAAGAAGCAGCCTCGCGGAACGGAACCAGAATCCCGCCACCGCACAGAAAAACTTTCATATCGCCGTTCGCCGAAGCGGCCTGCTCCGAGCGAGCTACTGCGCCTCGTTCAACAACAATCAGAGACAGTGGCATGCATGTATCTATGTGTCTAGCGCTGCGTCTTGGCCTCCCTGGCATCCTTGGGGAGGACCTTGACCAGTCGTTCGTCCATCATAGCCGCTACGTCCTTGTACATCAAGTCGATCGACTGAGCGTCTTGTGGCTCCCGTTAGCATTGCCCAACGTCGCATCGTCTACTCACGAAAAGGAGGCTCCACTCGAGAGATCAATTGCTCCATGACGGGGCCACGGTTCCGGGTGATCCACTGAGCTCTCTCAGCGACAGTTGAATTCCCGTATGACCCACTTACCAGTCGCACCTTGTCCCTGTCATTTGGCCTCTCCTCCTGTGGGAGGGTATCAAACTTGACACTCAATATATATAATGCCGCCTCAATCACATTGATCTCTTCTTCAGTATCCAAAAACTCATTTTTGGGCATGTCTATGAGCTTGCATGCTGCTGCGGAGAGAGGCTTGGCCGCCAGGGTGTCGGCGAGTGGCTGCAGCTCAAACTCATGCGAAAGGGTCTTGGGTGTGTGGATCTCTGTAGTCGATGAGTGCTATACCCTGCTGAGACCTTGACTCACTTTCGAAATCGAGAGACATGTTTCTTGACTTGTGATGCAGGTATGGATGGAGGACGGGCGTCATACATCTTTCAATTCAGTGATGGTGACTCCTCGCGCTCCTATCATCTCTTGTCCTTTGATGGTTTCACAAAGGTGGCAATCCCAGGCTCTCGAGGTTTGTCATCACTGCCCGAAACTATCGGCAGTTGTCCGTCGCCGTTCGTCCGCTGTGTGATTGCCTGGGTCAATCGCGACGACCATATCTGCTGTAACGAAGGCTGTCGTCAGCACCATCAGCATGCTGTACTCGGACTACAACACAATTCGACAGGGGTGTCTCCTGCACCGAACCGTCGATACATGTATGAAAATGTATATCCGGCGTCTCTGCCGCTCTCTTTGCCAGGACAGATCTGTGTGTGGGTTTCTCAGGCGATCTATCCCCAATCCCGTCCTTGTACTGCCAAGAGGGTATCTGTCGTACTTATCGTACATTGTCAATACAGCTTCTGCCATGCAAACAGGTCTTGACGGACACAAACTAGCTGTAGGCAGTATTCCTGTAGCACTCGCGTCACGGTGGTACGAATCCATCCCTCGGTGATATACACCTCCTTTCTTTCACAAAAACAAAGGGCTGCAATCGTCCTTCGCCCGTCACCCCCCAAATAGTATCTTTCGAGTGTTTTCGTCTTTTCACTCAGACGGATGAAACCTTCCAAACATGGGTAGGATCCCCGCAGCTCCTGCAGATCATCTGAACGTTCACTGACCTGGTGGTACAGGTGTCTACCATTCGGTGAATCCGAATTCTCACCAAAGACGGGCGCGTCAGCTAACAACTGGCACAGCGATACATCAACCCCATTCCGGCTCAACTCTGTCAACAATGCGGTACCTGTACGTATCGTCATCACCGAACTCGCCATGGATCCTAACCCCTGCGTGCTTCTGCCCTAGCCCTGCTGCAAGGCGCTACGACTACGAGGACTTTGCACTTGTGCGGCATTCCAGTGTGCCCCCTGAGGTCTGATCATGACTTCACATGCTGGAATTGCGGGTGGCAGTATAAGGACAGAGGTTCGTTCAATGTCCCACAAGAGTCCGCGGTCTGACAGCACGACTTACACAGAGCATTTATCAATGACCCGCAATCGTTACTATCCGTGAGTGCGACTTTCAATACTACACGCCCAGCGGCTGACAAGCAAATCAAGCGGCCGACGTAATCCCTTGTCGTGGCGTTCGTCAAGGAGTTGGCGAGGCCGCAGCAACAAGTTCGATCGTCGAGAACAGTACACATACAGATATGGCTACCGACGCCGATGGAGGCAGAGGAGAGGATGGATGATATGACCACAGCACATGCAGCACTTTGTACATTCTTCTTACGTCTTAGCCGAAAGCGACAAGCCCTAAACTTTGATGGCGGAGGCAAACCAGTCTCCCAGTCGCTTGTACACATCCTCAAACTGCTTTGCGTTCTCTTCGTCCTGGAGGTCTGCGCGAGCAGCCGCCCAGCCGTGGTGAACGGTGTCGTAGAGTGTGAAGCTGTGATCGAAAGGCTTGGACTCGAGTCCCTTGACGATCTTGTCGACAACGTCCTTGGGCTCATCCTACTCAGAGTGAGTTCTCGGTACAAGCAGCATTTAAAAGCGACGTACATGGGAAGGATAGAAACCGAGAGGAGCAGAGAGCTTCTCGCCGTCCTCGGGAGCGATCATGGCGGGATGCACGACAGCACCGGCATCGAAGGGGGTGCCCTCGGCCAGAGAAAGAAGGGTGAGTTTTCCGCCTGCAAGCTCACATGAGATTGAGTCATGATTTCTTGTATACAATGACGCACCCCAGCAGTATCCCAGAATGGAGACCTTTTTGAACGACTTCTTCAACTCTTTTCCGAACGCGACTACCTCTGGCAACCTGTCATCTAGCTTGGCGCTACAACACTTGTTACGGGTACACGTGTGACAGGTAATAAAGCAAAGCTCACGTTCCAGCAAAGAATTTGCCTAGCTCTTCCTTGTCACCATCCTTCTCAGCAGGGAAAGGCTTGCCTTTGAAGACATCGACGTAGTGGATCTTTGTAGGCAAAGTGGATGACAGGTGAGACACCAGAGTATCGGAACCTTGGATAGTTGTGTCCCTGTAGAACTAGGTCAGCAGGCAGCCGCAGGAGAAGGCTTGACTCGCCAGAAGCCAAAAATGTCAGGAATGACTACCAGAGCGTGCTTGGCATCCTCTGGCCCGACCTAAACCCGTCAGCCGAAAGACCCAACAGCGTCCCACTGCACGTACGACGTATACCTTGTCGTAGCTTCCTACAGCTTTGAAAGACCCCTTGTACTTGTAGCCGGTGGGCGGGGACGTGGGGTGGGGGACGTTGGGCTTTGAGGGGTTGGAATTGGACTGGGGAGGGCAGCACTCGGTCTCTGGTGCAACGGGTCAGCTCTGAGGGGGAGGCTGGCGGTGCGTACTTTTGGACATTGCTGGTCAACGCGCGTGCTTGTAGAGATACAGTACAGAGGAGTCTCCTTTCGCTGCTTGGGAAAGATGGTGAGTAGTCATGATGTCACGGCGCGGCGCCCGAACGCCCACTCTGCTCGTTATTTGGTTCCCTTTTTGTCCAACGACTCCTCGCGAACAACACCCTGATATAGGTTGAGGAAGTATCATAGAGACAGATAACATTGTACATTACTCAAGGAAACAAGTCGGCCGACTGTACGATGGTATACAACATGCATCTTTATCATGTAAGGCATCTTCATCTCCACTCGCCGTCGCATTTTCTAGATTAAATCCACATCATCAATTGATGTCTCGTATAATCTTGGCCGTTCGCCAAGTCCGACTCTGACCCCAAAGCCGGATAGAACGGCACCAACGCATCGGATGATCCGAGTATCAGCGTATCTGGCAGCTCGTTAGCTCGTTGACAGCGAAGAGATAGAGTGACCTACTATACATCCGCCAGTAAACCTCCCTGACCCTCCTCGCCGGGTGGAACAGTCCCTGCAGCACATAGCTCAAAAGGACACCCGACCCCAAACCCAGTCTCATACTCTCAATAGCATCCATCATACCACCAATCACGTGCGGACTCGTTTCAAAGATATTCGGCCAGACCAGATTCAGCAGATGCGTCAGGGCATCCTCATAGCCCAGACCAGCGACACCGATGGCGAGATGCTTGACGATAGCAGCAGCCGTTTGACGGTGGACGTGGTCCCGATCGGTAAGGGCGTCCTCCAAGAGGCCAACAACAGAGTGGATGTAGTCCTTGGACATTTCCCCGACGTATTCAAAGATGAAGGCGAGAGCTTTTAGACAGCCATTACGAACGTTGAGTTCAGGTGTACGATACTCGTTGAGGATAGCGGGGATACAGGTGAAGGGACCACAGGTTTCGGCGACGATAGCTGTGGTTTGTCAGCTCGGTACTTGAAGAATCCAGAGGACACTCACCAATGGCAATCGTACTACAGACTCGACTTTGTCGCTCCTGCACCTTCAAGTTTGTCAAAAGCACACTCAACACATCCTGAGGACCGATAGCCTTGGCAATGTAACCGAAAGTGTTGACAGCCGCTCGTCGAATCGCCTTTTTGTGCGCCTTGAGCAACTCGAGGAGCTCGAAACAGATTCGCATCCACTCCTTGGCGGGCACATACTCCGCACCTCGGTCGGCAATACGACCGATAAGGTTGATGGTCGCTTCTTGGACCTTTTCGTGTCTATTTCGGAGGATGGGAGTCATTCGTGGCACTGCGAGGGTCAGCCGTGTACGCGAAAGAATGTGATGAACATACAAAGATCCTTGACAGGCGGGTTCATTTCAGTCATACCAACAACGTTGGCGATGGACGCCTCGGCTGCAATTAAACTATGTATTGTTAGTGACAATACGTTGGTCAACAAAGTACTCACCTTCCCAACGCATCCGGATACTCTTCACCCAGCTGCTCAAACAACACCACACCCAATTTGCTCAACAAGACATCCTCCCTACAACTCTTGATGATCGGCGCCAGCTTGGCCGTGAGATCTGCCGCCAACATTCTAACCTTGGCCGACTTGTTGGTGAGACGCCAAAGGATCATGGACACGATCTGGGGGAGGTAGGGCTTGACTCGAGGACCGAGCGAGTTGACGATGGTAGCGAAACCGTCAAGCATGATGGTATCTTCAAACGTCTGCTCTTGGAAGGCATAGATGATGCCGTCGATCAAAAGCACCTCCAGACGCTCGTCAACATCGGCCGCTCCGATATTGGAAACGACCTTGGTGATTGTCTCCATGACCATCTTTCTGAACGCTTCACTCTCATCCTTCAGGTCGTTCACCGTCCTTCCCACGATCTCCGCCACACCAGCCTTGTTGGCCAGCTCCACGGTCGTCTCCACGAGCTGCTTGTAGTTTCGCTTATCGAGCGCCATCCTTCGCACCCAGAATGCCTTGAAAAACTCTGGCAAGACTTCCTCGCGAATATAGGTAGGGGTGACACCTTCGGTAGAAGCACACTGCTTGATGACTTGGAGGACGATACGGCGCATTTCCTCGTCCGAAGTTTGGAATTCTCGGATCAGGATAGGCATACACTCTCGAACATAGTATCCAGCGTACTCGGGGTCCATGAGCGGGATGATGTAGCCGATAGCCTTCAAGAACGCGGCGAGCGTTTTACCTCGATGTTGCCTGATACCAAGCCAGAGCGGCTTCAAGACATTGTCAAACGACTCGATTCCATAAGGCGCGGCAGACTCGGCGAGGGCGGCAAGCGCAAGAGCTGTCATAGTTCGCACCTTTTGCTGGTCGTCCTTGAGCCCGTCGGCGATAGCATCGACCAGGTTGCGCAAGTGCGGAAGCGTAGCGCAGCCCATCATGACGGCAATCTGCTGAATGATACGGATACCGGTATGACGCGCTTGCCACGACTTTTTGGAGCGACAGACGGCTTTCAGGAAGGGGAGGAGAGCGGGGATACCGAGAGCGGAGGCGACGACGGAGAAGGCTCGGGCAGTGGTGTTTCGGACGTACTCGTCAACGTGATCGATATCGGGACGCATGGTGGAAATCATGTGGGCGAGACCGGCAGCTTTGGCGAGATTGGAGATGATTTCGCGACCTTCGACACGGGCATAGTAGTCTTCGTCAATCAAGAGAGGTTCGATGACTACCAAGATTTTGTGAACGTAGGGGCGAACAAGATCGTCGAGCTTGTAGAGAACACGGTCAATGACCTTGACAAGCAAGTGACGTTCTTGGTCTTCTAGGGTCCGTTCCATGAGGAGGGGGAGAATCTTGTCAAACAAGGGGCCGGCACCGAACTCACGGGCACGGTCTGTGATCTGACGAAGAGCAGTCTTTCGGACAGGAGGGGTACCGTTCTTGATCTTGAGCAAGAGACGCATAATCTTGCGCTCCTTGAGCTCATCCAGAGTATACTCGACGTCGTTCTCTTCGCCTCCACCTTCACCGAGCACCTTGGCGAAATACTGAGCGTCTTCAGGCTTGAGGAACTGGAGTGTTCCGATGCCCTCGATCTCGGTCTGCTCTGTCGTACCCTGGAGACCACCGGCGGCAGCTCTCATCTTGGCTGCTTCGGCATCGTCTTGCTGCATGAAGCCGTGTTCGCTGGTAGCAGAAACCATTTTTCGTACGGGAGCACTGGGGTGGTAGTCGTCGGGGACAGGAACAATCACGTATCCCTCTGCAGCACCGGGAAGAAGCGAGTCGAGCTCGTCGTTGGTCATACTGCGATATCGCTTGTCTTCGACCATACGCAGGCCCGGGGCAGGAGGGACGGCAGAGGTGGAGGGCGCCTCTGTCGGTGTCTGGTCCCAACGAGAGCGTTTCTTCTCAGGGGGCGCCTCGGCAGGCGTCTGGTCCCACCTCGATCGACGCTTTTTGGGCTCGCCATCTTCCTGCTTGACCTCGGCCTCTACTTTTGGCTTCGTGTCTTCTTCGACGTCCCATCTGCGCTTCTTGCGAGGGGGAGTGTCGTCGCCCGCCTGAGCTCGGGGAGGGGTATCGTCACCGGCAATAGCCTTCCTTGGGGGCGTGCTGTCGCCAGCAATGGCCCGAGGGGGTGTCTTGTCGTCGTCGACCTGCATCTGTCCCTTTTCCTGTTCCTCCTTCTCGAGCTTCTCCTTGTATCGCCGCACCTTCTCCTCCTCCTTCTCAACATTCACCCTGCGCATCCTGTCCTCATAGCTCTCATCCTCGCCCTCGCCGAGTCCGTCTGTCCTGTTGAAGCGCCTGAGCTGGTAGTCGCCCTGGCGAGCTGCGACCTGCTTTGACTTTGCCTTGTCCTGGAAGGCGTCTGGGGTGTCGTCGTCGTCTGCGAGCTGAGCGTGTTCGTCGAGGATGTCCTGGGGCGCGGTGTAGGACTGGAGCTGGGGGTAGTCAGAGTCCGAGTCGCCCATCGTGCTGTATAGTGAACCACCGGGGAGTGAAATGCGTCAAGTAAGTAGAGAAGCAAGAGCGGCGGCGCACCCCGCATTACATAAGCACGCTTTGCCACATGCTGGTGCAGCGCGGCGTTATGGCTGGGGTGCGGCGATGTCCGCCCAAATTCGCAGGCGGGGTAGTCTTTGTGGCACAAATTCGACATCGAAAGAGTTCTTCACCCAGCAAAAAAGTCGTCAGTCCCTCAATCCCCCTTCCCCCGTTCGCAGCTCATCCCAGCAGACAAAATGGCCAGCATCAACTCCAAGATCCTCCGATCCGCCAACGCCCCCCAGACCGCCCCCTCCGAGATCGAGCAGCAGATCGCCCAGGCCCTCATCGACCTCGAGGCCAACGTCCCCGAGCTCAAGACTGAGCTCAGGCAGCTCGCCTTCTCCTCCGCCAAGGAGGTCGACGTCAAGGGCGGCAAGAAAGCCGTCGTTGTCTTCGTCCCCGTCCCCATGGTCAAGGCCTTCCACAAGGTCCAGCAGAGGTGAGTACGCCGGAGAACGTGGAGGGATACAAAGGCGGATTGGGGCGCACGCCGAGTGTTGGCCGGGGTAGACGGAGGGACTTTTCAGGCCCACCTCCCCTAGGCAGCTCGGCGTGTGCCAATACCAAAAAGCTGGAGAAATCGCCCCATGGCTTGAAAATGTGGATTTTCGCTGATCACAGGATTTTCTTTCCCTCCCCTTCCCTTCGCCCACGCCCATCACAGGCTCACCCGTGAGCTCGAGAAGAAGCTCTCTGACAAGTACATTGTCTTCCTCTCCCAGCGACGAGTCCTCCCCAAGCCCTCTCGATCTTCCGCCTCTGCCCAGAAGCAGAAGCGACCTAGGTCCAGGACCCTTACCGCTGTCCACGAGAAGATCCTCGAGGAGATCGTCTTCCCCTCCGAGATCGTTGGCAAGAGGACCAGGGTTGCCCAGGACGGTTCCAAGTTGATCCGAGTGTGAGTACCAGCCGCACACGTGGCCGGGCTGTTATTGACGAGTCTGCAGCTACCTCGACTCCAAGGACCAGAACAACCTCGAGTACAAGCTCGACACCTTCTCCTCTGTCTACCGAAACCTCGCTGGCAAGGACGTTGTCTTCGAGTGAGTCGTTATCATCCAGTCTGTTGCATCCTGCTGACAATTAACCAGGTTCCCCGTCGTTGCCCAGGAGTAGATTGTTGTTGGCAGTTGAGCTGGCATGCATTTGTGACACTAGGGACTATCTACCTTTGACCCGTTCCTTTGGGGCTCTTTGCGATGAGATTGTATAATAGACTGCATCATACTAGATGTACCACTAATCTCTCTGTATCATGGCCAAGAAGGAGGAAAAGAAGAAACTGCTGACGTTTGGCCCTTTCGAGCAGGTGCTACTAGCACTCGTCCTCATGGGATTCGGTAAGTAGCCGCATGGCCAATCTCTTGCTCACACCATCAGCATCTCATCCCTCATTCCCCTACTCACCCTTTACACCCTCACTCGCGCCAGATGGATCTCCTACTCTGTCTCCCCTTCCCTTTCTCTCCCCGCCATTCATGATGATGATCATCATCGTCTACCTCGGATACTACATCCTCAAACGACAAGAAGCCGAGCGCGATCGCCTCAAGGCGCTCGCCAAGGCTGCAAAACCCAAAAGCTCATCTTCTTCCAGCTCTTCCTCATCCTCCGCCAAGAAGCCTCTCTCTTCTTCAGACGTCCGAGACGGCAAAGTGGCAGCACCGACCAACAAAAAAGTGGGTGACCCTACCCCCAAACACGTTTCCGGGTCCTCCTCTTCCTCCAAGGACGACCCCTCCAGCACCAGCTTTCGTAAAAACTACTTTTTGACCATGCAGGGGCCGGGTCGGCCTGCGCTGGTACCGTTCCAGGACGGCTTGAGGCCGAAGAAAGGGGAGGCTGCTGGAACAATGTGGTGGGACAACGTGCCAGATGGTGAATCTCCCTTCATTCACCTTGTATCCTTTGTTGACTCTGGTTGCAGACGCCAAAGACCTCATGGCCCCGCCGCTAGACAAGGACAAACTCAAAGCCGCCATGAAGAATCCTTACCAGACCGAGATGCTCGAAAAGGATATTCAACTTTTCAAAATTGCCAAGCTTCAGAAAGAAGAAGAAGCGCGTTATGCAAAGGTCGCCTCCCTCCTTCAAACAATGCTTGGATTTTTGTTGTGTGCAGCAGATATGAGGCTGGGTATAGGACTGATGGTGTTTTTCCTGTGGAAGCATTTCACAGGATTGCATGAGGGGCAACTGAAGGGCGAGGAAGATGAGATTGAAAAGGAAAAGAAGGAGCTGGATACAAAAATCAAGGAGGCCAAGAAGGCCGGGATGAGTAGTATGGACGTCATGGCGTTACAGACTGCGCTCGAAAGGTTAGGCTAGGGCAGATTGATACATGGTCATGCATGTGACATGAAAAGGTGGGTATATGCTATGTGGCAAGTGTACTCAGAGGTCTCGTCGCTGGTCATCGCCAGCCGCCCATGAAGGCGCCGAAGAAGTCCTGCTGGATTCTGTCTGCCACTGGCGTATGGCCTGAACGCCTTGAGTATTGGAAAACATTCTTCGCTGGATGATCCATCAGCATAGTCCTTGTCGCGAGTGCATTACTCACGGGTGGTGGCGCCGGGCCCGGCCCAAAGATCGTTGAAAAGGTGGGCAGTGCCTCCTTCCTTCCCTCGCTCCCGGCATCATCCACTCTCACTTCCGTCTCCTTTTCCCCTAGTCCCCCGCCCCCGCCCACGAGAGACCTCCACTTGCCCACATCATCTCCGATCTTCAAATACTCACTCAGCCCGCGTCCAAAAGTCATTCGTCGCAGGACAGCGAGCACGAGAGTCGCAACAGTCAAAATCAAGGCAAGGATACCCAGAGCTTTGAAGAAAGACCAGTGTGTAAAGGTGGTACGGAAGGTCGAACTGGCGAATGAAGTTGCCCACCCGGCAAGAAAGCTATTTGAGTGTCAGCATAGACCACGCTATGACAGAGAGGAGGAAGAGATTGACAAAATAGAGAGACCGATGAACACCATGAACTGTCTACGGCTCTCGGTCCTGATAGACTTCCAGCCAAAGTACAGCCATGGGAAAAGCATCTACGTAGGGTCAGTTGATATTCTTCGCTCAAGCATGACGTACGATAACTAGGATAGAGTACAGAGCCCGCCATGCTTTACAATTGCTCATAAAGTAGCTCGCTTGGCCCCGAGTAATCTGTGTATGGTCAGGCGCGTTTTTAGGTCATTCAAGACACATACTTGATCAAGGTAGAGAGCAAAGAAGGTGACCAGCGCAAAAGCATCCAGTTGCAGAATGATGGACAGTCCAAGAACAAGCTTGTACATCTTGTTCATGGTAGACGAAGCCCCAATCCTCTGGAATGTCTTGATGGTGTCAGCCAAATATCCATAGACCGTATATGAACAACAAACCTGCCACCCGAAGCTGTCTCTCAGTTTCCAACACCCCCAGCCGCTCAGCCCCAGCGTCAGTACGTTGATGGCCAGTGCGGCGCCCTGAAAACCGACTCTCTTTGCGAGATAATCGGGAAAAAACGAAACATTGTCTCCACAGTTGTCTCGAACCATCTCTGAGAAATGTCTCCAAAATGCAAACGAGAGACGAAGGACGTTGGCTGACCAGGCGATGGTGAGGACGAGAGAGAACAAAAGGGCCATCAGGTGAGGTATGGACTCGTTCAACACCTGTGGTATGCGTCAGAAAGGGATTGAATGATTGGTGAATGACTCACGGCTACGACAACGAGGCCTAAAACCCACATGAAGAAACATGCCAGCACGATTTCTTCTCTGACAAAGTTGTCCAAGCTGTAGGGATTTGTCAGCCGTCGTCTTTCCGAGTATCGAGGCGACTCACGAATTGACTGACCAAGCGAATCCAGCAGCACATTGCTGCGCACATCTGTCAGCTTTGGTTGAGATGAGGAGGGTCGACGTACTTGAGAAACAAAAGTGTCAGCATCTCCACCAACCCCCGTTATGTTGGCCCCGATAATCGTCCCGTCTTCGCCCTGGACAGGCTTGACACCGTCCAAAGAGCTCTTGATGGGAACCGAAGCAGCCAGCCTTTCGGGGCTCATGGCGATGCCCTCAAACTGATCCGGTTGTTCTTCGAGAAGCTTTTTGAGCTGAGCAACAGTCATGCCTTTAGGTAGAACCGTTGAATCGACCCCCGAATCAGAGTCACAGTCGGCGGACGTGCTGGCGGTGGCAACAGCAGACGCTTTGGAACTTGTGGTTGTGGTAGCGATAAAGCCGGTGATGCTAGCTGTAGAACCCGTAGTGTTGGAAAGCTCCGATCTGGCGCCTGCAAAGTATAGACGCTTGTGAGATCGGTGCTTGGCGCTATCGCGTCTCGACGGGATGCTATCAGTCTGTTCATCGTCGGATGAGTCTTCGCCGTTTGATTTGCTTTTCTTTTCAACCCTTCGTCTTCTGTAAAACTTGGGAGGGGGAGGAGGCCTCGATAAAGCGTTATGTCGGGCAGCATGAACTTCATCACCAGAAGACGACGATGATTCGCCCGATGCGGAAGATGAGGATGACGCTGACTCTGTCCATTCTTGCGCAGAAGGGGATGCTGGCGCCAAAGACGACGCATTACTGGTCACCGAAGACGAAGAGGTGGCGACGGAGGAGACTACCTGGCTCGCGCTCGTGGTAGATGTTGTGACTAAGGAGGCGGACGTGCTGAGGGCGGTTGTAGACGTGGAAGACGCAGTCAAAGAGCTAGAAGTCCGCACAGTCACAGCTGATGAAGCGACACTGGTCGAAGTGGGCACATTGCCCGTGGACAGAGACGAGCTCTCGATATCTGCAAGGGTCGCGCCTGCCTCGTCCATGAGGATTGTGGTGGTCATCACCTGGCCGCTGGACGTCACGACGGTTGGCACAGCCAATAGCCGAGTTGTGATGGCATTGCCCTGGAGGGTCGAGACAGTGGTGATGGTACTCGTAGACTGGCTCTCGTTGGCCGTGCCAGTGCTGGTCGAGTTGCCAAATTCTGTTTCAGACTCAGAACCAGAGTCGGAAGAAGACCCAGGATCAGAGTCGGAAGATGAATCTGATTCTGCCTCTGCTTTCTGTTTGGATGCCACCTTCATTGTCTTTCCCTCCACGACCTTGCACTTTGTTCCTTGGTCGTTACACACAAGGCTGTTGCTGCTACCACCCTCCTGTACATCTGTGATGTTCACAACCCGTGCAGGGGCGATTCGCCAGTCTCCAATGTTACCCAGTTCGTCGACAAAGATGACGGACGATAGGTCGGCGCTGTCAATGAGGTGGCGCAAAAAGTGGGAGGTGGAGGCATTGGTCTCGAGGGAGAGAATGGAGAGGATAAATATAGTGGAGCTGGAGATCAAATGCAGTGCGAGGAAGGGTCGGACGGGTTTGGATAAGCGAGCGGACTGCAAGGCATGAGCACTATTTCTCATTTTGCGAAACTCACGACAAGGGCCTGGGTTTTATCCCATCGATCAACGAAGCCCATGGAGGATGTTACAGTCTGTCCAAGGCGTCAAGCCTGGTGAAAAGAGAAACAAATAATCAAGACCGCTCAGCGGTATGGATAAAGGGCGAAAAGAGGAAGAGAGAAGGAGAGGAGAGGCTTGGGACGGCGGGGTGAAAGATGGGTGGAGAAGGGAAGGGAGAGCATGCAGCCCAGCAATTGCAAGCATCCATGCAAAATCGGCAACTAGCCGCCAGGGGTCCCAGTGACCAGTGACCGTAGCGTGCGGATGGGCATCAGGTGTATGTCACCTTGACGACTGTCCTCTTGCCTACCCCTTGACGACTCGGGCATACCAGTGTCGAGTTCCTATGCGATGAGCACGCCAATTCCTTAGCACTTCTGCGTCAGCGTGGAGACGTTGGGGGCAATGGCACATCCGATGCATCCGAAGTCCAGGATAATTGCATGTCACTGCCGGATCATAATACATCCTGCAAAGCAGATTGACCGGACCCTCGCTTTGAGGGCTTGGGCTGATTGGGCCCGGGCTTCCATCCGATCTTGGATGCGTGTCAGTAAAGAACTACAAGCTGAAGCTAGACTCACCAGAAAGATGATAGAGAAGGTGGCAGGCACCGTACCGTCCTCGTTGCCAAACAGTTCTACGGCCGTCAGCGCCGCTTATTTGAGCTTGAGTCATATCTCACCTTGATAGATACTGCTTGCAGCTACAAGAACGTCTCTTCCAATTGTCGCACGTCTACCAAGAATAGCATTGCTTTCGCCCATATCTCGCAAGTCTGCCATAAGCTCCCACATTGATGGGTAGTTTATGGTTAGGTCTTCGACGTCTACTGTGACCGATGAAAAGCCAGCTCTGTTCATTAGGGACGGGGCATCGGTGGGATCTACATCGAGACGTCAGCATGGACTGTGGTAGTCGTGAGACTCACTGATCATGGGAGATACTCGGTTGGCGATGCCTCCTCGTATCTCTTGTTCGGCAAGTTGCAGTGAGGTCCTGCAGCCGTCAGCTGTCATCTCGAGGTATCGTTAGGAGATCACCTACCTCATCTCGAACAAGGTGTCGCCACCAAAGACAGCACCCACGAACACGCCGTCGGGTTTCAGCAGATGCCGCACTTGCGTCAAGCCGCCTGTCGAGGTTTAGTTCTGACCACATATGCAAACGTCGAGACTCACCAACAATATCACCAACCCATTGCAGCCCACCAGAGGAGACGACAGCTTCTACTTGCTCCTTCAGAGGCTCGATTTCGGGATGAGCAAGCAGGTTTGAGGGAGATGCTTGGATTCGCTCTGGGGGTGCTAGAAAGTCCAGTCAGCTTTAGTCAACTACGAGTGGCAAAACCAACAGATAAAGCACGAGTCCTGGTCCCTATAGAGCGCTTCTTCTGCAAACTAGATTAGAAACGTCCAATTTTATGGGATCAAAGGACACTTGCTGCTCGACTCAACCATCCACCACCGACGGCGTCCTTGGCTCTCATGCTGTCCTTGCCCCGGCACTTCATCAGCCAACACGTCTTGTAATATCTGCGTCAGTTGGCCTGCGTGTGCCGACAGCTCCATGATTGACGAGGGCGGAACTTTCAGATCCTATCGTACGATCAGCATCGATCTCCTCTCATGGCTGATCGTACCTCTATTCTCTCTGCCAGCCTCTCTGAGACTTCTTCCCGCAAATAATCAACGACTCTCAGTCCGTCTTCAACTGATACCTGCAAATCACCCGGGCCGGGTTCGGCATTGGCCTTGGCTGCTTCTAGCTCGCGCAGACGGATGATGGCGCGTGAACGCTGGAGATCTTTAGAGGGCTCGTCGAAGACTTGGTATGCGGCAGTGGGAGGCGGGGTGTGGGGATTGAGGGTCGCATAGAAGCGGGGCTGGGGCAGGCGAGGGCAGAGCCTGCGTTTGGGGAGTACCCGCAGGGCAGAGCGCATCGTGAAAGGTGTGGAAGTAAACGAAGAAACCGCAAGATGTGGGATTCATTACGCGGCGCGTCAAAGATTATTACGGCGTCGTGCGTACGCTCGTATACGCTTTGGGGTCAGGCTATGTTGTGCTTCAACGTCACCCTCGGCAGGTATCACAGTGATCAAGTCGAACAATAATCTAAGGCGTCGCATGCAAAAGCGGCTATACCTGGCGAGCTTCATTATTTGGAGGGATCAAAGAGTAACAAGTGATACCCATCGCAGAGTATCACGCAGAGTGTCACTTCCGATTAGCAACATTTGCAAGTTAATGGACATATTTCAACCCAGAATGGGAGATGCAAGCTTAAAGTCGAGAAACAGGCGTGAATACGCATCCATCCCTGTAAAAGTACACCGCAACCCTCAGGATTAGGCCTTGGCCTCCTCCAACTCGACCTCGTGGATACCAGCCCTCTTCTCTGCGAGCCTGGTAGCCTTCCTCTCTCGCATAGCCCTGTTCTTGACTCGTCGGGCCTCCTGCTGCTCGGCGAGGTGCTTGGTTCGGAGCTTCTCGGCCTTCTCCTTGTGGATGTGCTCCATCAAGACACGCTTGTTCTTGAATCGGTTACCCTTGGCCTCGGCGTAGAGGGTGTGGTACCTGCAGTTGTCAGTCTACAGCTCCACAGTACCATGGCGTTGACATACATGTGCTTGTCGATCTTGCCAGCCTCTCTGTACTTCTTCAACAGCCTCCTGAGAACCCTCATCCTTCGGAGCCACTGGACCTTGGTAGGCATACGGGCCTCGGCGGTACCCTTCCTCTTACCGAAACCGGTGTGTCGGCCGGCACGCTTGGAAGCGGCGTGCTCCCTAGCACGGGCTCGAGAGTGAACAACGGTGGGCTTGATGATGCTGTGAATATCTATCAGAGACATTCTAAATGCCGTCACGCGCATGCTCACATGTGGCCGTCCTTGAGGAGCTTTCGGACACCAGATCGAGAGTTGGCCTGCTTGATCTCGGCAGCCTCCTGGGGGTCGAGCCAGACTATTGGGTGAAGCATGATGGTGGGCGTGCAGAAGGAGAGCGAGGGGAGGCGATGGGGGAAAGAAAAGACAGATGCCGTTAGCACAAGACCAATTTCGAATCCGTCCACAGCTCCCAGCATTGCGCCATTGAACTTCCCACCAGTTCCTCTCAATATCGCCAGCCTTTGCAGATACTGACTCTCCCCTCCATTCCTATCCGTTTCCCTCTGCTGCCCGCCCCGGGTCTCCTCTCCACAATCTCTCCTCTCGAATTTCCCTGGTGTTTTTCGCCGGCGATGCTGGGTTGTATGCGGTCTGACAACTCACCCTTTCTCTTGCCGACGTTGGCGACGCTAGCCGCGAGCCTCTTCTGCTGCCTGAGGTTGACCATTTTGTGTTGTTGGGACTTGACGGATAGGGAAAAACCTGGTACGGCGAGATTTCAGCAGCCTCAGACGCACGCGGCGAATCGGCGATACACAAATCCACTCCCAACGGGATCAAATCGCGTGTGGCAGCATACCCGTAATTACACTTTGCTGATCCGTTGTTTAACACCGACAGTCTCGCATCCGTGCCTTCCGGACAATTGTGTTGCATGCAAACTACATCACAGAACAGTCAGTCACTGGCGTCGCTCGGGGGCATCCTCAAACTTCTATAGCTCCTGGAAGATCTGCCCGTGCTCGACGAAGGCATGGTCGGAGGACGTCTGGACGAGAGGCCGCTTCTCCTACCCAGCCCTATATAGTGATACACTCCTTCAGCGATGTCAATCCCTTTCTGCTTCACTCCCCACCGAATAGGCTCGCAATGCTCGCTGAAAAGGTCATCCGCAATCTCGCTTATGGGCAGCTGCTGGACCCACGCATCAAAAAGCTCGGTGTCGTGTTTCACGCCAATCGAACAAAAGGCTGTTTTCCACGGTATCTCGCTCGTTTCGCCTCCTGGCCCCGTCCAGCAGATGTTGCTAAAGTCGAGTCTGATTGTTCTCTGTTGTCCACCGCTTGACGGCGGGTACGTCACTACATCCTCAGGTGAAGCCATGGCAGGCGGTCCGTCCCATGTAAACACACTGAAGCCATCCGACCTGTACACGCTTCCGCAGGGTACACCGGCGTACTCTTGCGGAGAAAGTGGATTCGACCGATTGTGCTTACTGGATCCATCGATAACGTATGGGTAGGGACAATGGGAGGCTATTTCCGCCGAATGCTGCCTACGGGAGGTTTGTCGGGATTGTTGCCAAAAGTGATCATGACATGGCAAGTTGTCGTAGTACGAGTAGTTGTTCGAGGAAAAAGAGGGACTCTTGTGGCTATAAGCTTCTGATTTTCTGCAAAACATTCTTTTCTGAGGGGAGGTACTGATGCAAAGTATGGCTCTATATACCGACAAGTGTCGACGCGCATGTCTCCCCCCAATCACTCCTTAGATTTCTTTGTAACACAAAGGATTTTTTGTACTACAACAAAACTCATTCTACCCACAATGGATCACCTGTATATAATGCATCGTGGATTGTAGGTCCGCATAAGTCTCCTCAATGTACGCCTCTAGCTGATCCTTTGAACGTAGAAATGATGCATCACTAACACAGGCATTACATCACCATTCATCGTCCCTAACAACAAGTATCCACTACATCAGCAGTATAACAAGTATTGATGCAATGTCTTTGCTCACAAGATAGTACATCCCGAGCCGCGGTCTCTTTTGCTAGTAGACGACTTGGAGCCCCCTCCCGATTTATTACGAAATGCGCGACGTCTGAGCCGGTGATATTCTTCTTCTTCTTCAGCCTTTGTGGGCCGCCTCCAGCTCTCTCGCGGCGGCTGCTGATGGGTCGACCTTGACCTTCTTGGCCCGAGCCCCCATCTACGGTGCTCAGCCTCGGCCTCTGATTCAGCTACAAATTGAAGCTTATCCCTCACTTCGTCTGGCACATCACTGAACAAGTCATTGATTATTGATACGGTTGGCACATGGTCTAGCCAGCTATTGACCGGCTGTTGGTCCCACTTCACGTTCACAGGCACTCGGGCCTTTGTCCAGGGAATCCTCGTCATTTCGCCCCGCATTGTATCCTCATAGCACACGTCCTTGAACTCGATATCGATAAGCCTCCAATTTCCGAGACCTTCGGCCTCACTGGGACTGTATTGGACCTTTTCGAGAGGTCCGCGAGAGCTCTTGGATGCTATGAATGTCTTGTATCTGGGATATGTTTGGCGCTGAGATTCTGGCGCTTCTTGGGGATGATCATCGTCATTGGTATCCACGTTGGCTGAGTCGTCTTCGGGTTCCGTCTCTGCTGGCACAATGTGGTCTCCCATAGGAGGAGGAGGCATACGAAACCGGCCATCTTCCCGTACCCACCATTCCGAAGGATCTTCCCAGTACGGTCGCCCTTTTGTCGATCGCGAAGTGTCTTCCTCTTGACGAGACTTCTTCTTGGAAGCTCGTCGACGACGTCTCTTTTCCTCTGAATCGGTTTCATACTCTACCTCGATCGTCTCGTCCGCTCTGGTATCTCTAGCATTGTCATGTTTTCTGGTGTCTTCGGGGTCGTCATAAGTGACTTTTATGTCATCCGCACTCGGACGGGCTCCTTCGCTGGCAAAGGCATACGGGTATTCTCTCTGACGAGTGGATTGCGATCTTGGCCGCCTTGAGAGGCGACGCTCTCGACGGTTGTAGTATGACGAGTACGGTGCTTCATGGGCAGACTCGTGTTCCCTTGATGAGCGCGGTGCTTCATGGGCAGATTCATATCCCCTTGATGAGCGGACTGTGTAAGACCTGACCGTTGGTCTTCGAGAAGAAGGGTGATAGTCCTGGTAATACGATTGTGAGTTTAGCGGTGGGTATGTACCTCGTCGTCGAGGCGTGTAAGACATGGTGTTGTGTAAAGTACTCTGCAGGGTGATCGGATGATACCGAAATGCCAGACGTGGGGTGATCTTTGTAGAAATTCAAAGAGGACAGCAGGAAGTCAAGATGACGCTATAATATATCTCAGCTGATGCTGAGACTTGTGCCATATTGCGATCAAAGGAATCATTAGACGAAGCCTTGGTCGACAATAGCTCGAGTGAGTCTCACACCAAACAATTCTGTACCTTTCCCATCAAAATACTTGTAAAGGAAGACATGTCGCCGACTGATTCTTCCGTTCGTAGGCCCAACGCCATCCCTTATTGGTCCTTCACTTGTGTCTGTCTTCCGCGAGGAGATGCTTCTGAAAAGCCTGCGGTATTAGTGTCTAATCAAGCGCAAAAGCCTGAGGATAGAATCTCTTGAACGGCGTTATCTAGCCGCAGGGTGCCTATGAGAACCCATTGTCAGACTTCGAAGGCAGTTATTTGAGAGTGTATTCTTGTATTTCGAAGCGAGCGTGAGTCGTTTTCGTTGGTACAGATGCAGTCACATAACAACGATTTCGACCTATGCTACGAGGTTAAGATGTGATATTCTCCTCAAGATGCCTTCTAATAGTCTTTGTCTTTCCACTGACGCTTTCATCAGCGAGTCTTCCATACCTTGCGAGAAACTTACAATCCCTGTCAGTCCGTGATACGCCACCTTGACTCCCCCACTCTTCCAGTCCTTCCACCCGAGACCGAAGAGCCACGGGCTAAATCTTCCATGCCTGTTTGTCCCCAACTTGAGATGTAATGATTCGACATACTCCCACAATTGCTTGATCGATTCAAAAGGTGCGTGCCACGCTTCCTCTTGGAGAATGAGGATGTCGCCAATTCGGACCGGCCCCCGAAGAGCTCTGAGGTCTTCGGGAGTGACGCCGTATTGTACAAGGAGATACCTCAATACAGCGTCAGTGCTACAAGCTGTCAGCGGTTGCCGCGATATCTACAATTTGGTACTGACAAAGGACCGGGACCGGTGAGTTCGAGCTATAGGATGTTAGCCTATGCGACATTGTCCCACGAGATGACATGCCGGTCTTAGACTCTTGGCCTCGCCTGATTTTACCAGCTGAGCAATGGTGGCGACGGTATCTAGCATTATAGGATGGAAAGGTTTAGCCTGTAGGTACGCATTAGCAAGAGGCATCAGCTGCCTGCCGCCGAGTCTGACTTACCACCAAGAGGTTCTGAGCAAACTCGATATTCCTAGGGTATTTCGAGCTCTCGGTAAATCTAGACCAAGTCCACTGCCTCCACATGCCCAACGTCCTCCCAATTTTGTTGTCCCATTCAATTGCGATGACCATAGAAAGCCGTGGATTCAGAATTGTCGATGGATTCGGAATCGAAACGTAGACTGGGCTCCGCCGTTCTATGCCAGGGTAGGGAGGTGTATATGAGCTATTGTGTTGGGGCAGGGAGCGAGAGTCAATGCGGGGTGGCCGAGTGTTTGGGGGGAATTTAGGTCCGCCACGGTTGACGATGAGCTCAGCGAGTAATTCGAGGTCGGGGTTGATGATATTGGAAGGGGCATGTAGGCCCCACAAGAAGGGATGAGAGATGGGCTGCGTTGTCGATCAGTGTCTGCATTGCGGCAATAGTATCACGCACCATGGTATCAGAGTCAGAGTAGACGCCACCAGCAACGAGCATCGATGTGTATCTGGATGACTGTCAACGCTCTTCACAGGTCCTCTCCAGACTTACCGAAAGACGTCGGCGCGCAAAACACCCATTTCCAAACCTCCCCAAAGCTCTGACCACTTCCCTTCTCCCGGTATGCCCCGTTGAAGCTTCTGGCCGGTCCACTCTGTCATGATCCTATCTAGTCCATCGTCATCGGGTACTTCTACATCCCAATCTTGCCCATCCCTAGCGGGCTGGAGGAAATCAACATCCTTGTCCACCGATATCTGGTTGGCAAGGGCGGGAGGAAGAGGGAAAGGTAATACTTTCCCCCAGAGCTCAAACCCTAGCTGCACACCTTTGATGCCAGCCGGATGCGTCGCCCACACTTTTGCTGGGAATGATCCATCTCGGTATCTGGGCGATTCACGTTTTATTAGGCTCTTCAACGTATTCCGTGCCGCAATATGGATATGTGCGGGCGCTTGCTGAAGGTAGTTGTCGATGAAATCCCGCAGTCTTCCCATGTATACCTCGAGGTCTGGGTCGAGGTTGCTGGTGCCGTCCGGCAGCGTCTTTGGCGCTTTGATGCTTTCGGCGCAGACAGTTCCATTGAACCCCTTCGCCCGTAGAGCACCATGCCTCACTTGCTCATACAGATTTACGAGCTCTGATAATGGGGCATTCTGAATATGTTTTCGAGTCTCCGAGTCGGTGAAGATGGAGGGCGGGTGGGAGGTGGAAAAGGAGAAGGATAGGTAGAAGACAAGAGCGAAGAGTACGAGGAGAAGCTTGGCGGGGGTGTTGAATCGTAAGAGGCTGCGGGGGGTGAAGAGGCGAGCCATACTACGTGGTCCGGGGAGTTGGCAGCATATATACAGGCGGATGTCGCGAAATGTTGTGAACTCGAAGTGGAATCGGGATCGACGCGCTTATGACGCGACGCGTTTAATCTCCGGTCGCCGGTCATGACATGCGCAGTAGGCTTTGTGTTTGGCTCCGTATCCTCATGCGCTGATTATCTTTTGCATATTATAGTATTTTTACAAGTGCCACCCCGCTCAAGGGTCGATGATGACCCCTCCAATCCTCTCAATTGTAGCCGTCTTATCCAGTGCTGTCGACCAGTCCCACCCATAGCCCCTGAGCTCGCTATGCTTTGGAGGGAGATAGTAGAGGGGACCGTCCCAGACGACATATCGATGACCTCTGACACCCTTTCCTCGGAACTGACTAGGCAGGCGCCACGGTTCGGGTATCTGCAGCAGTATTAGATCTGGCCATTTTCCCTGACTGATACGACTCACATCACCTTCACCTACATGCCAGTAGAGTTGCTGGTTATCTTCATATATGACCTTCTGGCCAGGCTTCCCTAGCAGGAATTTCCCGACCTTCTGTGGTGTCAGCATCCATGGCGCACTCAGAGTCGAAAAGAGCTCACTTGAAGTTCAGTATCTGAGATATCGCTTTCATGCACCCTCGCATATGCTACTCTCCACAAATTTCTGAACGCCATGTATTCACACCATCTCCAACGATCGTCTCTGAGCATAAGGTCAGCCTGTGGGATATCAAGGCGCGATAAACTCACATTTCTATATCCCACATCCTCCCGTCTTCCATGAGGATTTGATAAGGCCACGGTCTCCTGTCGCCTGTTCTCGTCACCAGATATCCAATGAATACTGTCGGCTTGTCTGCCGTTTCCCGCAAAAGCCGCGCCAGTTCCGTGGTCTGCAGCGTCCTATCACTAAGATCCTCCTCTTGCCCGTTATGGGACACCATCACATTGACATGTTCACCCTGAATGTCCAACGTGGCATATATGGCAGGGGCAAGCTCGCCGTCTGGGGAAGGGAGGAGGTGATGAGTGGAGTTGAGGATGGGGAATTTTGACAGAAGAACAGCGCCCCAGGTGTGTTTGTTGGGGCCCGGTCCGAGATCGACGTACTGTAAGAACGTGTCAGCTGGTTCAGAAGGTTTCGGGAAGAACCCAATCACGTAGCCCAGCTCTTCAGCCATCACTCTAGTCAAGTCTCGGTTGCCGTAGACGAAACGATGTACTGGTGGGTAGCTGTCAGCACAGTCTTCCACTTCCCGACCACATACAATCCGTTTCCAACAGTCCCAAAACATCCACCTCCATTCCTTGCACCAGGTCCCGCATTCGTCTTTGACTATCTCTCCCATCCTTGTCAACCCCGAAATGCACTGTCCAGATACCGGCAGAGAATATCCGATGCTCGGGATAGTACGGTACAGGTGCCTCAACCGGAATTCGAGAGAAGCTGTAGAGGATGCCCAAGAGGGAGATGAGACCAGCGGAAATGAGTGTGAAGCGTTGCACGGCTTTGGTTCGCCGATGGGTACGACGAGGAAGAGAGGAGCCAGAAGGCAAGTCGAGAGAGTACCCCGCCCACGCCCCGGCAGCCGTTGACAACATACAAGCCCCCAATACAACATCTGTCCTCTCCCGTAGAAGCCAACCCATAGGGACGAAAGCATAGGCAGCCGTAACGACAGAGACGACATCAAAGACAATGTATGCAAGTAGAGCGTTGCCAAAGGTTGTAGCCGGGCTGCAAGCGGAAGCCGCGCGGACGTAGGACGGTAGGATGCTCGAAAGGTAGTAGGTGAGGACGACACCACCGTAGAAACCAGTCCAGTCGGGAAAGGCATAGAGCGCCAAGGCACCCAGGGAGCCAATAGTTGACCAAGCTGGATGCAGGGCGTTCGGGATGCTCACCAAGCCTAAAGCAGTGGCGGCGATGATGAATCCAGCATGCGGATGTAGGGTAGATCCCTTGATAGGATATCCGGTCCATGTCCAGGAGATTACCGTGCCGGCATCCATGAGGAACGTCTGTATGAGATGAATGGCCGTCCCCAGGCCGAGCGACATGAGCCTGGTCTGGAGCACTGTGGGAGGTGTGCTTTTGGCTTGTCCCTTGTCTTTCCCCGGCGCTTCAGGAAGAGGAGGTGCCGGATGTAGATCGAGAGGGCGGTAAACATACTCTGCAAGAGAGATAGCCCCGAGCACGAGCCCTGTTTTGTTCCAGCCCCCAGAACTGCCATTCAAGAGACTCCAAAAGGGATTATTGGAGTAGTTGACGTACTTGAGAAGCATGGTGATAGCTATCCCCAATCCTAGAGCTGCGCTAGACGTCAGACAAGCTCGGTGTATTCTATGATTACTTACTTTGTCCTTCAGCAAGCATCTCCTCCGAGCCCTTGACCCTCACCCACGTCCCTAATAACGCCAACCATCCAGCCCAGGTCCCAACCACCAAGCACACTAGTCTTGCGAAAGGCCACGGAAGGAAATAGCATCCCATTCCGAGAAATATCGTTATAGAACGATGGGTGATTTGGGCGTCGTGGGAGACGAGGTATCTGAACGCAGATTTGGAGTGGAACAGGTATCCGGCAAGATTACCCATGAGAGCTAGCTCGGAGCCTGCCAAAGCTATTGCGTATCAGTATTCCGTCGCAGTCAGTCATGGAAATACATACCCAGCTTCCACACGGACCAGTAGAACAACTGAAAACTCAGCCCTGTGAATACAGTCCAGAAACAGATACCTGTCGGTGTCAACATAGAACGAAAGGGGCAACGCTACCAGCTCACCAAAATAAACATCACTTATCCAAGCCAGACCGAGTCTCAAGCTGGAAGAAGGTCGATCGTTTCCGTGATTTGTCCAGTCCACCAAGGGCTCATCGGCGGAAGGCTCTAGTTCCGAGGGTTGCTTTGCGAAAGTAAAGGTGGTTGTCCTTTGACACTACGTCAGTACTGGAAAGCATATAAGCGCATGGTCTGCTTACACGGAGCTCAAATTGTCGGTGGAAGGAGATGAGCTATCCACAAACGCGATCTGGAGGTGGCCAAGCTCCAGGGTTGATAAAGAGTCAAATGCGAGATCCCAGAAGACCAGCGACCACTCTAAGATAGAATAATATGTGTAGGCTGACATTGTCATTTATCGTCGCAGGGAGCATTGGGAATTTACATACCTCCTTTGATTTTGAGGAAAGAGTGTCGACAATACATCCACATAAGCGGAGGAATGGTGCAGAGGTAGCCGTACATGGGTAAACGTCTGTGACAAGGCAGTCGTCAATAGTGACTTGAAACTTTGGCTATGACCTACCTCCGGGAGGCTGTTGCAGCACTGGAGCAGTTAACGGCGGAGAGGTACATCCAAGGTACTGTAAGAAGTAGATAGAGAATCATGAAAAAGTCGTGAACATCTGAAATTTCGTCAGTCGCCCGTGGTGCGCTGAATGGCAGGTCTGTGGCTTACCAGGTTGATCTCTGGATGTGACAAAGACCCAGCCCCCACTTTCATCTGCTTCAATACACCGTAACACACACTCGACACAGAGATAACGTACCAGCAAATGGTCCGCACGATGCCCACAATGAATTCTACATCTGCCAGCGCCGTCTTTGGCCGGCGGGCGCCGGAAGGCCGAGATTTGAGGGAGGGGTTGCGGTGGACAAGCCATTGCACAATCAAAAGCAGGAAGCGAGGAGTCGCACATAGGGCGATGAGAATCTGGAAGGGGGCGCGTGTTGGGACGTGGTCGCCAATGCTGCGAGCAGATCAATATGGGTTGCGGGAAACCTCGCGCACACGGCTTCAAGAGGTACTCACGTCGCAGATACCGAGGGGAACCATTCCACAGGCCAGCCTTGAAACTAATCAGCCATGCAGATCGGAATAGGACACAGGTATACCCACGAGCGACCGAGTTGGCACAAAGTTTCTTCCAGAGCCCAGCGGCCCAGCCAAGGAAGAGGGCGGTCGCGAACGCCAAGGCGGCTGTGAAAGTGTGGGCATGGGTGACCCATTTTGCTGGGAATGCGAGGAGGACCGTCATGCTGAGGAGTCCACGCTCGGCGAGTGTTGGCGGGTGCCGACTGTTTTTGCGGGATGCAGGAGAGGAAATGGCTTGTTGCCCTCTTCCTATGCGTTATTGACATCCAGCGGCGGTGATCGCCGTGCAGCACATGATCGTCTTCGGAAGCCGGAACTTGGCCGGAACGATGATTCTGCCAAGTATCTAATACGTCAAACAGTTATTCAGTCCAGCGTGCACATGAGCTGGATATCAGGTATGCATGGTGACTCCCCCGATGTTCATACACTGAGGGCGCGGACATGGAGCTTTCCTGGACAACACCACGTCTGCCTACGAAACGACAATCAAGTACTGGTCTGCTAGGCCCGCCCGGGGCACTCATCCGCATCGCGTGGGCTACAAAGGACAAAGGTGGCGATATCGGGGCTCTCCTGCTCATATGTACAAGTCGAAACCGGGCGACTACTTAGTCTCAAGCAGCGTCCGTGCTTGAGGAACGAAGGGTGCAGACTGCAGGTAGCGCCTGCCCAAAGCAAATGGTAGCAGCAGACGATCTCCCAATGATGTCTTGTCCACTGCTGGGCCGTGAGCTTTGCCTAGGCAGCCACAGAGGTCCCTTCGCAATGTAGTTCCATGCAGAACGTTCAGGCGTGGCGATGGTATAGGTCGGAATATATGTGGGCCTCCTGTGCTGTTCTTGATGCAAGACATGCCTCCTGCTGTGACTCTGACAGCATCCCCGAAATGGGAGAAAAGAGAAAAAAGGCGTGGGCAATCGGTGTTGGCGGTGGCAGATGCCGGTGAGAGGAACGATGGTCGCGGCGGGCCCAACGGTGGCGCCCTCGCCGCTGCCGGCGTCGTCGCCACTATCCTCACACCGTGCGCTATACTCGCATCCCCCATCTTCGCCCCTCCCAGCCCACTCCTGCACCCCTGCACACCTCCCGTCGACCTCTCCCAACCACACCTACGAACGAGAAACGACCCACGCGACGGCGCCCTCGCCCCAGCCTCGAAAAACTGTTGGCTTGCAGCTAGATCCCCATAGTCGACAAGCCGCTCAGAAAACGGGGCCCATTAGTCCCTGCCTCCTAGAGAGCTGTACCACCGGTGAGTAATGTGCTGCTGAGTGTGATGCTTGTGATGCTGGTGGCGAGGTTGATGATGGGAGGAAGAAAGGCTTGGTGAGGCTGGGCCGTAGGAGCCCGAGGCAGGGGTGACGCTGTTCTCGACGACTTGCAGGGCTGTCCTGCATACCTTGAGGGTTACCGAGATGGAAAGCAAAAGGCAAAAGAGATACAAAGCCACCCGTAAACTCTGCCATCTCATCTGTAGTCGACCCGAGAGCGTCGCGTCCATTCTTTGTTTTTCAACATCCATCATTCTTCTGTGCGACCTCCTTATGGTATAGTACGCTGACATTCTCCAGCCCATCCCCAACCCGAATTTCAGAACAGGGCCATGGACCCCTCAGCCCTGCACTCGACCCCCCTGGCCAATCAGCAGCACTTCCCCGCATCCATGCTGTCCTCTTACGGCCAAAATGGCATTGACGATGACGACGATACGGCTTCCCAATCATCAGGGCAGAGCCCAGTGGTGAGCATCAATTTGTTTCGATACGTCCAACCGCTCACGCGACCTCACAGGCCTCATCCAAACCATCTTCATCTGCCCCCAAGATTACCCTCAAAGTTCCTCAGAAACCTCTTGCCAACGTTGCTTTCGACTCGGACTCGGAGTCTCTCACCCCAGAGCCTGAAGAGGCATCTGTGGCACCACGGGCAATGAGCGTGGACGAAGAAAGTGATGGAGAAGGCGAGCCGGAAAGGGATGACTTTGACTACGGAGAGGATGACGATGATGAAGATGAGGATGAAGATGATGTGATGGATGAAGCCGACTATGGGGACTTTGACGACGATGACGATGACCCGAGTTTCGGCGAAAGCAAGAAAAAGTCCAAAAAGCCCAGAGGAAAGGTGGTGAAGGAGAAGCCTCTGAAGCAGAGGAAATGTGATTCATTCATCCACAGGTGTAGGCTGCAAGCTGATGTATTTGTAGCCGGTGGTGCGTTCCCCATGCGCAAACAGCAAGCGGACGAGTCCTCGGATGAAGACTATGGCTCCAAAGCCCACAAGAAGAAAAACTTTGCCAAGAAACTCAAGAGGGACTCTTCGAACACGCCATACTCGGAGTCTGATGCCTGGCGAAGGGGTGCGGCCAAAAAGATCGTCACCTACAACGAAGCGGATGTGGATTATGGATTGGAAAGCGAAGACGAGGCTGCTGCTGCTTATTATAGCATGGCTCCCGAGCTACAAGGTGGGCAATCTCGATAGCCGGTGTGGTTCATGCTGACGTTTTATCAGGGGATCCAGCAGACGAAATAGATCAAGTGCTGTATCACTGGCGAGACGAAGCCCACCTGAGCGATCCCAAGGACATTCCGCAGGTCAACCTGGCAAGTACACCGTATCTCACTTGACCGTCTACTAAACGAATAACAGCGCTTTCACATCAAATGGAAAGACTACTCTCACATCCACAATACCGACGAAACTTATGCCTTTCTCAAAACTTACAAAGGTTTCAAAAAGGTCGAAAACTATATCAACAAAGTATGGACGATAGACCAAAAGTTCCACAACCCTGATCCCGATGCGTCATGGAAACCCTCGAGGGAGGAAATGGAACAGTACGAAATTGACAAGGAGAGGATCAGAGAATCGTACGAGAGCTACAAGATTGTGGAGAGAGTGCTGGATGAGAAAGAAGAGAGGAGGCCGGAGGGGAGAGTGACCTTGTTTTTCATCAAGTGGACTAGTACGTGTCTTCAAGAGGGTCTTGTATACGTGCTGACATGTCTGCAGACCTCCAGTACAGTGACTGTACCTGGGAAAGTGAGTGACAGTCCAAGTAAGCACGAGTTGGCTGACGTTGTGCAGCTTTCGAAGAACTCATGGAGTGCACCGGCGCTCAAGCAGGAGTGGACGAGTTCCACCAGCGCCAGGCTCGCCCTACAACGTGTGGAAAATCCATCAACTATGGCGTCAATGATCGCCCTGCTTATGTCAAAATTCAAGAGAACCCACCATATCTTTCCACCGGTGGCTCTCTGAAGCCTTTCCAGCTGACAGGGTTGAATTGGCTGGCTTATGTCTGGAGCAAAGGGGAGAATGGCATTCTTGCTGACGAGGTGAGTCAATATCTCTTCAAAAATATGCTATGCTGCTGACATCCGCCAAGATGGGTCTGGGTAAGACTGTTCAATCAGTCGCCTTTCTCTCATGGCTCTACCACGCGCAGCAGCAATATGGCCCATTCCTTGTTGTCGTCCCTCTGTCTACGATCTCCGCCTGGCAGATGCAATTCCGGGTCTGGGCGCCCGACATGAACGTCATTTGCTACATGGGCTCCGCTCGCTCGCGAGAAGTCATCAGGCAATTTGAATTTGGACCGTTGAAGAACCTCAAGTTCAACGTGCTTCTGACGACATACGAGTTCATCTTGAAAGATCGACAGGACCTGCAACAGATCAAGTGGCAGTGCTTGGCAGTTGATGAAGTGAGTTCTAAGGCCATCCATGCAATGCAGCCTTTGACACATTTCCTTAGGCGCACCGACTCAAAAACCACGAGTCTATGCTCTACGAAGCTCTAAAGAGCTTCTCGACCGCTTCCAGACTCTTGATCACCGGTACTCCCCTTCAGAACAATGTCAAAGAGCTCCTGGCCCTGATGCACTTCCTCATGCCCGAGAAGTGTAAGTCCACCTATCTCTGCAGACGACGGAAACGTGCTGAGTCGGTGTAGTCCAACTCGCCAATGATTTCGATCTCAGTGACGCGAGCGAAGACCAAGGTGCCAAGATCAAAGATCTTCATGAGAAGCTTGGTACTTTAATGTTGCGAAGGTTGAAGAAAGACGTGGTGAAGGAGCTTCCCACAAAGTCGGAGAAAATCCTGCGTGTCGAAATGTCTGCAATGCAGACGCATTACTACAAGAGTAAGTTGCATGCTTTCTTCAATCTCAGGGGCTCATGTTTGATCTAGACATCCTCACAAAGAACTTCGCCGTTTTGAGCAAGGGCGGTACCCAACAAGTCAGTTTGATGAACGTTGCGATGGAGCTCAAGAAGGCCTCGTGAGTGCATCTCCTTCTTCGTTTTCCGAAGAGGCTGACATATATATCTAGAAACCACCCGTATCTCTTCGAAGGTGCTGAAGACCGCAACAAGCCCGCTAACGAGGTCTTGCGCGGTTTGATATCCAACTCTGGTAAAATGGTCTGCCTCGACATGCTTCTTACCCGTCTCAAAGCCGACGGTCATCGTGTCCTCATCTTCTCCCAGATGGTGCGACTTCTCGACATCATGTCCGACTACATGGCGGCCAGAGGATTCGTCTATCAACGGCTGGATGGCACAGTGCCGTCCGATGTGCGAAAGAAGTCAATAGAGCATTTCAATGCGCCCAACTCGCCGGACTTTGCCTTCTTGCTTTCCACGCGTGCAGGCGGTCTGGGTATCAATTTGGAAACTGCCGATACCGTCATCATCTTTGACGTGAGTCCCCCACAAAGCCAGTCAGGTACAAATCTGACCACGTATAGTCTGATTACAATCCCCAAAATGATCTGCAGGCCATGGCTCGTGCTCACCGTATCGGGCAGCAGAGACATGTCAACATCTTCCGATTGGTGACCAAGGGCACCATCGAGGAGGATATTCTGGAGCGTGCCAAGAGAAAGATGTTGCTGGAGTATGCGAGTAAGTTGATACATGTCTATACTTGCGTCCACGCTGACAATATCACCAGTTATCAACCGTATGGACACCACTGGTGCTCATATCAACGGTGCAGCTACTCCCAAGGACAAAAACGGCGACCTCTCCAAGGAGGAGCTGTCAGCCATACTCAAATTTGGTGCTCAAAACATGTTCAAGACCGACATCAACGCTCAAAACAAGAAATTAGACGAAATGAATCTGGACGAGATTCTAAATAGCGCCGATCAGTTCGATACTGAATCCGCTGCTGTTCCCGGTACAACGTCCCTTGGTGGTGAAGGTTTCTTATCGCAGTTCGCCGCGATTCAAGACGTCAAGGCCGATGTTGACGGTCTGTCTTGGGACCAAATCATTCCCGAGAACGAGAGAGGCAAAGCGGAAGAGGAAGAGAGGATGGCTGCTGCCGCTGCCGAAGCCATTGCGACCTCACGCAAGAGGTCTGCCGCCAAGGCTCCAGGGACATATCAAGATATGGACCTGGACGATCACGATAGCAACAAGGGCTCGCCTTCAGACAAGAAGAAGCCGGCTACGGGGCCACCTCGCAAAACCACAGCTCAGCGAGCTCTCGATCTCAAGGATCGCGATATCCGGGTGCTGATCCGGGGGATAACCAGATGGGGGGATATCCGCACCAGGTTTGAGCAGATCGTCAAGGAGGCCAAACTCGAAAACAAGAATAGGGTGGTCATCATCCAGACTTGTGAAGATATCGTCAGCCACGGTGAACAGGCAATCAAGGATCACCACGCGCATATCAAAGGCCTTCAGGACAGAGGTGAACCCATCAGCTCCTCTCTTCGACAGAAAGCTATACTCTTTACTTACAAAGGAGTCACTGGTATCAACGCGGACACTATTGTCACCAGGTATTATGAGTTGAAGGCGCTCTACGAGCACTTCAAGCGAGTAGATGACGTGGCGCAATATCGAATACCGCACGACAACCTCAAGGCGACTATGAACTGGACGGTTGACTGGAATGCCGACGACGACTCGCATCTAATTGCGGGTATCTGGAAACATGGTTTCAACAGCTGGGAAGCCATTGCTCAGGTACGCATCGATGCAACAGGCCGCCATGCTCAGACTGACAGTTGATGTAGGATCCGACGCTGCACTTGAAAGACAAAATCTTCTTTGAAGACCCCAAGGCAGCAAAAGAAAAGGATCCCAACGCACCAAAAGTGGGCGTCCCACAACCAGTTCATCTCGGAAGACGTGGCGATTATCTATGTAGGTGCACAACCGAAACACAAGATCTCATGCTGACCTTATGCAGGTGGCATAATCCGAGAGTACGAAGTGAACAGGCGCACCTTGATTGAGCAACAAGCTGTCATTGCGAATATGCCAACTAAAGATGGTTTCGGTTTGGATCACCACACCACTCATCACATTGCTGGTCCCTCCAAGAAGGCGAGTCCGGCCGTCGCGGGGCCTTCCAAGCATGCCGCTGCGAACGCGAAAAGGAGAAAGACACCAGAGTATACCGATTCCGAGGATGATTCCAGTTACGAATCAATGGATGAAGACGCCGTGAAAGAGCTGTTGCGACCTGCCAAGAAACATTTAGTGAGTGTGATTCCTCACAGAGTCGCTCTGAGCTGATGTCTTGCGCAGAAAAAGTTGAAAGGCGGCACCGACCATCTGGCTCGAGAAGAAAAGATTCTCGCCCTGAAGGAGTGTCTGGCGGGTATCGGCTCTAGAATTGATGAGGTCGTTGCGGAGAAGGCAGCTGCGGGGCAAAATGGTAATAAGTGGCGCAAGCACTGTTGGGTGTAAGTTCCCCATGACGGCGCGGTGTTGAGCCTTGCTGACATTGGCGGTCAGTTTCGCATCTTTCTTCTGGCCAAGACAAGGCGTCAATTACGCAAAACTTATGGAGATTCACGGAAAGATGGTGGTATGTCGATCCTTCCTTTCCGTGCGAGGATTTCGACTGACGGGCTCTGCAGAATGATTCATCCCCTGCACCAAAATCCAAGGCAAAACCAAAGAGAAAATCGGACGATGACCTGGCTAAATCCAAGAAGAAGCCGCGGACGTCTGGTGTCAAGAAAGAGGAGTAACTGTTACTGAAGCAGCAGCTTGTACCACTAGAAAAAGGCCTCTTCGGAGAGTATCATCGGATTGAACGATTATATTTCATGTTATTTTCTATGCTCAAGGTAGCAGACCCGTCGGGTGTATCAGTTTCGTCCTGAACTTGGTCTTCATCATGGAACACTTGCGCATGTGATACAAGTATGACACCGAAATGTACTACATGAAGCTACGCATGGTCTATATACTCACTACAGGTAAGCGCACAGATGCTGCTCGACGGTACGAATAGCTCAGCAATGAACATGTCGGCAGCACTCATTATTATGATACATACACAACTAGCCCACAGACAAAAGATATGTATCGTTATGCAAAGTTAAGCCACTAACACACCTATATAACAAAGCTATCGGATTCGGAGAAAGCACGATAAGTAGATTTTACGTGAATGATGTATGTGATAACAAGATCGAAAAGAAGAGTCTATGGAAAGATCTATGTGGGAGAGAGCTATTCAAGAGGCGGAGGAGTAACGTCTTCTACGAAAGATGGGGTGCTAGTGAGAGATGTATCCTCTGGAAGAGGTCCTGCTGAGTCATGCTGGGCAAGAACATCAGGGTACTCCATCTCCAGTTCGGCCTGATGGTCGTCAGCTCATGTACACGGCCAAACAATTTCACGCGTACCATTTGCTCCAGCATTGGTGCTAACCATATATCTTGTAACAAGTCGCTTGCCATTGGCCTTCCTTCCGGATCGAGAGATAGACATCCTTCAATGAAGACGATACCTTGATCGGACATTTCATTGGGATCGGGCAGTGGCGGGGGTTCTGTGGTGGCACCGAGATGGAACATGATTGCCCTGGGTTCAACCCAATCAGTTTCACGACAGCGTATAGAACAGACGAACTCACCATTCGTTATCGAAATCCAAGAAACTCCAGGGCTTTCTTCCGGTTGTCATCTGCAGAACGACGCATCCTAAACCCCATATATCGCAAGCTCCCAGCTTCCCCGTCTGCTGATTCTTGATCATCTCGGGCGCCATGTACATGGGCGTGCCTTCAAGGCCTTCCATCTTGGCGTGAGCTCCGCCACGCGTCCGGGCAAGAGTCTTGTTGGATTTGATAATCTTGGCGGTACCGAAATCGGCCAGCTTGAGGACAGAGTTGGCACCGATGAGAATATCTAATGAGACCTGTGAGCCAATGAAACACCTCCAGTACCACAGGACGCTTACTTTCTGGTTTAAGATCTCGATGTTCAATTCTGTTGGCATGCAAGTACTCCAGTCCTCGCAGCAGCTGAATCGTGAAAGCTCCGACGACTTCTTCATCGTCAATCTTGCCGTATTCCAGCATGCCGCCTAGGGAGCCCCCTTCGCAATACTAGAGAAGAAAAAGTCAGTTAAGGTCTCGACAACCCTGGCAAATTACTCACTTCTTGGAAGAGGCACACTCTGTTCCTATGGACTTCCAAACCCAAGAAACCAACGACGTTGGGATGACTGAGCAAGCTCATGACATCACTTTCGCGTTTGATACTCTCATACAGAGCCGGGCTGCTTTGAAGATCAACGGTGGGCAATATTTTGACAGCGAAGACCGCATTGTCTTGTAGAGAGTAGCCCAAGTATACGCTGCCCGAAGCGCCTCCGCCAATGTAGGCGCCTTGCTGCCATCGCATTGAGATATTAGATTTCGAAGCCGCCAAGAACACAAGCGCTCTGTCTTCTGACACCTCCTCGTCCAAGACCTGGCCAACGGCCGCAGGAGCCGCATCCTTTCTCCCCGCTTCGAGCTCGGCAATTAGTCTCAAGCGCTCTTCCACTGTGAGGCGGATGGAGCGATCCAAGCGAGGTTGGCCGGAGGGCGAAGGAGTACGCGGCAAAAACTCGTCGTCGAGATTCTCCTGCAGACGCTGTAGCCTGCGCATAGCCTCGATCCGCTCTGCCTCCTTCTTGGCCTCCAGACTTGATCGAGCTCCCAGAATGTCAAAGTGACTGATCAACAGCGACACACAGGCTCCAACATATCTCCTTAGCAGTGAGAATTCTGACCGGTCAAGAGCAAGTATGTTGTTGCCCCGCGTCATGTTGAACGCATATGTTAAAGCAGCAACGGTCCATCGGAAGGTTTTGCGGTCTGTGGGGTTACATTCTTGGCTGATGAAACTGATCCAGCTGATAGCCAGCCTCATCAACAGTCGACTGAAGCGATCCCAGACACTGGGGTCGACATGTATACTAGCCCTGGTACCATGCTCGGTTGCAAAGCTATACCAGTTCTCGACCAATTCCTGGGAACCCTGTTGCCCGCGGAAGGCATTGCGTACTAGGGGCGCCGATTGAACAATACACTCGGACAATCGGTAGGATGACTTAGCAATCTTGATGAGCTGCCTTTGAATGGTGGGGAGATGAGCTTGCGCTTCAACAACGCATGGTAGGTTGATACTCTGCTCTCCCGTCTCCGGATTCAGCAGTGCCTCGGCAAAGTAGTGCTTGCACAACAGCAGACGCTTGGTGGGACCATCGGCAATCAACCGCACCCGATTATCAGCCAGATCATACTCGATGTAGTCAACATCTAGAGTCATGACGGCTCCTGACCAGACAAAGTTCTGTCGAGGCGATATGAGCAACAGGTATGCAGCGATCGCCTCGTCCTCGACGTCTTCTGCTTCAAAGTCGGCAGGGTCTGGAGGAGTCGCGGCACCATTGACATTTTGTCCTGTTGGAGTGCCCGCAGGAGACGCATGAGATGCAGTTCGACGAGGGCGAACCCTTGAGCCAGGGACACCGAGCGTGAACACCCTGTGCAGTAATCGTCGGACTTCGTCCGGCAAGCCCCACAGGCTCCCGTCTGCGACGATGTATGTCCCTTTAGATTCGAACTGATTGGTATAAACCAAGAAATGCCCAGTGTCCTGTAATGTTTGGACGAGTGGGTCAATGTCGGTCTCTTCCAGCGAGTATTCAGCAGAGTTGTCGAATCGCTGAGTGAGTTTCCGGCAGAAGCGCTGGGTCTTCCGATGACGCATTCGAGCAGAGTCGAGTAGTTTCGAGTACCAAGAGAAGAGCTCCTCGAGCTTCATGTTGCCAGGTTTGGATAGAGCCAAGGGATCACGGTCTCTTGACCGATCTCGCTCGTTCCGGTCACGAGCGTGATGGAGAGGCACCCGGAGCTGCTGGTCCAGGTAATTCGCAGACCGGATCAGGAGCTTGTTGGAAAGAGCACTAACGAATTATCAGCACAAATCCCGTCAAGGTAAATCGAACATACCAGTATTGCTCCGCAACGACCATGTCACCACCTTCGATAGCCTCAGCCGCTTCATACAAGAAAGAAGCTTCTTCTTCCAGAACTTCTGTCTCCTTGTAATAGCTCGCCCTTCCGACTCCGCGTAATCTCCAATGCAGAAGCTTGAAGAATGCCCGCAAAGCATCCAATAGGACATCATTGTACTCGACGGGAAGGCATGGGGGCATTGCCCATCGACCCTTGGGGTCTGGAGCCATGATCTCTTCATACTGCTTCCTAATGAGGACGGCCAAAGAGATGGACAGGCGAAGATTTTCGATAAAGTCGGCAACAACCATGGGGTTTGGGTCCACAAGACGGGCTGCGGCATCTAGCCTGACCTTGACAGCTTCAATAATGAGACGTCCCGGAAAGCCAATAAGCCTGACCATCTCATACTGAAAGTCAGGAAGATTTTGAACCTCAAAGAAAGGAGAGTAATCGATGACCGTCTCCTTGGCATTGCGAATGAGGTTGATCATGTCAACGAAAGCGCGTCGTTCAAACGTGCGCTGAAGGTTGTCTTCCTTCATTACACGATCCAGGAAGCTTGAATCATCTGCGGCATCACCCCCAGGATGATTGGCTTTAGGATCAAGAGGGTGGTATCGATATTTGCCAACGAGCGCTTTTTCCTTGGTGGTATTAGGCTTGGTGATATCGAGGTCGTCTGAACCGGTCCACTTCTGGAGCAAACGGAGCTGTGTTTGGAGAGAGCTGACCACGATGGACCAAGCCGTGAGGGCATCGGCTCGGGATCGAAAGTCGGCAGAGGTGTAAATCTCTTTATCGTCTCGCATAGCTGCGAGATTCGGATACAGAGCTTTGACAGCTCCGAGTTTGGCAAGTGCGAGGTTGACCTGGGCGAGCGCTCGAGATTGAGGGGAAGCCTTCGAGAGCGCATCTTGGGGATCTTCATGGTCGTCACCCTTGGTGGTATCCAGAACCAGGTCGGGGTCGTACCGGAAAGTAGCGATCTCTTCCAAGACCATGTCTACCACCCTAGCTCTCCGTTCGTGTACTCTCTTCTTTTCTTCTGCCTCGGTGCGGCCCCTCAGCTTGGCTCGAATCTGCCACCAAAGCGCTCTGCCAAACTCTTCCTTGAAGGAGTCGGTAGGCATTGTCTGGGAGATACGGGCTTCTTCCAGCTTCAAGACATCCGAATTCAAGACGCTCTCCAGCATTCCCTGCCAATCTATCCGCTCTTGCCCTTCATCCTCGGTCACGTCGGCCGCCTTGATGGACAGAAGGGGAGAGATGTCGACATTGCCCGTGGTGTTCAACATGTTCCACCCCGGCGATCTCGCCCCTTCCACTTCCTCGTCCGAGCCGTATTCATCTTTTTCTCCGTTGGTGAAATAGCTAGCATCGGGGTCCGTGTAAGACCGTCCTCTGCCTTGCCCATGTCTTTCACCGCGCACTTCTCGGCCCCCGTTGTTTGGGCCATATCGGGTCTTTTTCCAGCTTTCGTAAGTTTTGTTGTGAGTAGGCTCTGGGGAATTCGGTTTGATAGGGAAGGATGGGCGGAAGTTGACAGAGCTTGGAGCATACGTGACTGAGCGGGCGAGCTTGGGCTGGGCAGCAGAGGCAGACGAGACGATCGAGGAAATGCGGGACGTGGGGGATGTATGGGTAGGTGGTCCAGGGTACGAGGATGAGCGTTGGTTCGAGGGGGGGACTGCGCCACGTCAGCCAGAGCTCTTGGATGTAATCACAACAACACTCACGCTCGCTGTCTTTGCTGAACGGTGTCTCGGGCCCCGTTACGCCTATCAGACCCTCTTCGTCCGAGCTAGACTCCTCATCGGGAGCGAACAGGCGGACAGACCTCCTACCCGTTTTGGAAGAGGAGTTCAAGCTGGAGGGGTTGGATGCCTGTGAGTCGGAGTGTTTGGGGGGCGATATAGGGGAAGTCAGGGGGATGGAGCTGGGCATTGTGTCTCCGACAGCGGCGATGGGGGCCTGCTGAGGGGGCGCTGCGAGGATGTCGTGGGTACCGAGGCGAGCGGGGGGCAGACAGGCGGGGCGGGGGGATAGTGGTAGGGTCAGCGGTGGGATAGTATGGGCGAGGAGAAAGAGGGCGAAAGAAAGAGGACATGGGCGTCGGGCGCATGACTGACGACTGCTCTGCTCTAGCCCATTACACTTATTTCCTAATCTCATTACATTTCAGTTTGTAATCAGCCCAGCGCAGCAACTAATACCGTCTCCTGTTCCCTTCTGTCTGCCTTCCGTCTGCTTCTCTCTCAACTCGCTGCTGTCCACGGTCGAGCGCTGCACTCATGCAAGGATGCATGGGCAGTGCTATGCAAAATATCTTCGCAGAGTGCTAGCAAATAACATCGCACTTTGGGTGACTCACTCTGCCTGGGGCAATACTGATGTACCCTGGCACTCCCTTTCATCACCCTCATCAAAGGATTGGCATCAATGGAAAACCTACACCACATTGCTGGACACTCGACGTGCCATTTGGTATTTACACTGGTGTTACTGACTCGTGTTGAGGTTTCCTGACTACAAAATGGGTCCTACAGCGTACAAGCCGCTGAAGACGCGGGCGTCCGAAGCATGGGGTGCTCTCAAAACCTACTTGGATGATGAGGTACGTCACGTACCAAAGCATTATGGCATGGCGTTGAAAGAACCCAAGAAAATGGCTCAGTTTCCTCTCCTTGTCACATTGTCTCACAAGATCGACCGCCCGCCATCCGTGTTGGCTCACTCATTCCTCCTTGCCTTACTCTCAGTGCTTCTGCTCAACCCTTACAATCTATCGGGTATTATTGTCAACAGCTTGGCTCACGCAGGGCTTGTATGGTCAAGCTACTCCTATCTCGCTACCCTCTCAGGGGACGTCAACCACAAAGCTTCAGCTATGGCCAAACCCGCCGAGCTATGGCCATCCTCGACTAGACGCCTCATGGACTATTGGGTCGTCTACTCCACCTCCATCTTCTTAGAATCTACCCTAGGGGAAGACACTTTGGTTGCTCTCGTTCCTCTTTGGTGGGCGTTCAAGGGACTGGCTGTTGTCTGGGTCATTACGGTATCAAAAGAAAGAAAGGAGAGACCCAAGCCAAAGCCTCTGGTAAGCACACACTACTGACGGCCTGGGATACGCATGACTGACATTTGCTCAGAAACTAGAGCAGCGATCGACAGTCGCAACAACCCGAACCCCCCAAACGTTTTACGCCGATCAGTCATCATCCCCCAGTACCGCCTCTCTGTCGACTGGGGTCACCACTGCGCTCGATTCCGGCCCATTCTCAGGCCCCGGTCCCATCAGCTCCCAGTTGCGTGAAATTAAGAGAGACTTGAGTGATCTCAGTCGTGAAGCTCTATCCAAGACACCGGAGAATCTCAAGCACAAGACTGGTCCGGCAGAAACGCCTGTCTCCGGCGAGAGCGAGGGCGAAAGTGAGCCTTTCGGACTGAGTGGCAATTCAGACACAGGTTCAGACAGTGAATCAAATTCCAGCTCCAGTGACTCTGATAGCGGCTCTGAGTCTGACAACAATAGCTCTGGCCCTGGATCGGCTGCTACGGACGATTCAAACGACGACCTTCTTCCTCCTGGTACTGCCCTCGACAGCCAGACTCTAGAGGTGGCTGGTGCAGAAAAACCAGAGGCGGGGAATGATGAGCTTGATACCAAGGAAAATCAGGATGCGCTTGAGGAGCAAGCGTCAGGTGGCGCAGACAAGCTTGAGACGATTACCGCTGCCACCGAGCCTGTGCGTAGCGTTCCCGAGGATGCCGAAGCAATCGCTTCTCAATCGGTCCCACAGCTTCCTCATGCGTCTCGAGATCTTCCTGTACCTTCCCCCAGCGCACCTCTTGTGATCGCCGAACAGGAAGATAAACTTGATTCCCTGTCTCTGGAGCACACACCTGCCCAGAACTTGGACATACAAGAGAAGACCGTCTCTCCCGTCCTCGCCCCGATTGCTGGGTCTCTGAATGTTGCTGCCCAGTCACCTAAAGTGGTGGACGATGAAGGCTCTATCACACGTCTCACTCTTGAAGATCTCTTGGCTATGGAGGGTAGGAGTGATGACGAGATGAACAGTGCTGGGATGGCACTCGAGAGTGGAAAGGATGTAGAAGAGAGGGTCGAGATCCCCGTGGTAGCCAAGGGGGTCGAGCCATTGAACATCATCAAACCTCTCGCCAAAAAGGTCGGCACGGAAGCGAAAAGTCTGTTATAGATATGTAGCTATGTATACAGTTGATTATGTCGACAAGGACAGCTTGAAGGTCGCAAATATGATGTCGTACTGTAGATGGTGCACCTGAAGTCTACAGAGTATGTCGAGAATCGACCACCGCCCAGAACGAGCCCCTTTCAGCTGGATTTCCTTTGTCGTCCCTTGGTGACGACAGGTCATCGCATTTCTCCAGTACTGTCCTCTAGTCCATCACCAGATCAATCGTCAGCAGGGCATCGCTGCAATGGCTGACTCCAAAGATGAGACAAAAGAGGCAAAAGCAAAAGCAAAAGAAAAGGCAAAAGCCGAGCAAGCCAAACGCGCTAAAGACGCCAAAACCTCTTCCAAACCGCGCTCCTCCGCCGAGATCCGAAATGAAGAACTCATCGTCCTTATTATCTCTACTCTCACCACCCACGCGCCTCTTCTACTCGGCCCCACGAGCTCCCTCGCACTACTCTTTCATATCTCCCTCAAGCACGCCCTCGTCCTGATCCTATCCGTCTTCTTCCTTTTACACCTCTACCTACCCCTTTTTGCCCTACCACACTTTAGTGCCGTATTGACACTCATTTGCCCGCTCATCGCCACCATCAATATCCTCCTGCATGAGCTCGGGAGACCAGGCTCATTCTCCAAAGCCAAAACGAAAAGAGCCGACGGCGCGCAATTTCTGGGATATTGGTTGGTGTATATAGTACTAAGTTGGATGAGGGGGTGGGTAGGGATATACAGACCGGGATGGAAGGGTGTGTTTGAGGTAGGGAGAAGTGGTATATTGGTGGCTGCTGGCGGAGGTTGGTTCTCTAGGAGCGCTTTGGTGAGCTACGAATCTCTTTGCTCTGGTGACGCGCTGATGGATGATCAGAAAGCGGAAAAATCCAAACAGTTGCTTGAAGCAGAGAAAAGAGAGACAGAGGAGGAACAGAAGGCGGCCGCCAAAAAGGCGAAAGAAGAAAAGGCCCAGAAGGAGAAGGAGGCCAAGGCCAAGGAGAAGGCCAGAAAGGCCGCCGAGGACAAGGCTAAGAAGGACAAGGAAACCAAAGCGAAGAAAGCGGCAGAAGCCAAAGCCAAGGCAGAAGCGGACAAAAAGAAGAATGGCGGGAAATAGAAGAGTTGAGCAGGAAGAGTCATATATAGCCAATACATGGTGAAATCGTTGTAGTATCTGTGAATCACAGTCAGCATGCATGCCAACCCAGGCGATACGGTCACTCACAGAACAAGTACCCTTCTATTCAGCTCGAAATCTGACACGATTTTTACAACAAGTCTCATCGCCAGCCCAACAGCCGCGACGCAAGAAAAGCCCAAAAAGATGCGGCCAGGCTATGACTCTTGGGTGAGTCCAGCTTTTTCCAAGTACTCGTCAAAGAAATTGCGGTCGATGGCTGATGGATATCAGTGTTTGGATGGAAAGTGGCGAGACGATATACGAACAAGAAACGTCAGCCAGGTAATCTTCAAGTAGACGCTTGAACACCTTGCCCTCCTTGCCCCCAAGCTTGCCGCAGAGTCTAGTCATATCCAAAGCAAAGTCGTGTGTCTGTATCGCTCATAGTCAGCACCCATCCCCGTTGTCGTATGCTACATGCTCACCCGCCTGGCAAGACTCTTCTTCTTGTCCCTGTACTTTTTCTGTGCCGTCTTGTTCTGCACCGAACGTCTCTCCGTGTTCGCCCTCTTCCTCGCAGGTGGCTTCCTATCCGGCTCCTCGCTCTCATCGCTATCCCCGTCTTTGGCCACAATACCCTTGATCACCCTCCCGCCCCTCGTGCGCTTCTTGGCAGTGTGGATAGACACGAGCTCCTCCGGCTCCTCGCTGGCCGCAGCAAAGTGCTCATTGTCCGACATTTCGCTGGATTCCACCTCGAGGGATGGTTCTTTCTTGACGGCCGCCCCCCTTCTGGCGGGTGTACGCTTGGCAGGTGTGGGTTTGGGGGCGGGCTTCGGGGCCGATTTCTGGGGGGTGGGTTGATTGGACTCGGGCGCGCCGGCGGCGGCCTCTCGTAAGGCGCGGCGAGAGGAGACGGTGCGGACCATCGCGAGAGGCGGGGCTGGCTAGCGGCGGGGTATCACAAGAAGGAGCAGGAGGAGCGAGGAGGACGACGGCGGGAGGCGGGATGGGCTGACGAGATGGATGACGGGATGCAGAAGAGAGATGGCTGACGACGAAAAGGGCTGACGAGGGGCCCGCGCGTGAATCCAAGGAATTACGTAAATGTCGGATTTTTGACCGTTGATTGATGTGTGGCGGTTGACTGGACTGCCGTTATCGCTCAGAAGGATGGACGAGATGCGTTGAGGTCGCCCCATGGTCTGCTATTTGGTCCCAAAAGCATTGGAAATAGCGATTGGGGTGTCGCAGAGTGATGCTAGACGTACAACTTGAGATATACTGTACTTTAGAATAAAGAATGTTCGCGTGGATAGATCACCATGATCATCATACACAGCCAGAGGCCAAGTCACTAATTTATACTATACACAAGCATGTGTCATGATACTATGATATATAAACAAAAGACTATTCTCTCTAAATGGCGATTTTTGATTTTAAAGGAGGTTGGCGAGCTGTTTAAACTCTTCCAGCTGGTTGGTGTCCATGGCTGAAAACAGATCAGCGTTGAGCCGCAGAGGTTCAAGAAAACGTACCATCCATGTCTGCCATATAGTCCTTGAGGATCCTTCTGAATCGCTTCCCGTCCTTACCGGGCATAGCAGAGCACAGCTTGGTGATATCAGCTGCAAAGTCGCGCGTCTGCGCTGGGTCAGCGATCAGCTTGACTTGCACACGTCAACTCACTCTTAAAGCTATGCCCTTCTTCTTATCCCGATACTTTTTCTGTGCAGTCTTATTCTGCAGAGACCTCTTCTCAGTCATGGGGCGCTTCTTTCTCGTCCTCGTCGTCTTTCCCGAACCGCCCGAGGATGATGCCCGGCTTACGCGACGCGTCGGACGGACAGCCAAACGGTGCGGATCCCCAAACTCGGATCCCGACTCGGACACGGGCGACGAAGGAGGCGGGGAAGAGATATACTCGCTCTCGTTACCATCTACCATCTCAGGGTCGGGCTCGGCCATCTCGAGCTCTTCTATGGTAGGCTTGACGTCTCGAATGGGGGAAGGCGATGGAGCGCCAGAAGGGACTGGGGCAGTCTTCCGAGTAGAGCACTTTCTAGTAGGGGGACGGCGGGCGGCTGGCGTAGCTTTCACTACTTCCACTTCTTCCACCGGAGCAGGGAGAGAAGGAGGCACGACAGGCTCCAGAATGGGGGACGGGAGGCGGGGGACGTCGACCAAGACCTCCTTCTTTTGCTGCTCGTCGAATTCCTTCGCAATCTGCTTGGCGACTTGCCGGGTGAACTTTGGTATGGCCTCGAGGTGGTGCGAGGGTACAGAAGCAGACTGGGGAGAGGGGGGCGCGGCAGGCATCTTCTTGGGAGCTCGAGGTTTGCGGTTACGGAGCTGGATGGGAGGAGAAGATGGCTTGGGGGTCGGAAAATGGGCATATGGGGGAGACGGATGTACTGGTGTGGCGCAGGTCGGCGATGGCACCTGGCTGGGCGTGGTTGATTCGACACGAATGGTGGCTGCTGCTTTCTACAAACTATCAGCTGTGGCCCTTTCTGAAAACAAGAGGGGACGCACAGACATGTTCTTGACGCTGCCCGGTGCCTCTTCAACGTCCATCTCGACATCGTCCTTGAACGCATACAGCGCCAGCTCGTCAGCATCATCCATGACCGACTCGTCGTCATCAACGACGATCTCGACCCCAAGGCCGCCGCCAGAAGCATGTTCCTCTTCCCCGAGGGGAGGCTCGAGCGCAGGAAGGGAGGCAGTGCTGCTGTTGAAGATGGCTTGAGGATCACCGGCCGGGTTTACAAACACGGATGGCGCTCTCGGGACGTGGTCGAGGGCGATGTGATGGCTTCCTGCGAGGGCTACTGGGTCATGGCTGAATGGCGCCGCAGGGTCGGGGCCGTCTGTGCGCGAAGAGAATGCCGTCAATAAACAGGCCTTTCGGGGATGTGTGGAAGCGTGTGGGTGACTTACCGAACAAATCTTCGTCGCGGAGGAAGGAAAAGTCAAAGAGGTCGTTGTGGCTGGAGCATACAGGGGATTTGGGGATGGAGACGAAGGCTGGATGGGGTCAGAGGGCACGGGAGGGAGGGGGAGGGCTGCTCACCGTTCATCCAGTTGTTGTTGTGGCGGTCGCTGTCGACGGGGGAGGTGGGGGTGGACATGGCGGGGATGGAGAAGAGAAGAGGATGGGGCTGTACTATATACTGCTCTGCACTGGGGATATGGAGGTACGAGACAGCGACTCCTTTCCCGCCGAACCATCGCACCACCGAAAGGAGGAGGCGCATCACAGATATGCCCACTTAGGGCTAGGCGGGGGCGTATTATGCTGATGGCCCGCTGCGTCAACATCACCACATACTTGTGCGTATCGAGTCGCTCGACAGATGCCGGTCGCCAGGCAGCGGCACTCTAAACGGGCTAAAGTGAGCAGCTGAGAGGGCAATTACCGGCGAATCACCCGCACCCACCCGGGAAAGGAGGTGCTGGGCCACATTGTGCAGATCTTTCCATGCTGCAGGGTGAGTGCGACACTGCGTGGTTCATCCAACCTGCCTCAATTAATTCAACTTGTCTCAGCCACAGTGATGGTATCGGGGCGTATGCGTATACGCTCTTTTGGGTAGTTTGACAACATGAGGGGTGCCGCTTGCCATCATCCATCGACGCCATGTGCTACTACGATGCATAGGTAGTGCCCTTCCCTTAGTATCGACGAGCGGCTATGACTGTCGCAAATCACTCCCTGTCATGCATAACGACACTGTACCAAAGATGTCTGAGATGCATATATGAGATCATCGTAGAACCGTGATGAAGGTATCCTTGCCAGAACAGCGTCAAAAGTCTATAGAAGGGAAAAAAGTCGAAAAAGGAAGAGGAATGAAGCTACACATTTTGGTATTTTTCGTTGGTGGTCAATGCTATGCTAGTACGCCCCGCGCCTCCCTGTACATGAACGCCCGCCTCATCTCCGCTTCCTCACATCCCCGTCTTGCTCCACCGCACTCGAGGTCCCCACCACCTGGGGCACATCTTCCAACACCTCCTCGCCCTCTACACTCTCGTCCTCATCCTCTTCACTCCGAGAATCTTCCGCCCCCAGTCCCCTCACCACCCTGATAGCCACAACACACGCCATGTAGAACCACGCCGTTGCCAGACACCATAGCGTGCCCAACAGCGCCACGAATCCCACATAGGCATTGCGTGTAAAGTACATGCCCTTTTCGGGGGCCCATATATGCGGAATGTAGGCAGGGGCGTTACGGTAGGTGGTGAGGATGACGAGAAAGAGGCCAACCTGGCGGGTGAGGAACCAAGAGACGAGGAAGACGACAAAGGCGAGGTCGCACGCGGTAGTGCAACCCATGTACCGGAGCATCTTTGCAAACTATACTGGGTTAGACGCTTGCCAGTTCCCGAGCTTATGATCACTCACAGGTAGCAGAATATCACAAAAGTCCATCAAACAGTGGATCAAGACGCCCACTCTTGTAAAATTCATCGCATAACTCGCGACCACCAGCACGATGGTCAAGATGTGGTGACCAAACATCTGCCAGTGGTCTTTTCTGCGTTTCTCAGAGTTGATCACGAGCAGCTGATGGAACCACCATCCAAGCTGGGCGAGGTAATAAAACTTGAGAGAACCGGGCAGGGGGTGGAATGGATAGGTGCCCCAAAGTTGCTCAGGCGAGGTGGGGTTGGGGAATCGGGTCAAGACGTACTGCGTCTATATCAGCACACGCGCCCGAGCAGAACACAAGAGCACGCACGTATCCAAACGACCAGAACACAGTACAGTACAACCAGCTCCAGCCCTGCTCTGCAAACCTCAGAACCACATGCTCTCTCTTCCTCTCGGCCCTATTCCATTCTCTCTCTTGTCCCTTGATGGCCTTTAGCCGGGGGAGCAACAGCCGGGCGATGGGCGAGAAGAGATAGTGGATCGTCGTCCATCTCAAAGCAGTGAACGCGACCGCCCAGAACAGGACAAAGTATGCGTCAAGCGGACCTTTGCCGTACAGTGTCCCGCTGGAGCTAACGCTGGAGCTTCCATTAGCCAAGGGCTCGAGCAAGAGCTCGCCCGATGGGGGAAGAGGATAGGAAAGGAGAAGGAAGGGGTGGAGCGAAGGAGGGAGGTAGGCGGAGATCATAGAAGGGATGGTGGACGTAGTGAGGTTGTAGGCCATTTTTTTTTTGAAACCCGTGTGCCAGAGTCACGTAAAGTGACTGGTTCCGAGAATAAAGAGCGTGGCGGGCGCGAATTCCAGTCCGGGCCTCGGCAGCTGCAGAATGGTCAGCTTGGGGGATCAAAGACGCGTTTTTCTCGAGGACAGCGGTACAGAGAGGCGTCGCAGAGAGAGGTCGCAGAAGCAGGTTCGCGACCACAGCCAGGCCCAGCTCGCGTAGCTACCAGGCAGCAGCAAGGACAAACTGGGCATTCTCCCTGCTCTGCCCCCTCTGCAGCGCGTCCCAGGGGTACTCACAGATTGTATAGGCAGTGGTGGTGAGAACGCAGAAGGCAGAGAGAAACGCGCAGCATGGCAGAACACGTCCATCGCCGCTTTTCTAATTGGCCAATCTGCTCCCGCTAATCACAGCCGCCTTCATTAGAAACCCGATCAGGTAAACAAAACGTAATCGGCCCCTCCTTTTCATCTCTGATCAGCTTCGTTCAGTTGCTTTCGTGAAAGGTCTCCTGGCTGCATCCATCCTCGAAGATCCACAAAAAGCGAGCATGTCCGTCCTCGCCGCCCCCTCCCCAACCCTTTACGTCTCCAACCTCGAGTCCAAAACAAAGAAAATAGAGCTCAAGCAGCAACTCTACGCCCTCTTCGCCCCATACGGCACTGTGTATGTCCTCTCTTCGCTTTCGAGTCTGGGTAGCTGATCCCCCGCGATAGAATCGATGTGGTAGCAAAGAAGCACGGAGGCGGACGGGGACAGGCCTTTGTGGTCTTTCGAGAACAGGCGGCTGCTACGGCGGCTATGAGAGGATTATCAGGCGAGAGCTTTTACAGCAAAGAACTGGTACGTTTGCCCTCAAAACCCGCTCTTTCCTTGTTGGTTGACCGAGGGCACAGAGAATATCATACGCCAAGTCCCCATCCCATGCCACCTTAGCACACGAAGATCCTACCTCGTCCAGAGAAGCGGCCGCTGTTCAAGCCGCCAAGCTTACCGTCTCCCGCGCACAGGACGAGTACGAGCAGTTGGAGAAGGAGAGGCATGATGAAGAAGCCGGAGTCTCGGGAGGAGGTGAGAAGAGGGGGCTGGAAGATGGCGAAGAGGGTCGGGGAGCAAAGAGGGTCAAGGGGGAGAAGGAGGACGACGAGGAGATGGATATCGAGGAAGACAGTGGTGCGTTTGCAAACTTGATGCTCGACAAGAAAGAGCTGACTTGGGACAGATGATGAATAATAACTTGTAGAACCTCCTGTAATCGGTCTAGAGGATATGTACAACTGATATAAAGTGACGGTGTATTGGCGGAATCATTTCTCCGTGATCACGACAACCTTGGATCTACTGCGTGACGTTACGAAACGCTTCCGATCCCCCAAACATCTTCAGCACCTCTGCGGCCCTCTTCATCTCGTTCGAAAAGTCGGTGATCACCTTCCTTGCCGCCTCTACACGAGAACGCGTTAGCTCAAGCAAGAAAGGCAAGGCAGAGACGCACCCTGCTTCATCTCTTCTTCATCAATCGCCTTTACGCCCTCCACGAGCTCTTTCTGCATCCGGGTGTTGAGTTGATGGTACATGTAATGAGCTTGGAGGATCAAGTCAAAGCTAAGAGTCACGTCAGCCTCACGGTGAGTTTGCATGGCCGGAAGGGAACTGTACGTGTTGGACAGGGCTTCGTTTGTAAAGTCTTTGGTCGGTCAGCGGAGAAGCGAAGCAAGTATAGAGGCTGGGAAGGGGACGTACTCTGGAGGAAAGGCACCATATCTTTCTGCAGATCATTCCACTTGCTCTCCAGCTCGCCTTTCGCGTCAAACCTTTCCACCTAGGTTTGTCGTCAGCTCATCTGCTCATCTGAGAAAAGGGTCAAGTAATGTACGGGAGCCATGGGGTCGAACTCTTCTTCGGGTTCTTGCTCCGGTTGCACGGGCGCAGGCATTGGGTTCGAGGGGTCGGAGTCGGGGTCGTTGTAGTGACCTTGACCGGGAGGAGGGAGTTGCGCTTGTGCTTGGGAATAGGTTTGGGCACCATCTTTGGTGTACTGCATGCTGAACGGATAAGTTTGTTGATAGCCCTCGGGCCACTGCCCGCTACCACCACCATAGTCCTCTTCGCGCGTCTGCTCCGGCCCACCCAGCTGAATGTACTCTCCTGCGCGCTCGCCTTGCCCAGACTGACGACTGGGAGAAGAGTTCTGCCCGAGAAAGGTGTCTACCATCCCGAGACTCTGAGCACCAGAGTGGGTAGCGTCAGTTGAGGTTGGGAAATCGTGAGGGGAGGAGTGAGGCCCGGGGTAGAAGGACAAGGGTCTGGAGGGAGAGGGGTGGGGATTGTAGGGCTGGGCGTGGTGAGGGGATGGGTTGCCAGACATGTTTTTTGTTCTGATGAGCTGATGTGGGATAGAAAATGGAGAAGAAGAAGAAGATGAGAAAAAGAAGAGAAGATGAAAGGGAGAGGTGACTGGACTGGGTCTGTGCGCTGGTAATGTTGACGCGACGCGCCACTCACCGCACGTCCACCCCATATTCCAGAGCCTCTCGAATGCGACACTGTAGCTGTACATGTATCCTATGCATAACACCCCTTTTCGTGATTGTATTTTTGCACACAGACGCCGATGCTCTAGTCAATGAGGTACTTTCGCTTGAAGAAAGAACGCAGATGCAGCAACTACCACTCTCGTCAGCGTTCATCCAGCAAAGTCAGATAAGGGCACTTACTTGCCAGACACCAAGGCCAATGGTGGCAAGGATGATCAAGATAGAGAACCACTTGACTCTTTCGTTCGTGCTCTCTGTTTCGCCATCAGCTTCCATCATATACTCCTCAAAATGAGTATCAGTTGTAGACGTACCATTGGTATCCCTCATCCTCATCTCTCTCTTCTGCAAGTATCCCATCTCCTGAACGATCTCCCGGGCGGAGGCTTCGAGCTTGCGCATCTCGACTTCGAGGATAGAAAGGGATTCTTGGTTTGCGATCGCGCTTGGCACATGATGTCAGGACCATTGTATACACCTGGGCAACATTGTTACTCACTTGTAGTCGACAGCATCAGAGCCAATGTCCACGTCAAGCTCGACAGTGCGCACAGCCTTGGGGTTACCAGCTAAAGCCCAAGCCGTCAGCTCTCCGTCATACCCTCAAGGTTGCAGACTAACCTCCCGTCCAGTAGTTCCTCAAGCAGACACCGACATCAGCATTCTCATGCGTCGTCACTGCCAGCCTAGACTCTCCCTTGATATCCTTCTTGTTCAGATAGACGTTGCCATGGACGGAGCCGTCGAGTATTTCAATGTCGACACGCTGGTCAGGCTCGGATGGCACGTTGGCTGTCACTATGACGAGGGAATGGGAAGCGGCAAAGTTCCAGATACTTTTTTAAAGTCAGCAAGGTCTGTATCAGGTTGGGAGGTTACGGACCATTCTACAGCACATTAGCGACACTCGGGCATCACGTCGAAGCAACTTACTTGGTTTTGGGTCTTTCTCGGCGGTAATGTCGAATTTCAGGGCGGAGACGGCGGTGAGGAGGGATGTGAGGAAGAGAAAGAGGAAAGAGGGCCGTAATATCATCATGAACAGCTCGTGGGGGTCGTTGATGCAAGACAGACAGAGGAATACGGTGCCATGAACAAGTCTCCCGACAACGCTCAAACGCCCGTCGACGCGCATGGCACGCCTATCCTCTCAAAAAGATCGCGCGCCTTCTTTCCCGCAAAAGTCGTGAGTCAAGAAGTGCGCTATGCAACTCTTTCATCGACCTCCTTCAGCACGCCACACCCCTCAAGCTGTATGCTCAGCTTCTTCCGGCCCCTCCTTCTCCTTAGATATAGACCCGCGCCCCGCTTCATCTCTTCCACCACCGCAATCTCCCACAGAATGGCCACAAAAGCGCCCCCTCCTCAATGGTACCCCCCGACAAAGACGATCCAGGAGCCTGTGCTCAAGGTGTTCAACTCGTTGACGAAGGGCAAAGATGAGTTTGTGCCCACAAAAGGCAGAAGGGTGGACTGGTACAACTGTGGACCGACTGTATACGACTCTAGCCATATGGGGCATGCCAGGTGAGTCCCGAATCAGCCCGAGCTCGTCTTTTGTGCGCTGACCCTTGCTTAGGAACTACCTCACCCAAGATATCGTCCGGAGAATATTGCGCGACTACTTTGGCTACGACGTCAACTTTGTCATGAACATCACCGACATTGACGACAAGATCATCCTCCGAGCTCGTGAATCATACCTCCTCGACCAAGTCGTCGCCACCACCCCCTCTCTCACTCCCGAGCTCATCTCTGACGCCGAAAAAGCTTTCGCCAAGTACCTCCAGAAGCCATTGAAGGCGCTCCCGGAACCATTGGTCGGAGTGGAGAATGCGACGACGTTTGAAATTCTGGATCTGCTTGTCAAGAGAGATCAGAACGACGCTGCGTGGGCTACCAAGGCGAGGGAGAATGAAGAAAAGTTTGGCATGTACTTGATGAGCCTTGGCAAGGCCAGGGAGGCTATCCTCACCTCCAAAAAGAGACTGAACACCCCTGAAGCTTCCGGTGAAGCTGTCAAGGATCTCGTGTCCAGCTCTATGGATACTCTCGGCCCCTTCCTCGGCGAAAAGGTAAGTCTTTGAATCTTGAAGGAATCACGCTCACGTTATTCAGCTTGGCAACACTATTGAAGACCCTATTGCTGTCTGCCGCCGCCTCGCCGCCCACTGGGAAGATGCCTTCTTCACCGACATGGCCCGTCTTCGCATCCTTCCTCCCGACACTGTCACCCGAGTGTCCGAATACGTTTCCGAGATTGTCGCCTTTGTTGAAAGGATCATCGGCAACGGTTTTGCGTACGAGGGTGGAGGGAGTGTATGGTTTGACGTGGAAAAGTTTGAAGGGGCAGAGGGAGAAGGGTTCAAGCATGAGTACGCCAAGTTGCAGCCGTCTAGCAAGGGAAACAAGCGATTGTTGGATGAGGGGGAAGGTGTGTCCTTTCATACATATTTTCACTGGACCGTACTGACCCTACCAGGTGCACTGACCGGATCTCAGGGCAAGCGCCGCCCAGCCGACTTTGCCCTCTGGAAGGCCAAGTCCAAGCCCGGAGAGCCTTCTTGGCCTTCCCCTTGGGGCCCCGGCCGACCCGGCTGGCATATTGAGTGCTCCGTCATGGCTTCTGAGATTCTCGGCGGCGGTATGGACATTCACTCGGGCGGTGTGGACCTGATGTTCCCTCACCACGATAACGAGTTGGCGCAATCAGAGGCTTATCATGGGTGCAAACAATGGGTCAACTACTTTTTGCATACTGGACACTTGCATATCGAAGGGCTCAAAATGAGCAAGTCGCTCAAAAACTTTATCACTATCGATGTGCGTACCACAATATTGGATCTGACTTGGCGCTGACAGACACTGTAGCAAGCGCTTGAAGACTACTCTGCCAGGCAGCTGCGATTGGCTTTCATGCTTCAAGTGTGGAACACCAATCTCGATTTCAAAAAGGACTTGATCATTGACACCAAGGCCAAGGAAGAGATCTTTGATGTAGGTCATCGCGGGAATGGGAAAGGGACTGACAGGGTTTGCAGAAATTCTTCACCAACGTCAAGGCTCGTGTCCAAGATGCCGCTTCTCGACCCCAAGATGGTCTCCACCATTACGACAAGGAAGAAAAGGCATTGATGAACGCGTAAGTATCTGCCTGATCTTCGTTAACATACTGACATTCTTGCAGTCTTTACAAGGCCCAGGACGACTTCCGCACCGCCCTTTGTGACTCCTTCAACACCCCTGCCGCTATCCAGACCCTCCTCTCCCTCGTGTCCGCAACCAACGCCTATTTCAAAGAGACGGGCAAGGACTACAACATTGCTCCTGTGGTCACGGCGGCGCAGTGGGTGGGCAAGATGTTGAGAATGTTTGGTCTGGGAGAGGGACCTGTGTCGGAGGGAGAGATTGGATGGGGAAGTGTGTCTTCTGCTGAAAGCGGAGTCGAGGGAGGGCTGGAAGGAAAGCTGGATCCTTACCTCAAGGCGATGGTGTCCTTCCGGGACGAGATTCGTCGTCTTGCGATTGCCGGCTCTTCTTCGCAAGACATACTCAAACTTTGCGACAAGTTCAGAGATACCGATCTCGCTACTCTCGGTGTACAGCTCGACGATGGCGCGTCTGCTTCTGGTGGTGCGCTTTACAAGCTCGTCGACCCTGCCGTGCTTGCTCGTGCAAAGGAGGAGAAGGAACGCGAGAAGGCAAAGAAGGAGGCAGAGAAGGAAGAGCGAAAGAAGGCTGCCGAAGCCAAGCGTATTGCTACCCTTGAGAAAGGGCGGACTCCTCCTGCCGAGATGTTCAAGCCCCCTCATGTCGCCGACGGGCTGTATACCGAGTGGAACGAGGAAGGTCTGCCGACAAAGGACGGAGAGGGCAAGGAGCTGAGTAGGAGTCTGGGGAAGAAGTTGCAAAAGGAACAAAAGGTGCAAGAGAAGGCGCATGAGGCCTGGGTAAAATGGCAGGCAGAGGGTGGACAGTAGAATTCAGGTATCCAGGTTTTTTTGTCCCATATCATGCAGCGTAGTGCTGCCGACTTTGTGGGCTGGTAAGCGAACGGATCGCACAAATCCTAGGTGACCTGACACGCGACGCGTCGAAGCAAGATCATGTGCAGAGTGCATTGGAATCTCATGGACCATAATGACTTCAAGATTGCACATGTCTTTTCCATGACCAGCAACTACCTATACAACTCTACAATCGTACTCTAAAGCCCATAGGAACCCGCCAGCTTGTAAGTCAAGTCATCCGCGTTCCAATTGACTCTCACGGTCCCGCCCGTGAGCTGCAAGCTGCCATATCTAATCTGAAGATATGTCAGAGCCACGACACCTCTTGCAGTACATCTATCTATCAGTACTCACAGAAGCTTCAATGGGGCCGGTAAAGTTTTCAAGCTCGGACACAGTCAAAGTCTTCAGCTTCCAAGCCTTCTTCTTGCCCTCCGGTTTCTCAAGCGCGAACGCGGTGTAGAATACGTCTGGGTGTGCTACACTGCCCTCATAGGCCCACTTGGCTGACCCTTTCTTGCAAGAAGGCTGCCACTTCATCTGCTTGCGAATACCAGCTGAACAAATATCACGTGTCCTTTCGGCAGCGGCCTTGATCTTTTCATCGCTCCAGCCGGCGGCGCTGGCGACCTCAGCAGCAGTGGGAGGAGGGGCCAAGGCTTATTCAAGCTTGGTCTGGAGAGACAAGGCGAGCTGGGCAAGTTCTGTCTTGTCAAGAGCGAGTAGCTCGTCCAATGTGTGGTTGGTCTTGTCGCCGACGTCGCCATCATCTCTCTTGCCTGTGTTTCAGCTTAGTAGCGCTTTGATTGGTGTGGTTACTTACGCTTGGGGGGCAGGGGCCATTGTGGTATACTTCGAATGGGCGGTTAGTAGATCAAGTAGGTGATGAAAAGCGATGGAAAGACGAGAAAAAGAACCAAAAACCGAAAGAACAACAGACAATTGTCGACGCGTTTTAAGGCACGGTATCTCGACTCGTTCTAAGGCACCGTCTCTTTCAACTCTGGGTCGGCCCCAAATCAGAATGTGAGTATCAAACAATAGTGGCCGCTCTATTGATGTACGACAATGCTACATGCTTTTGAACACGGACGCCACTGACAACGGACAAAATATACAAACCGGACAATCTCGTACAGCTGCGGACAAGTCACCTCGATCTTTCCCTACGTTTGTTCCATACATCAGTATTCTGACAGAAGAATAGGATTGTTGAGAGGGATGGGATTGCTTAGTGATGCAGTGTGAGGGCAGATGGTGTAAGGTGTCTCTGTAAACATCTGCCAGATGCTGCCCTCGGCTATCCGACGACGTTGTGGCGGAAGACGACAACCGGTCAGTGTTGTTGCTTGACCTTGCAGCCACCAAACGCATCGAAGTATCTTCTCAAATAATCAGATGCAGACCCTCAGTGATTCTAAGACAAAAGATACTCCCAAGGTCAAGATATGCATCAACCTTTCTTCTATCAGGCATCGCCGCCGAAATGTCGGTCGTTGATTCATCCATCAGTTTACTGCACCTTTGAGCACCTTTCACCCGAGAAACCTATGTCATAGTTATCGTACAACTCTTGCAGGAGGCTTAAAAGCATAGCTGCAGTACAAACACCTCATTCAAGTACAAACACTGACATCTTTGCTAAACCTTAACCTCACCTCACACTGCGCTCGACCCAACAACGCCTGACGAAACCACCAATCCCTCCTCCACCAGCGGATCATCTGCCGTTCCCACAGCTGATACCAGTGCAGACCCAACCAGCCCTGGCAGCCGCCACAGCAGTGTATTCCAGGCATTCAATGAGACGTTCAACGAAGAGTACGAGAGATTGCAAGCCGAGTACTCTGCATCTGTCAAGTCTCAGTCGAATGATACTTCCCAATAGGAAAAAGGCCTGAGAGTTATGGGGCGGCGACTGACGTGATTTCATTTGAGCCTGACATGTCGTGAGGCTCAAACTCTTTCATATCTACATAGCTCGCATACCATGCATCTCCAATGCCGCTGTAAGAAGTCTGTCTCGTCGAAGGACGGGACTGAGACATGTAGTTCAATAAGCTACTCATGGAAAGAACGATGACTATAAGAACCGGCAGTCAATCGGCGCTGGGAAGGATGTCTTCAACGCCTCTTCTTGAGGTTAGTGATTACTCATACTGATGGATGAACAAGCGCTAGAGGAAGCTTACTGGACTATATCCGGCGATAATTACACTTTGCCCTTGAGCCCGACATCTGCCGTCGTAGAGTGTGTGTTGATGCTTTGGATCACAAGGTTGATTGGATCATCATCACGTTACATGTGAGTGACAAAAGAGGTCTCCAATGAGCCGCAAAGATACTTGGCGATTGGAAGGTAGGAAGTGCGAACTGGCAGAAGCCAGCACTCCCATATGCAGCCTGTTGGCAGAAAATGACTTTAAGCGGCAAGGCCTTCGTCGATTTATCTATCGCCAGAGTCGCCAAAGGACCACTGTTGAGGCGTTACGGGTGGCCCAAGCGTCCGTGTCCACAGCCTCCCGATGCTCCCAGCTGATCTCTTCATTCCTCTTTCTCATCTTTTGCATCTCCACAATCTATAATATCATCAACCATGTTTGTCATCAAATGGGACGAGCCCATCCTCGTCCGAGCTGCTCACTCACCAACAAGGTCCTTCGCTTTGACCTCATCTGCTGCCGATTCGCCCACTGACCACCACAAAGGCGCGCTATCGAGTTCAGGGCTTCCAGGAAGACACAGAAGACAGTCACTTCCGTGGCTGCGCGACGCCAACTTGAGGTACGCTCGCTGCATTGACATGTGCAAGAGCTGACTGTCTCAGCGAATTATCCCTCTTCTCGCGGAGCGCATGATGGATCCCACCTCTGAGCCGCTTCCCGCCAGGTTTGACATCTTCAATGAGCGGGATCGAGTGATCTACCAATTCAGTAAGCTCTCCAAGAGCATCTTCTCGGACGCACCCCTGACGTCCATACGTCAGAGGTCATTTGCCAGACGCGTCGAAGAGATGATGTCAACCAGACGCGTCCAGCCCGGGTGGTGGTCACTGCGGTCGAGTGTCAGTAGCGAGGAGCGAGTACTGCTGCAATGCATGCCGACGTTTTATGCTCATGTTCTGCCCCTCTCTGCATGGGTGCTGAGGCCAGGCTGAGGCTGTCTCCCCTCGCTATGGCCTGCAGGTGTTCGGCGGCCGACGCTACCCTGTTATCGACTGCGGTGCACTGTACACTTGCTCTACTTGTACACACGCCAAGTCGATGCGACAAACACAACCGAAATGACAAGTAAGCACCGTCCTTTTCTCATCTTCTCCACTTCTCATCACATCGCCAGGACAACCCATCCCATTCGTGCCCTTCCCTCCTGGCAACCACTGCCCTCGTCGCTCTCGACCACCCGCCCTGTCCGTTGACCGCCCACGCGCAAACAATGTCGACCCTCCATCCCAACAATGCCTACTATCAAGGCCCTTCTCCCGTCCCCCCGCCCCGCCCTCATTCTGCTTACGACTATCACCAGCAGCAAGCTCCTCAGCTCGCCCCTGCGCCCCCCGCCCGACCAAGCTCGGCTTACACTGCGCCATACCCTTCGGCACCTGATCAGCCCCGACCACAGTCCTCTTGGTCCCATCTAGAGCAGTTCAGTACCTACGGGAGCTCATATCAGCCGGCTGCTTTCGAACCTCCTATCCAGGCCTTCGAAGATATGCGCTTGGTCAGACCTCAGTCTGCTATGCAGAGTCGTGCCAGCCACGCTTCATACATTCCTCAGCAAGGAGCGCCTCTTGACAATGTCGTGCCAGAGTCTGTGGTACGTGTGCCATGGCCCATGCTATATTCAAACTGACACCGTCGCAGATCAACTCAAGGAGCTCGTACATCGATTCTCCAGTCTCCGCTCCCCTCCCACAAGCCGCCCCTCCTTTCGAAGCCCGGCCTCTGCCCAACTCTACACACCGCATCAGTCTTCAGACCGAGATGCAGCCCCACATGGCTCCCCCTCCGCGCTCTTCTTCCCTAAACAACCTCTCCCCCGGCACCCCAACTCTCCCTACTTCTATCCAGGGGGACACTCCGCAAGTTCACCCTTACCCGACGGTCGATAGATTGACCCAAGCTTCCGCCACTATCGAGCGCACGTCCGACGTCAGTCAGCTGATGTGGTGCCAAGATGTCATCAGACTTGTTGAAAGGCACTGGCACCAGTCGAGCGACATGAGCTCGCACTTTGATCGGCCAGTCTCGCCGCCTCCCAACAGCTCGCATCTCAGTCCCCGACTGCATGAGCTGCTCGACAAGGCTGCCCCCTTGATCATTGCGCTCTCCACCAGCGACGATACGCGCACGTCAGGGGTGGCCTTGTATCTTCGGGGAAAACTGTCCTCTTCCGGTGTCTGCCCGGTCATATTGCCTAAAGATGCCAGGCAGGCTTTCCAGGATTTTGATGCGTCGGCAAGACAAGGAGAAGCGAGGTCTTGGTATAGACTTGGCAAGGATTACGAGGCTGTGAACGATCTGGCTAGGGCGAGGGACTGCTACGACAGGGGTGCCAAGAGAAGCGAATGCGAGAGTGCTTTTGTGAGTCATTTCTGCCTTGCTGAGGTGCTCGCTGACTTTTCAACAGAGGATGGGTATCGCATACCTCCGAGGCCAGCTCGACCTCCCGCCCAACCCCTCTCTCGGACTTCAGCTGCTGCCCCAGGCATCCGACACGTCCACTGTCGACTTTCCCCAGTCTTCTTACGTCTATGGCATGTTATTGGCAGGCGAAATCTCCCTCCAAGCCGACATTCCCCCTCATCTCATTCTTCCTCCCTCTTCTCCCGTCACCGAAAGCTTCATTTCCCAGCAAGTCAACGCCCGCTCCGCCATCGAGCGCGCGGCCTACCTCAACTACCCGCCTGCCCAATACAAAGTCGGCCACATGTACGAATACGCCGCTCTGTCTTGCCCATATGACCCCGCGCAGAGTGTGGCTTGGTACACGTTTGCGAGCTTGGCGGGCGAGACAGAGGCAGATATGGCGTTGAGCAAGTGGTTCTTGTGTGGGGCGGAAGGATTCTTTGTGAAGAATGAGGACAAGGCGAGGGTCTATGCGGAAAAGGCTGCGAAGAAGGGACATCCCAGTGCTTGTTTTGCGTTGGGCTATTACTTTGAGTGAGTAATGTCCGATGGCCTGATCGTGTCGATGCTGAAGCTGTCAGGATTGGGATGGGATGCAATGTGGATCTTGAATCAGCCAAGAAATGGTACAAAAAGGCAAGCCGAGCGTCCTTCTCCTACGCTTGTTTCGCTAACACCTCCGTCAGGCCGCCAAGCTCGGCAACGCAGATGCCCCGGGCCGACTTGCAGCTCTCTCTCAAGCAAACCCCTCCACGATGACCATAACGGAGCACGAGACGAGACTGCGAAATACCATCATCCGTAAACATACCACCGCCAAGAACCGGTCAGACCGATTCTCCATCTCCAGAAGTGGACGGGCTCCCGAAGACCAAGGAGGGCAGTCGTCGGGTGCGCCGGTACTGGGAGAGCAGACCGATTTCGCTCAAATTCCTGGACCCCAGCCGGGCGCGCCAATCCAGCCGCCAATCCAGCCGGTTGCAGCCAGACCAGGGGAGATCATGTCGCCCATCGCCATGTCGCCCTCCGCCCCCCGTTCCAACTTTCGACCTCCGATGCCCATGCGGCAAGGCTCGCTAGGCCCACCTCCCTCAGCCTACCCACCCGGAGCTGCCCCGCCCACTGTGCCCCGGCCGGCGTTCAGCAGGCAGAACTCGAACAACTCTGTCAATTCATACCCTGGGCAAAGTGCTGCTTCTTCGGTGGTCTCTTCGGCGGGAACGACCCATGAGTTGCCTGTTCCAGTCCGTCAATCGGGGCCTGGCGGTAGCTTGGAAGGCGCAGGAGCAGGAGAGAGAGCAGGAGCGACGCCGGAAAAGAAGAGGGGACCACAGACATTTGCAGAGATGGGCTTTGTGAGTAAGCCAGTGGAGGAAGAGAGTTGTGTGGTGATGTAAGGGCCGATGAGAGTGAGGGTCGATGAGAGTGATATCTTATGTATAACTTTGGCGACGGTGCAAGTTGCAAATGAGAGGATGATTCGCCAAACGCGTACTCACACCTGTGAAAATGTCACCAAATACGGAAACGTTGTTCTCACATTCATAGGGTCTTTCACTCTGATCTTCTACTGCTTCATATCTTACACCCATTATAACCGTGTATCTCCCTCCTACTCCTGTTTTATCATCGACCAAGCCGATGAAACGAGATGGACCGTCTTGAGCGCTTAACGGCCAGTGGAGCCATAGTACGGCTGCTGAGCTATCGCTTCGTCAGCTCCACGCTCTTTGATACTTGCGACACACGGGCACGTACCAGGAACAGCTCCGACGGGCGCACCGGGGTGGCCACCAGCGGATCCAACAAAGTTGCCGTTGCCCAAGTAGGTGTAGCCACCATGTCCGTAAGCTTCCTCGGCCTTGATGCGCTTGTCTACAAAACGTGTCAGAAGCTGCACAGCTGGTTTGATAAGGCTGCGGTGGCGTTACGTACAGATGAGCCAGAAGGCGTGGATATGGCCGGGAAGATAACCCTGTGTCTTGTCAGTCTAGCACTTGGCATATGGATACCTGGGACATACCAAGACGGTCAACAGCTACAATCTCAGTCAGCAGAGTCCTGGCAACGGGATAGACCGAGACGTACGATGTTGATGAGAAGATCACAGCTGCAGCCGGTGATCATGGCCGCCGCCGCCGGGGGGAAGAGGATGGCGACGAGGATAATGATGATGTCAGAACCTTTGACGGGCATTGTGGATGTGTTGTGGCTGGGAATGGGATGAAAGAGAAAGAGAGATCCATTCGCAAAGACAGCGAGAGAGCGGCGGCGATGACGTACAGGTCACGTGGTCTGCGCTATTCACCTCTATCATTTCACCGCATGTTGCCAAACACATGCAAGCTGTAGTAATGTGTTCATATACATGCCACAATCCTCAACTGATGATAAGAAGGAGACAGAAACAACGAAGACTCCGTACAACGTGAACGAACAAGGCACATATCTTCTTCTTATTGATCAGCCTGTCCGCTGAAAATGAGCTCGATGGCAGCTTCTACATTGCCTCCCGTCCTCCTCAGCGCTCTGATGTTCTTCTGCGCATCCCACAGGCCCTGTGATTCACATCAGCGATTGATCGGTAAAGAAAAGCAAGAAGCGCACCATAGCGTTCAACTGTCCCAACTGCGTAGCATAAATCTCTTCCGCCGGCCTCTCATCCCGAGGAGCAGAGGGCGCACCCCATGGCGAGCCTCCCCCAAATCCGCCCCCAGCCCCCCCAGCACCAAAGAGAGCAGCAGGGTCAAACCCGCCGAATGGGTTTCCTCCCGCACCCGCGCCCGCTCCTTGCCCAGCAGCAGTCCCGGCGCCACCTCCGGGCATACCGAGGAGGGCAGCAAGACCAGGAGGGAATCCGCCCGCTCCAGCCCCAGGAGTTTGTTCTCCTTCACGGGCGGCACCTGCGCCCGGAGCAAAAAGGTTGGGGAAAGGGTCGGCGGCAGCGGCTTCTTCGCCTGTTTGTCCTGCTCCGGCCCCGGCTCCAGCACCCGCACCCGCTCCAGCACCGCCTCCAAACAGCCCTCCCCCGAGCCCACCGAGTCCACCAAGTCCTCCGCCTCCGCCACCAGCTTGCATTTGCATCATCTACACGTCCCATCAGCCATCGCTTCCGCGCTTCAGAAGAGAAATCTTGAACGTACCATACGAAGCGTCTCGGGGTTGGACATCATCTGTCTAAACATGGGCGACGCCATCATCTGACGTATTTGCGGACCCATAGAGGCGAGTTGGGGGTTGGAGGCGATGATCTGTTCTACGACTTGTGGGTTGGACATCATGTCGGACATGCTTCTGAGGAATTCGGGGCTGTTCATCATACCTGCCATCTACAGAGACGTCAGTCGAGGATTCAGAACGAGTGAGGGTACACACAGCATTGGGGTCGTTGAGATTGTTGATACCTTGCACACCGGCAAAGGGGTTGAATCCTGCCAAACCCTACTGTCACATCAGCGACCCGTTCCGGTCCCGCTGGGAAGAGACTCACATGATGGATGTTCTCCACGCTGTCAATCGGGTTCGACCCCGGTTGTAACCCCGTGCCCATCGTCGGCAGAGGCTGAGGCGCCGCCGAAGACGACCCAGCAGCAGGCTTGGCGGCTCCTTTGACCATATGAATAGTATTGTTGTTCTGGATCTTGTAGCCGGCAATCGTCTCTTCATCCTTCAGTACTTTGCCTAAAACCACGGATTAGTCAGGGGTATCCAGATCCGGGAAGGAGGCAGGACGTACCAGAGAAGATGAGTCGTTGTCTGTCTTTCTCGGCATCGCTCTGGGAGGCAATAAGCTCCTTGAGGTCTGCGACAGTCTTGCTGGGGTTGATAGTAAGAGCGAGCTTGAGCTCGGAAGGGCCCTTGACGGTACTAGAACATACGTCAGCTCCAGCGGCAACGAGGTTGCTCGAGACGGGGGGCAGCGTACATGTTGATGTCTCCGGCAGAGGAGGAGGCGGCGTCGGACATGGCGGGGGGATATTATCTGATGGGAAGAGAGAGAAGGGATAGATGGAATGATACAGAATCAACCAGCGTCACTGGAGAGATCGCGTTGCCGGGGCGGGGGCCGCCGCTCCAATCATGCTGCTCCTGGGAAGGGTTGGGTGATGGTCCCATGCAGACATCACATATACATTCAAGTTCTAGAGTAAATCTACACGCTAATACATAGCCTAGTGCTTAACCTCTGGGTTCTCCCCACGTGCCACGGCAGCCCAATAAGCGCCTCCAGGGAAGACATAGTCCTCGATAGACTTTTCATACATTTCGATAGAGTACCCGCCCTTGGGGTCCAGCGGGATGTTGTATCGCCCCTCGTCATTGATGGAGACGGGGTAGAGGAAGTGCTCGTGCAAGTGGCTGCAAGCTGTTAGGATGATGTAAGAGACAAAAGAAGAAAGACTTACTCGACAAACTCGAGTACGTTTCGCTCCATATCGCCCGAGACGCAGATGTAGTCGATAAGACTGAGATGGATGACATACTCGCACAAGCCCACTCCGCCAGCATGAGGACAGACGGGTACGCCAAATTTGGCGGACAGCAGAAGGACCGAGAGGATTTCGTTGACACCGCCGAGACGGCAAGAGTCAATCTGGCAGACGTCTATAGCGTCGAGCTGAAGGAGCTGCTTGAAGATCATCTACATGCGAGTTAGCGGTTGGGTAGATAACAGTGGGGGAGACTTACACGGTTGTGAGCGTGTTCGCCGGTAGCAACGCCAATGTTGACTTCCTTCAAGGCCTTGCGGATAGCAGCGTGGCCGACGACATCATCGGGAGCTGTAGGCTCTTCGATGAACCAAGGTTTGAGCGGCTCGAGCTTCTTCATATACTCGATAGCCTGTGGGACGTCCCAGACCTCTACACATTTGCATCAGCGCGGCACTCAGGGGCAGGAAGGCAGACATACGGTTGGCGTCGACCATCAAGACACAGCCGGTGGGACCAGCATTCTTGCCGGCGATAGACTCGGGCGAGATGGGCTTGCGGTCTTTGGGGATATTGGCGGGGTCGTCAATGATGGACCTGATGAGCCTGCCACGACGCAGGTCGTCCTCGGCATCCGCACCAACCTTGAGCTGCATACTAGTCAGTTTCAGTCCAAGGGTGGAGTAGGAGACGTACCTTGAAATGGTTGAAGCCCTGGTTCAAGCTCTCCTTTGTCAGCCTCCTGACCTTCTCGTCCGAGTACCCCAGCCATCCGACCGAAGTCGTATACGCTGGATATCCTCTTTCGAGTACTTCCTTCTCCCTACTAGCCTTGCCCGCCTCCTTCTTTTTCAAGATAGCGAGAGCTTCTTCTCGAGTGAGAGCATCGGTAATGTACCGGAAAGAAGTCGACTTGACAAACTCTTCAGGAGTAAAGTCGACGATGAGCTTCCAAAGCGGTTTCTGAGCGTGCTTTGCATAGAGGTCCCAGACGGCGTTGGAGATGGCAGCGGTCGCGAGGTGTATGACACCCTTTTCAGGCCCGAGCCATCGGTGCTGGGGGTCCGCAACGACTGGAGCGTGTCAGTAGTAGAAAGAGAAGAGATGGCGGGACATACGAAAGTCCCAGAATTTGCCCATATCAGCAAAGATAGGTTCGAGCTCAAGGCCGACGATACGCTTGGCTACCTGCTCAATAGCAAAGCAAACAATCTCGTTGCCTCGACCAATAGCTACTTCGGGTCAGCAATGCACAACAAGCAAGCGGGGACGTACTAAAGGTCATACCCTGGCCCTTGAGGTCGGTGCCAGTCTCGAGGACGATGTAAGCGGCCGAGTAGTCGCATTCCTTGTTCATGGCATCTGTGCCATCGCCGGTCACGTTCTGGACATGGTTAGAGGACATTCAGAGGGCACGTGTAGATGGCTCACGGTGGGGTAGCGGACGTCTGGAGCGGGTCAGCGTGCTCATATGGACTGGATAGACTCACCGTGGACAGAGTAGTTTGTGATCTTGAGGGACATGGTGGCTGGGGATGCAACTCAATCCTGGACTGGAGGCTATATACAAGTCGAAGTCACACTCACATCTTGCCTTCACTTGCCGTGCGGTCCGGCTCCACCGGCGGGCCCCACGGCCCGGCTTTGGCCCGAAGTGTAGGAGCAAGACGCGGCGGCGGCGGTCACCGATGATGTACCTAGATGGTGCCTGGCTGATTCCTATTGTTCTCTTTCCCTTCAGGGCAATCTTTTTTGCCTATTGTTCTCCACATCAGCCCACGTTTTTCTGCTGAGGACAATGGCAGACAGCGCACCCCCCCGCACTACGCCCTGATCATCGTCTGCGGGGACGGGCGAGGCAGAGCAGCGTAGGCAGCCGTTTTCATATCATGTACTTGTACGTCTTGTTCACTCGTCAGCTCGCCGTCATTGAGCTTCCACTTCTGTCTCGACTTACTCATCATCTCTTCAATCATTCCCACCACCACAAACTCGCCAGGCTTACATTGCCCTTAGACAGTCACCACTCTGTCTAGTTGAACCACCTCTTCTACGCTCCGTGCCTTCTACAGATCACCATACACCCAGGGGTACACCAAACTTTCAAGATGCCCGCCACACACACTTCATCACCCTCTCCGTCAACTCCTCGAACGCCTCGCACGCCTCGTATATCGCGAACGAGCGATGTCCCCGACTTTCCCTATCCCCCTGTACGAAGTCTTGTAACTCCCACATCACCCCCTGGCAGACTTCCTTCAACGCCCAGGCAGTCGTCTCGCGAGTACCCACAGTTACCATCGAGTCCCTCGTCGACACTGCGTAAAGCGGCTGGCACTGCCCTCCCATTATCCCCGTCTTCGGGCGTCTACTACTCGTCCCCGCCGACGACCTACACAAATATCCACAACACGCTTCGAAATTCGGACGAGGTCGAGCTCGTAGCCCTCACACCTCGCCAGCTCCCTCCCAGCGTCGAAACACAAGACGACTCACCCTTCCACGACCGGCACTCCGTGCTGAGCGAGCGAGAAGACCTATTCGAGTTTGAATCTGGCAGGCAAAGAACGATGCCGGGGTACAAGTCTGCCAGCCTTTCTCCGCAGGGGACGGATGACCGAGGACAACCCATGTCGTTCGGTCCTATGCTCGACCAAGTCAGCAGACCTCCCACCGATTGGCGCAGATCACTCTACCCTGCCGAATCCCAGCCCATCCCCACATACGATTACTCCGGCCTGCCTACCCCTTCCTCTCCCACCTCCAGCCGGTATTCGCTTCTCCCTGATGCCGTCCGACCCAGGTTCCGCCGCCTGTTTGCCTTTACCACATGGCGAGACTATCTCTTTGTCTTTGTCCCCGGTGTCGTCCTCTCCATCATCGCCGCGCTCATCCAGCCGTACATGTCGGTGGTCATTGGCGATGCTTTCGAGATCTTTGCTGCCTATCCCATGGTCATGTCGGCGGTGACGGAGACGGACAAGCAGACGCTGAAAGACGGTGTGAGAGATACGTGCATCAAGCTCACCATTGCTGGTGTGCTCGCGCTCGTGCTCAACTACTGCAAAGGCATTGTGTGGACGCTGTACGGCGAGACGGTCGCCAACCGATTGCGAGGAAAGGTGTTCAGGGGGGTGCAGGACAAGAGTATGAAGTGGTATGACATGGGAATGGGAATGCGGGAGGAAGAACAGGGGGAGGGGAAAGAGAACGATGCGGTGGGAGCGGGAGGGTTGATGACCAAGTTCAACAGGTCAGTCAACTTTCCGCGAGTGTTCACTAGCTGACGTCAACCACAGAGAGACTGACGATGTCCGCCTCGCCACATCCCTTTCCTTCGGCCTCGTCGTCCAGGACTCGTTCACATTCCTCCTCTGCTTCATCCTCGCCGTCGTCTACTCCCCCAAACTCGCATTCGTCACCCTCTCCACCATCCCCCTCATCGTCCTCACCCAGATCATCACGCAGGTCACCTGCGCGCCTTTGCTGGCCACCGAACGACGCGTCTTGGCCGAGGCATCAACCAACATTGAGCGAGCGACCGGCGCCATCTCCACTGTCAAAGTGCATAATGCTCAGTCAGCCGAGGAAACCCGTTTCCTCACACTCATTGGGCGCGGGATGGGGACCATGATCAAGCAGGGTCTGGTATGGGGTATCTCTATCGGCGTCACCGACTTTTTCCTCCTGGGTACATTTGTGCTTGGGTTCTGGTATGGCGCACAGCTCGTCAGGAATGGGAGTGCCACGTCGGGTGATGTGATGACCTGCTTCTGGGCTTGTCTCTTTGCTGCCACCTACCTGCAGCAAGTGATTCCCCACTTGACGACGTTGACCAAGGGCAAAAACTCGATGGCTTCTCTCTTGACCGTCATCCAAGACGAGCCAGTCAGGCCTGTATCTGGCAACCCCTTCTCCCCTGGCTCGACACCCACTACCGCCAAGTTCGACATTGCCAAACAGCCCAAGGTCAAGGAGAGCCCCACCTCTGAAGGGCTCCGCCCGACCAAGTGCCATGGCGAGTTCAACTTTACCCACGTCTCATTTTCGTACCCCTCACGACCTGACAATCTCGTCCTCCGCGATGTTTCCCTCTTCATCCCTCCTGGCGAGATTACCTTTGTCGTCGGCGGGTCTGGTTCGGGCAAGTCGACTATTGCGCAGCTTTTGCTACGACTGTACAACCCTCTCACTGGAGAGATCACATTGGACGACAATTCGTTCGACTTTCTCGACGCTTCCTTTACTCGCGAAAATATTGCGGCCGTCCAACAAGGTTGTATCCTCTTTGACATGTCGGTCCACGACAATGTCGCTATGGGCCTTGCCGGCAGCGGTCCCGACCCCAAGACGGGTATCAAGCGGTCACCGAAAGATGTGACGAGAGAAGAGGTTGTGGAGGCGTGCAAGATGGCGATGATCCATGACTTTGTGGTGGGCTTGCCGGAAGGGTACGAGACCAAGTTGGGTACTGGTGGTTCGAGTCTGAGCGGAGGGCAGAGGCAGAGGATGGCTATTGCGCGGGCGAGGATCAGGGATCCGACTGTACTGATTCTTGGTAAGTCACAGTTTCGGTCAGGGGGGCCAACGTTAACAACTTTACAGACGAAGCAACTTCTGCCCTCGACGCTACTTCCCGAGTCCTCGTCTTTCAGAATATCAAAGCCTGGCGCAACAACCGTACCACTATCGTCATCACACACGACCTCTCTCAGATCGTATCCGACGACTTTGTCTATGTGATGAAGGACGGTATCGTCGCCGAACAAGGCTTCCGGCTGGACCTCGTCAAGAAAACTGGAGGTGTCTTTGCGAATATCGCCGCCGAGCAAGCTATCACCCCCTTCCCCGCCAAGGATGAGGGAGACGAGCAGTGGCGAGAAAACCTGGAAAACCTCTTGAACATGGAAGAGGACTTTGAGGAGGTGTTGGACGTCAGGTCGGCAACTCCTGCTTTCAGCAAGCTGCTGAACCGCAACAGCGGCGTCTACAACGACATGTACGACGAGTACTCGCGTGGTCAGCGTCTCTCCCACCTCGACCGCCGCCGCTCTCGGCAAAGTACTGCGCAGAAACGACTTTCTTGGACGCCCGAGCAGCATGGCAGGACGCAGAGCAGGCAGACTTTTGTGGCGTCTGGAGGCAGCAGGCCTGTCAGTCGCAATAGCAGACCGGCGAGCAGAATGAGTGTCAGCCCGAGGCCTTCTTCCAGGATGAGCTTGAGGACGATGATGGCTGATCCTGACTCTACGCCTCGGCAGGGCAACCGATCCCAACGAAGCCTCGAGCTTCCTAGTAGCGGTATGCTTCATGCTGGCTGGACGGAGAAGAGTTCTCCGGGACAGATCAGTTTGAGGGAGAGACAAAGGAAGACGTTGTCGGAGAACTTGGAAGATGACTTGAAGGATTCTGCCTCTGAGCTCGACAACCCTCATACCGCTATTGAGGTCGAGTCTGAAGGACCGAAACCCATCCCCGGTATCTTTGCCCTCATCAAACTCTACTTTCCCACTCTTCCCCACAGATACCTCCTCTTCTTTGGCTGTCTTGGGTCTATCGGCCACGGTGCTACCACCCCAATCTGGTCATACTTTCTTGCAAAGCTCATGACCATCGTTGGTGCTGGCGGTGCTGACGTCGGTGCACTTACGAAGTACGGTCTAATCGTCCTTGCTCTTTGCGCTTGCCAAGGTTTATCCAATTGCGTCCGAGAATACTCGCTCGTCAGCCTTTCTGCGCGATGGTCTCACATGGTTCGAGGCCAAGCTTATCACAAGCTCATCAAGCAAGACAAGGCCTTTTTCGATCTTTCCCCCAACGCTCCCTCTCGCCTTGTCCAACTTCTTATCAAGGACGCCGATGATGCCCGTACCCTTATGAGTCATGTCATTGGTAAAGCCGTCACTGTGGTCACCATGCTCGGCTTGGGGATCTTTTGGGCAATGGCTGTTGAGTGGCGATTGACGTTGATCGGGTTGGCGCTTGGACCAATCTTTGGAGGATGTATGGCCCTCAACTCATGGATGCTAGGAAACGTCGAGGTCGCTTGCAAGACGGCTAGGGAAGATGTTGGGAGGGTATTCTACGAGGTGAGTAATTTGCATCTGGTCCTACCACGTTGCTGATGTCTTCTGTAGAGTGTTGCAAACGTACGAGGTATCCGCGCCATGGCTCTTGACGGTGCGTTCGAAGACAGGTTCGCGACCGATGCCAAGGCAGCCAAGTCGGTCGGAAAGCGTTCTGCTTGGAACATGGCCATCGGTGGAGCTATCGGTGGCTGTCTGCCTCTCTTTGCGCAAGGTGAGTCTTACATTGTCTGCTGTGATTAGACGCTAATCTTACCACAGCCGTCATGAACTTTGCTGGTTCCGAGTTCATGATCCAAGGCAGGATGAATTACGAGGAGATGCTCCAGGTCTACAACCTTGTGCTCTTCAGTTTGACTTTTGGCGCTGGCCTTTTGGACTTTAGTAAGCTCACTCCAGCCACAAGATGTGCAAGCTGACCTGTTCTTCAGTTCCAATGATGGCCAAGGCCCGTGTCGCGGCTCGAGACTTCAACCGCCTTCTCTTCCTCGGCGAACAAACTACAGAATCCGAAGGTGAACTTCGCATGCCCATCAACGGCCACATCGCCTTCAACCACGTCGCCTTTTCGTACCCGTCTCGCCCAGAGGTTCCTATCCTTACCGATGTCTCCTTCACCCTCACTCCTGGAGAGTATGTCGCCATTGTCGGTCCTTCCGGCTCCGGCAAATCTACCATTGCTGCTCTGATGCAGAGGCTGTACATGGTGGACGCGGGCGAGATTCGTATCGGAAACTATAACCTCAAACAAACGGATGTTGTGTGGCTCCGTAACCACATCTCCGTGGTATCTCAATCCGCCAATCTTTTCGACGCTTCCATTGCCGAAAACATTGCTTATGGTACACCCAATCTTCCGTTGTCTGAAATCTACCGAGCCGCCCAAGCAGCCAACATCCACGACTTCATCCAGAGCTTGCCTCAGGGTTATGACACCAATCTGGGCGAGAACGCGAGCTTGATCTCGGGTGGACAGGCGCAGAGGCTCCAGATTGCCAGGGCTTTGTGCAGGACGAGTAGAATCTTGATTCTTGACGAGTGCACAAGCGCGCTCGACACTGACAATGCGAAGGCGGTGCTGGATACGATCGTAAAGATCAAGGCTGTGAGTGCAATTCTATCTTTGAGTACGGACTTGAGCCGATTTGCTTCAGCATCGTACCACGGTGTTTATCACCCACTCGGTGGAGGCCATGCAGCGCTGCGACCGTATCATATGTCTGGGTGAAGGGCGAGTGGAGGAGGAGGGGACGTTCGAGGATCTTGTGAGGAGAGGCGGCGTGTTTGCGCAGTTGATGAAGACAGGAGAATGGGAATGAAATTCGATAGAGTAATGTCATAGAGTACTCTGCCTTGCTTGTAGTGTTGTAAATGTATCTCTATAGCTGGCCTTCCTAGGAAAGTACGCCAAGACAAATTCAGGGCGGAGCAAGTAAACACCAACCGTGCTTCCCGAGGATGTCAAAAAGCAGCATGGGAACCAAACAAATACTTGACGAAGCTGCAATATTTGATCCCGTTTACGCGTCGCGTCCGAAAGTCAATGCGAATTCCTGATGGGTGATCGATTCTGTCTTTTGCCCCGTATCATCGCAATGTTCATCGCAATCATCGGGACGCCTTCAGCAGGAAAGAAAGTGGTGCTACAGTATCTGGAAAAGAAATACGGTTTCCAGCGTTTGAGGCTCGCGAAAGATCAGCCTGTGAGTGACCTGTTCTGCAATACTCCCAGGTGACTGATCATAAAACCAAGCAGGAAGAAGATCTTAGCGGGAGAATTGCAAAGATCGATGTCAATGGTGATGGCCAGGTATGTTGTGCAAGTGGCCCGAGTCGCAGCTCTGACCACGGCCTTAGGTCGCTGCGGCACACACCTATGCGAACGCCAATGACCTTTTGGATTTTGTGACCCACAATTGGCTTTCGCACTTTGTGACGACCGACTTGACGTCTTTCGACGACGTTGAGCCCTTTGTCAAACGGCCCTTCTTCTTGCTTGTCAGTGTCGACGGGCCGTTGATTGTTAGATATGAACGTGAAAGGGCGAGGTGGGTCGACAGAGACATTTGTCTGTCAAGTGCTGACTAAAGACAGAGCGGGATCCTTGAAGCAGACTCTCTCCCTGGAAAAGTTTATTACCGACCATGACGCTCTTCTTCATGGACCTCCTCCCCCCCAAACATCCAGCCTCCCTACCCTGGCGCACATGCAGCTCCAGTCCGATTTCCGGCGAGTCCTTGACTTGGCTCATATCCAAGTCAACAACAATTTCACCGACATCTCCGCACTCCACTGGTATCTGGATCGACTGGACCTTTTAGATGAGGGTCGCTTGAGGCCTGGGTGGGATAAATACTTCATGGTTTGTCTTTCCGGAGGCTTTTGTTACCTGTCAACTGATCTGGTTCCAGACTCTTGCCTCACTCGCTTCCCACCGATCCAATTGTATGAAGCGCCGAGTAGGTGCCCTCCTTGTCCGCTCCAAGCGCATCCTGTCCACCGGATACAACGGTACACCTAGAGGAGTGAGAAATTGCAACCAAGGAGGCTGCTCACGGTGTAATGGAAGTGCCCGAGGCGGCGAGGCATGTAAGCCTATCTCATTCCCACGTAGGTCCGAGCTGATATTGAGGGCTAGTGAACGAGTGTCTGTGTCTACACGCAGAAGAGAATGCGCTGTTGGAAGCTGGAAGGGATCGTATCGGAGACGACTCTGTCATCTACTGCAACACGTAAGTCGCATTGCGTTCACAAAGGTCGCATGCTGATATGTGCCACAGATGTCCCTGTCTTCGATGTTCAGTCAAGATTGTACAATGTGGTGTTCGAGAAGTAGTCTACAACCAAAGCTACAGTATGGACGAAGCTTCCGCCATGGTCCTCAAGGAAGGAGGCGTGATCCTTCGGCAGCTCTCCATGCCCGAAGCTGTCTGATCATTAGGGGCTTGCGTTGCGCTAGATCTATCAAAGGGGTTCCAGTCGTTCATTTTGGGTGTTGTTGTGGTCGTGATGCATGATATTTGTGCAATTGTTGTATTATAATGCTTCTAGCAGCTTCCTCCCGTTACCCTCGATATCGAGCCCATCCTTCAGATACCTCCACGTCCCTGACTCGTCCTCGCCCATAGTAGCCTTAAGCACGACCCAAAGGGCATCCCCATCCCTCTCTCTGAGCTCTTCAAACAATCCCATCCCCTTCACCTGCAGTTCCTCATTGACCCTCCCATCAATGAACACTCTACACTTGACCATCATCTCCCACAGCACCCCTTCGTTTACAGGCACTTCACGGGCAATGAAGGTAGCCACTCGGAGGATTGCAAGGTGCAGACGGTGTGAGACAGTATGCGAACTTTTCGTCCCCACCACACCTCGCTTCGCCAGCGCAGATTTCTTGTCGAGCTTTTGGCGGCTATCCATCACCTTGAGCAGCCTCGGCCACGCATGGTCCAGCACCTTCTTGCTCATAAAGTCTCCCGCGTGCTCACACAACGCAGCAATCACACCAGCAGCTTCCACCACCACATATGCCTCCCCATCGTCCAATCGATTCAAGATCGTACCCCATGAATCATGAATCAGAGGCAGCAGGTCCGACTCGCGATTGCCGAGAGCGAGGACGGGGATGGCGTTGGCCACGAGAGAGAGTACTTTGGATCGGAGGAAGGGAGAGCGATGTGTAAGGAAGTGGAGGGACTTGGACAGAATGCGGGTGGCTACCTGTTGAGTCCTGGTAGCCGGGGCCTCTTCGGCGTCGGGCATGGGAGTATCTTCGTCGGCCCCGGGTTCTTCCTCCATACCTGGAATATCCTTCTTCCCCCAAGCATGCTGAGGTGCTCGCTCCAAGAGCTCTTCTACTTCTTGCGCACGCAGCTCTTGTCTCCCATCCCACCACTTTCCAAACTGCCTCAAGTCTTCTTCGACATTTGGCGCCTTTTCTATTCTCTTTAGCTCTTCCACCTTCTTCTTCCGCTCTTCAGACACACCCTCCGCCTGTACCTCCTTGCCCATGACTTCCACCAGCACCACAAGTACAGCCAACAGCCCGCTGGTCATCGTCTCATACCCATGATACTCGTCCAAAGCATCAAATACCTCATCCACAACGTCCTGGACGAGCGGCACAATCGGCGCGCCGACCAGACGGATCATGGCTATCAGCACGAGAGGCGCGGATGGTGAAAGTCGCTTGTATGTGAGGCGTTGTGTGACGACGTTGATTACATAGTCGACGTTGTCGAGGATGAGGTCGGAAGGGGAAGAGTAGTTGGTGTAGTGGGCAATGTGGGTCAATGTTGTGGATGCGTAGCTCTGTACGATAGGCTGTGGCGAGGCGAGATGCGACAATACGATGTAGAGTGTCGTAAGAAGGAGAGGGCGGAACGACGAAGATAGTATTCCAGCAGAGACCGAGAACCCTTGCAGCGAAAGCGCCGTGAGTAGCGTCTTTTGCGCCTGCACTTCCAGCTTCCTCGTCTCCTCCGCCGTATACGAGTTTGGCAGAGGATTCTTATCCAGAATAGTCGTCAACGCATTGACGCCACTCGTCCTCTCAATCGGCACCAATCCCGTCTCTTCTTCTTTCCCGTATGCCGGATCTTCCCCTTCTTGTTCCTCGCCATCTTCGTCCAGAGCGACAACCACCTTGGCCATCTCCTTGGCCATCTTTCTGACTCCCCTGCTGATTTTTCCCTCCACACCTTCAATCTGCGCCTGCTGAATACCCTGCACGAGGGCTTCAGCAACCCACATAGCAGAGACACTCTTTGCCACATGCCTGCCCTTGTTGGACTTTGCAAACAGCATAAAGTACTCTACCGAATGCAGAGCTGCTTCTCCGCCTGTTGATCCTAGGGCAGAAAGCATAGCACGAAGCTTGCGTGTCGTCTCTTCCGACTCGACGTGCCGAAGAGAAAGAGATGGATATTTGCTCAAGGGTGCTTCTTCCGAAGTCTGATCCTGATCCGTACCGTTGTCGAGTAGCAGCCCGGTCTGACCACCAAGACCGCCTTCCCATCCAAGCCTGGAAGTCCTCTCTGGCCCGCCTTTGCCTTCTGCCCATCCTGCCGGCTTGCCAAACTCGAAACAACTCAACAAAGACCAACCCCACCTCTCCACGTTCCCATCAGGGCCGAGGAGCTGTGCAATCGCATTGCCTTTGGACGAGAAGGCGAGAGAGGAGGAAGACTCGGCGATGGCGGTGATGAGTCTGGCGAGCTCGTCAACTTTGGTATCTTGATGCGAAGAGACCAAGCGGGGCATGGCGTTGATGGCTTCGTTCAGAAGGTCGAGCAATACCGGCGAAAGTTGCAGGCTTTCGGTGGGGAGGAGGGAACGCAATCTCCGACGAGCTTCATGTCGTACAGGGTCGAAGGTATCTTGCGACAAGAGCAAGAGGGTAGTCAGAGACCGCGGCCGCAGGAGAGGTAGACTCTCTGAACATTTCTCGATCAACGTTGAAGCTAGGGATATAGCTCCGTGTCTCGCGTCGTCTGACGGATGTGGAATCAAGATTGACAGCATAGGAGATATAGCAGTGACTAGCTGGGAAGATGTGAATGAGAGATATGCCGGTGTAAGCGGCGGGAATGGGTCGGGCCGGGCTGAGGGAGATGGTGAAGGTGCTGATGCGGGCGAAGCCGGTACGGTTGATTCTTCTTCCCACTGCTCGGCCAGGCCACTCAGGTCCTCGGCTTTTGCCCTCAATACACCGAGCCGTACGAGATCTTCATCCGCCAGAGTCCCCGAAACTACTCCCTCCACAATCCTCGCGCATTCCCTCGCCACCTCCCCTTTGAGGCCCTTACCTCCCTCATTGATGATTTTTGCCATGGCGCTCACTGTACCCGGAAGGACGGCTGCGAGGACTTGATGATTGTTTGAAAAGTAGTGGGAAAGTAGAGAGCGGAGGAGGACGAGAGAAGAGAGTTGAAGGGCGTGGTAGGGTGGAGTTGGTTGGGAGGTTTCGAGCAAGAGAGTGATTGTCTGAAAGAGAGTAGGAAGCATGGACGATTGCGGCGACGATACCTTGTCCAGCATATCTGCCGTAGGATATTTGGGTAAATCCGAGGGGGATAAAAGAGCCGAGAGAAGCTTGATAGCTTGCACCTGCACTTCCTGTCCCACTTCCTTCCTTTTCCCCTTCTCCCCCTCCCGCTTCACCACCCTCGGCCCCACAGCAGCCACTCCAAACTTCCAAAGCTGTTCCCATCCAGTGATATCCATCCCAGCTTCTGTCTTTCTCCACGCTCCCACGAGGTGCGCCAAAAGCCCGAAGGAGGCTTCGAGGAATGCGTCGGGCAGGGTGGCAGGGTTGGACTGTCGGATGACGGTGGTGAGGGGGAATAGGATGTAGTTGATCACTGCAGGATCCAGTGTGGATTGGGGCACAGTGGTGATGGTAGTGTAGAGCTGTTCTAAGACTTTGTGGTGCTGCGAGTAAGGTGTGGGGTGTTCCGACGCCATGGACATTAAAGACACGCAAATCGGCTTGACCTGTATCATTGTCAGCATACTTTGTAGACGATGAAATGGACCGAGCGCGCCTTTTGAAATGTCTCCATCCTTGCCTGTCTCGCGGCCAAGTCGGCATAGTTGGGAAGAGAGGGAGCAGCAGCATAGCTGAATGGTTGACCGCCGCCGCCGCGGGGAGTCAGGACGGGGGGCATTGAGTTTCCTTTGTTTGTCAGTCAGCCTGTATGAAGTGCGAGAGAAGTGCGAGAGAAGTGCGAGAGGATGGGACTCACTTTGAAGAACTCGTTTGGTAAGGGTGTATCCACTATGACTCTCAAGAGAGCTCGTTTCCAAGTTGCAAAGGCAGGATCGATAGACCTCGTGTTACTCAGGGTCCTGCAATCCTCTATACACGCGTGAGCCCGGGTTTATTATACGAGCGCCACTCACCTCTATCTTGCTCTCGCAGTGCTTCAGTCGACGTCCCGGGGTATACCTTTGTTGTGCAGAGAGCTGAACGAGACAATCAAAGGCGACCCGCATCGGACATCACCGCCTGCACTTGCGTGAGGTTGGGTGACCACTACTGACCAGATGGCAGTGCACTCGAGACTATAACCAAGCTGACAATATATAGTTGCATCCCACAAGATTTTCTCTACAACATCTAGTCAAACTTGGATCGGTCATAGTTGGCTCCCCCGGCGCGTCTCAGACGCGTCACAATCTCGTCCTGTATCATTCGTTTCAGCACGATCGTCAATGGGATATGGATGAACTGACCTGATCGAGATCGGCCTTGGTGGATGCTGAGACTTCGATAGAGTATGCGCGGAGGACCTTCTTGACGTCGGCAGCGTGCACAGAGACCTGCTCGGGTGTCAGCACTGATCTTGTCCAGGGTCCCCCTCCTTAGATCTCCTTTGTTTCCCTCTATCTCCCTGCTCCTCGAGTCACAAAACACTCACCCTAGCCCTTCGCATGACCTTGACATCCTCCCCAATCCACGTGATCAAAGCAAACTTCTCCCTGAAAGAGTGCTCGTCATTGACATAGCGCACTTTGACATAGGCGAATGAAGCGTTCTCGGGTTTCAGATGGGATGCGAGTTCAGAGAGGTCGCCGGTTCCGGTAGCTGACAGGACGAGCTTGGAGGACTTGTCGGACTGCGGGAGGTAAGGCGGGGGAGAGAGGTGGGGCGTGCCACGTCGGTGGAGTTGAGGGATGGTGCGGTAGGCGATACAGGGCGTTATATGGTGTTACAGAGCAGACAGTAGATGGGCATGAGCATCCTGTACTACCAACACTATCCAACACCCACCTCATAGTCGAGCAACAACCAAGCATCCTCAGCTCCATTAACCCTAATCTTCTCGTACGCTGCAAGTCGTCCGCGCGTCAGTTGCCATCCTCCCTGCACCCCGCATCACGCCCGGCTCACCTTCGCTGATCTTGGGGTCTGATACGTCTGCCATGATGGCTGTGGGATACTTTTGTGATGCATGCAAGAGTTCAGATACGTCGCCATCTCCATCTCTCGTTGCGCACTCTGATCAGGTACGCCCGAGATCCGGACACCTTCACTATCCGCCACAAGCCGACAACGAACGAACGACTTGTGTTGATCATGAATCTTTCTTGCGACTGTCCTTCTCTATACATTCCGCAACAAACCGAGATGGTGCAGGTCAACTCCCCAACAGACCATGGGCCCATACCCCCCACAGCTCCAGGGCAGGTCCAACCCGAAGTCGCCCCTCTCTCTGCTCTCCTCGCCCATCCGCTCTTGCAAGATCCCAAATTTGTCGCCGCTGCTGGCGGTCTGGCGTTGATTGTCTTGCTATTCGCTAGTAAGTGTTGACTTGTGAAAGATGTATAGTGGGGGGCTGATGGGATGTGTACAGTTCTGAGACCGGGGAAGAAGGGTGCTAGGCGGAATGGACCTGCGACGGTACTCTTGGTCGGGCCTGCCGACGGGGGCAAGACTAGTCTCTTTACAAAGGCGAGCTGTTCCCATAGCTATACTCTAGCAAGCGCTTACATCTCTATAGCTTGCATTCAACACCCACCTTCCGACCCACACTTCCATCATCTCCTCCTCCACCACCTTCTCCCTCTCATCTCCTTTCTCGGACGATGGCCAGCCGAAGCAAGTCCGGCTTGTAGACTTGCCAGGACACCCCAGGCTTCGAGACGAAGTGAAAAAGTACGAGGCGGAAGCGGCAGCGGTGGTGTTTGTGGTGGATATCCAGGGGGTGATTAGGAATGGTTCTGGCGTTGCCGAGTATGTACTCTTTCGCAATCATTCTCGTTATCATGCTCATAGACAAAAGGCAACTCCCCCCGATCCTCGCATCACTCGCTTCTCTCTCAACCCACCTCCCTCCCTCCGCCCCTCCCCCCAAACTCCTCATCCTCGCCCACAAAAGCGACCTCCTCATCCGCCCCGCCCCCACCACATCCCTCTCTCCCCCCGACATCCCCGAGACATCCCTGAAAACCGCCACCGACAGACTCAAATCCATCCTCACCCGCGAGATGGACCGCCTAAAATCCACCCGCGCATCCACCGGGGGCAGGATCGAAGGCATGGGTAAAGTCGCTGGTTCTTCCTCAAGCTTTTTCGCGCGGATCTTTGGTTCTGGTGGAGGGGGTGCGGGCGGGGCGGAGGGGGAAGGGGAGGAAGATGACGAGTCGTTGGTTTGGGGTGGGAAGGGGCCGTTTAGGTGGGAGGATGTGGAGGGGGTGGAGGTCGAGTGGGCTGCGAGTGGGCTGGGGGTGCCGAAGGAGGGAGATGTGGAGGAAGGGAATGGGCTTGATGAGTTGAAGGCGTTCTTGTGGAATATCTAGAATGCGCGATGTATCTTGGGCGTTTATGCATGCTTGGGATTGCTGTGTAAGTGCAGATACCGCCATACAGCATGATATTGGTTAGCGTGAGATTAGCGCCAGTGGGTTATCGGGACCAAACAAAGCCTTCATACACCATCCTTTGATGTAATCGCTATTGCATCGTGTATCCATCCTTGCGAATTGACTGACTCACTGCTGATCGCAGGAGGAGAGTTGTAGCTAACAGAGCGAGGAGTGACTTGGAGGCTGATAGAGAGGACGTTGAGATATGTTGGTGGGTGTTGTACCATGACCCCGAATATCATCATTGCACCTGCATAGTGTCTCAGTGGCAATTGGGTCTCTGCATGCACCCACCACAAGCGCGGTGGACTGCATGGAGGGCATGTTGGACGACGGTTGTTCGCTGAGCGGCATCGGATTTGGGCGGCGAATTGTCCGAGGTGCGATTGGGCGAGGTGGCCCGCTCCGCCCGCACCTTCTTCGCCGTCTTTTGCAGCAGCATTCACCTCTTTCATCTCCAAAACACCATGCTCAGAACACAGTCCCGCCTCGCCGCCGCCGCCCCTGCCATCACCCGCTCAGCACTCCGAGCCACCGCCCTCCCCAGACATGCCGCCCCCCAAGTGTGCGTGTCGTCCACGGCCTCATACGCTCGCGCCGTCGTCTGTTGCGAGGTGTCTTCCTGCTCAGCCGGAGGTAGTACTTCACAGAGATTGTATGCTGACAATAACACCCTTCTTGGCTTGTGCTACATAGGTCTCGGGTCGTGCTGAAATCTGCGTCTTCGCATCTTCTCCTCCGCTCCAGCTTCCACTCTTCTGCTACTCGTCTCGGTACGTCTCCGCCTATATACATGTGCTTGCCACGAGCACTCTCTATAGCCCACAGGCTGACGTTGCTATGCAGCCGAAACCGTAAAGGTCCCTCAAATGGTTCGTTCCAGCCCACGTATCCCTCCGCCTATCACCAGTCGCTAATTCTAAATATTGTTTCTTTTCAATCGCAGGCCGAATCGATCACAGAAGGTACTCTGAAACAATGGAGCAAGGCTGTTGGAGACTTTGTCAAGCAGGACGAGGAAATCGCTACCATTGAGACTGACAAGGTGAGTCTTGCGCCGTTGCCGCATCGGCTTTGCCGCTCCTCGCTTTTGAACGCGGCCTGACAACATGTTTCACAGATCGACGTCTCTGTCAACGCCCCCATTTCCGGTACCATCACCGAGCTCCTCGCCCAAGAAGAAGACACTGTCGAGGTCGGTGCCGACCTCTTGAGGATCGAGCCCGGAGAGGGCGGTTCAGAATCGTCCGAGTCCAAGCCCCAGGCCAAGTCTGAGCCCAAGGAGGCGCAGGAGGGCAAGAGGGACGACCCCGCCCCCGAGTCTCACAGGGAGAAGAACGCCGGAGAGGAAAACTTGAAGAAGCACGATGAGAAGGCACCCAAACTTGAGCAGAGCAAGGAGGAGAAGCCTGCGCCCAAACAGGAGGCTCCCAAGCCCAAGAAGGAGGAGAAGAAGGAGGTCCAGCCCGAGAAAGCCCTTGGAAGCAGGAACGAGACCAGGGTAAGCACTATCGTATCTCTGCACGGCAATCCTAACATCTTTTGTAGGTCAAGATGTCCCGAATGCGTCAGACCATTGCCCAGCGTCTCAAGGCTTCCCAAAACTCTGCCGCTTCCCTTACCACCTTTAACGAAATCGACATGTCTTCCCTCATGGAGTTCCGTAAACTCTACAAGGACGGTGTCCTTAAGGCCGACGGCGTCAAGCTCGGTTTCATGTCTGCCTTTGCCAAGGCTTCTTGTCTCGCCTTGAAGGAGATCCCCGGCGCCAACGCTTCCATCGAGGGCGACTCTATCGTCTACAGAGATTACGTCGACTTGTCCGTCGCTGTCGCTACCCCCAAGGGTCTCGTGACCCCTGTTGTCCGAAACGCCGAGTCTATGGGTCTCGTCGAGATTGAGCAGGCTATCGCCGAGCTTGGTAAGAAGGCCCGAGACAACAAGCTCTCCATCGAGGACATGTCTGGCGGCTCTTTCACCATCTCTAACGGTGGTGTCTTTGGCTCCCTCTTCGGTACCCCCATCATCAACCTCCCCCAGGCCGCTGTTTTGGGTATGCACTCTATCAAGGAGAAGCCCGTCGTCGTCAACGGCCAGATCGTTATCAGGCCCATCATGGTCGTCGCCCTCACGTACGACCACCGATTGCTCGATGGTAGGGAGGCTGTTACTTTCCTTGGTACGTCATGTCTCTTGATTTTGTGCGAAAATGATTAAAGCTGATTCGGGGATGCAGTGCGAATCAAGGAATATATTGAGGACACCAGGAGGATGTTGCTCCCTTCCCCTCTCTAAGTGAGGTTGATGGGAGTGCAGGTGGTGGAGCGAGTGAAATGGGGAGGACAGGAGCATTTTCCATGATCGGTGTACTATCACATTTCTTTCCTGATGCAGCATCATTAGTCATCTCCTTCATGTTCGAGCCTTCTGTCGACCGTATGAGAACGTTATCAAAAGTACACTCATGGCGGCACCGAGTCCAGCGGGCGCAACTAGCCGCTCCCTCTGCACGCCTCAAGGGCATGCCGTCGCAGGACTGCTCTCCGCCGCAAATGTACTCCACACCTGCCTCCTGCCAAGATCAGCTCGCATTTGTGCCTTCCACTGCGGTCCCAAACATTCCGACTTCCGAGAGGCACCAAACAATCGGAAGAGTAGTGAGTGACCAATGACGTAATGCCGTGATTTATGTGCGCAGGTTTGTGGCTTGATGGTTTAACGCGTTTTGGATTTCCTGAAGGTCGTCTCGAGTGGATATCCATCTTGCTTCTGCATATATCACGGACTAGAGTGCCCCTCCCATGTCGAGCACGACCACCAAGGCCGCCTCCGCATCCACCTCCTCCTTCGTCACCTCCCTCGCCACCAATTTTGCCATTGCAGGGGGCGAACTGGTGGCATGGATCCTCCTCAGGCGCTACATCAAGGCCATGTGAGTTGGGAGAGCAAGCGCCGTAGGGCTGCAGGGTTGGGCCGCTGATCATACACCGCAAACAGCTATGAGCCAAGAACATACATCCCGCCTAGAGACAACCAAGCTCAGCCCATGAGCAAACATCCGCTGAAACCGTTATGGCAGATCCTCAAGGCGAGCCCGGAAGAAGTGCTGGAGAAGAATGGTGTCGATCCGTATGTCTATCTGCGGTTCCTTATCATGATGGTCAAGATTATGGTACCTATATGGGCGCTGTCATGGGCGATTCTGCTTCCTGCGGACGCTGTCAAGTCTCAAGTCAATGGCAAGACGGGACTTGACAAGTTGACTTTTGGAAATGTGGCTTCGACCAAGCAAGACAGGTACTGGGCGCATTTGATTCTAAACTACATATTTGTCTGTGAGCCCTCATATTATTATGATTCGGAACAGGAGAACTAATGATAAGCAGTCTGGATCCTTGTCAATGTCTGGAGAGAGATGAGAAATTGGCTGGTCATCCGACAAAAACATCTGATCAACCCAGCCCACTCCAAGCTCGCGCAAGCCAACACTGTTCTGGTGACCGGCATCCCTGAAGATTTCTTGGACGAGCACAAGCTGGCGGGTCTCTTCTCCTACTTGCCGGGTGGTGTCAAGAGGATCTGGCTGGTCAGGTATGTCGTCTTGACCAACAATGATGATCAGGGCTAAACTCCCCTCACAGAAATCTCAAAGAGATGCCCGGCCTCTATGAACGTCGTCTCAAAGCCGTCAACCAGCTCGAATCATCCCAAGTCAAACTCATCAAATTCGCTCGCGCCTACAAAGAAGAGCGTGAGAAGAAGAGTGGAAAGATGGAAAAGAAGAACAAGACGGTGCCCGACACTCTTTCGGGGCCCATGAATCCGCAATTGCTCAAGCAAGGATCAGACGGCAAAGTCAATGGCTCAGCCAATGCAGAGGAGGGCCGTGTCTTTACGTCCGTCGAAGAACTGGGTCTCGCCGACCAACTCGTGCCCCGCTCCAAACGCCCCACTACCCGGCTGAAGCCCAAGTGGGCGCCCTTTGGGCTCGGCTTCCTTGCTATCGGCAAAAAGGTCGATGCGATCGATTGGGCGAGGGAGGAGATTGTCAAGACGACAGAAGAGTTGCAGATCAGTCGGGAGCAGTTGAAGAAGGATATAGAGTCGATCGGGATCGCAGAGGACAAGTATCCGCCGCTCAATTCGGCGTTTATCCATTTCAATCAGCAGATTGCGGCCCATATGGCGGCACAGTGTTTGGACCACCACCGGCCGTAAGTCTTACCTCCTGCGTGGATTGGCGCTTTGCTAATTTATATGCAGATACGCTATGCAATCGCGGTATATCGAGCAATCACCCAAGAATGTGATCTGGGGAAATCTTTCTATGGGTCCTTACGAGAAGAACATCCGAACCGCCATATCCTGGGGCGCCACCTTTGGTCTCATGGTTCTTTGGACTACACCCGGTACGTCTATCACTTGCACTTCGTCCAACAAGTGTCTGACTGTTTAATAGTCGCGTTCATTGGTGTCTTGTCCAACGTCACGACACTGACTACGGAATATCATTGGCTTGCCTGGATTAATGGAGATGGATTTGGGTACACAATCCTGCAGGGTGTAATCAGTGGTGTGCTTCCGCCCATCTTGCTCGGTATCTTGATGGAAATCATTATTGGTGTTTTACGATGTGAGTTGTTTCCCTGCTTGCGAGGGATCACGCAAAACTCACAAAGTCGCATAGCCCTCTCTGCATTCGAAGGTCACCCCAGTAAAACCGAAGTAGAGTTCAACCTCATGACCCGTTACTTTATTTTCCTCGTCTTCCACACCTTCTTCGTCGTCACCCTTGCTTCCGGTCTGATCTCTGCTGTTCAAGAATTCGCCAACAATCCCGGCTCCGTCGCCACGACTTTGGCGGCCCAAATGCCGACTGCGTCGACCTTCTTTATCACATTGATTTTGGCGCAATTTACAGGAACTATGGGAACCCTTCTGAGGATAGTAAAACTGTTGCTCTACTATGTGAGGGTTATTGCGACTGGAGGAACGCCACGTTCGGTGTTCACTTCAAGATACAAGATGAACGTGGCCAACATGGGTGAATGGTTCCCCAAGATCACAGTCTACGCTGTCATCGGTACGTCCGAGCCCGTGTCTCCGTGTAGATCAGACTGACCAATGTTTCTAGTGATCGCATACTCTGTCATCTCCCCCGTGATCAACGGATTTGGCGCCTGCTTCTTCATCTTTGCGGTGTTTGTATACAAATACGTCTTCATTTGGTGCATCGACGTCGACCCCGCAGCCGATACCGGTGGCATGTTCTTCCCCAAAGCTATCACGCACGTCTTTGTCGGGCTGTATGTGCAAGAGGTCTGCATGTGTGCGCTGTTCTTTCTGGCGAGGAATCAGGACGGCAATGCGTCGTCTGTCGCCCAGGGCGCATTGATGGTTGTGCTCATTGTGGCTACTGTAAGTATTTGCCACCGATGTTTCTTGAATGCCATGGCTGATTATGGGTTACAGGCTGCTAGTCATTATACTATCTTTGTATCCTACAAGCCCCTCCGGAACGCCCTTCCTCTTTCGCTTGCTCATCTCAGTTACGGTATGCCAGGCCTCAAAGACCGCACGCAAGCATTCCACAACTACTCTTTGAACGACGATCCCGAGAACCCGCTCGAGCTCCAGACATCTCGAGACCCCCTCACCGCTGGTGTCGTCAAGGCAACCAACCTTATACCGTCCAAGTTGAGGATCGACACTAAGATCGGCGACAAATTCAAGCAGAAGAACGCACTTTCGAGTACTTCCGACAGGGAGTACGGAGTGTCGCCGAGGGTAGTGGAGAGGCCGTCGGATGATGTAACGTTGGCGGAGAGGGACTTTGCTCAGCAGCCGGGCGGAGCAGGGGCAATTTCGAGAGAGGAAGAGCAGATGACAAGAGGAGAGGAAGTGGAGCTGCAGGAGCGATGGAGTGGTGAAGAAGGGGATCTGTCCCAGGTGCCGAGGAACGTTGAAGGGCTTGAGAACGGGCACCCCGACGAAGAACCCACTCCCGCTTCTGCCACTTCCCCGGGGCGCCCCATCCCTCGTCCCCCCTCACCATCTGACTCGATCGCCTCAGTCGAAAGCACAAAATACTTTGCTCTCCCCGGTGGACCTGGTCTGATCAGCCGACAAGTGGATGACGGAAACGACCCCAATGCGTTCTTCCATCCGGCGACACAAGACCCGCAGCGAGTAATTTGGTTGCCTCAGGATGAGCTTGGTCTGGGACAGGCAGAGGTGGCGCAGAACAAGCGGGATGGAGTCAAATCGAGTTACAGGAACGCGAGATTGGATACGAAGGTGAGTCGTATCCGGTTCAATTCAGGTTGCGTAGCTGACCTCCCTCGCAGAACAAGGTACAGATCTATGGTCCTCCACCGGATGATCTCTGATGATTTTTCTATGACGCTTGGCACTTTACGGACTATCCTGCTTATATTTTTGGCATGAATAATTATCTTGTAGCATCATACCCAACGCAGGCCGTACCCTATATTGTCCAGCGATTATCTAAATTCACAGTAGATTACTGGACGTCTATCGTCTCTTCTTCTTCTTGCTCTTCTTCGTCGTCCCTGTCACCGGTTCGTCCTGGCCAACCTTCAGCAGCTCCGTCAACTTGGGAAATCTCTTCATCGCTCTTGCCATGAGCACCTTATTTTTGACGGTCTTGAATTTTGGCATCCAATCCTCTCTCAAGAGTTCATGCTCGTACTCGGGCGCATAATTGTCCACATCGAGATCGTCGTCTTCGTACTTGTCAATGTATTGCGAGAACAATTCGCCGTCCGGGTGGTAGTGTCGGCGGAGGTACATCTTGAACAAGAAGATCACACCGATGGGAAGACCTGCGCCCACTGCCATAGCTGCTGAGCGAGTCTTGAGGGTGACAGCTGCGATCTTTGTTACCTCATGACCGAGTGGATAAAGGAGCGACTCACTTAGAACCATTAGTATTTGCATCATGACTGTCGCCACCAATACTCGATTGATGATGATTTTCCAGCATTTACCGTCAGTCTCTTTGGAGTCAAACACATACTTGATCTGGTTTGTATGAACGACATAGATGACCCAGAAGTATATGGCTGCGCAGATGACCACCACTGGTGCAAGAGGAGCATACATCAGTCTGAAAAGTCAACGGTCAGTGCTGCACCTCATTGGTATATGGGCTGTCTTACCCGACAACCATAGCAAAAAGCTGTCCATCGAATGTCAGTACAATACCTGCAGTTCGAGTATAATTGAACATACCACATGTGAGTACTCGATAGCAAACTTGAATACTGGTCAGCGCACATAGCGAGCAGAAGTCTATACGTATCAACTCACCTCGAAGTTCTCTGGTTGCGCGACTTCAGCCAAGTCATGAGGGGTCTTGATCGTCAGAAGTTGTGGTGTCTTCTTGATGAGCCTTGGTATCTGTAAAAGCTGCAGAAAGGCCACGACTGATCGGATTCTACAAAGTCTTAGCTTGCGTGTGTTCCCAAGAATGATACTCACGGATACCATGATAGCCAGTACAAGCTCTCCGATATATACGCTCTTGTGATCTTTGCGGGTACATCACCAAGACTAGCATATATTGTGCTCCAGCTCTCTTGTCCTATATCCTCCGATATCGTGAGGTATGTCTCATACAGTACGCCCAACAGGGAGAACACGATGAAGTTTGACACTAGCAAAAAGATGAACAGTTGTCGGATGACAGCTTTGTCCAGCTGCCCTCGGGTAAGAGCTCCAGACCAGCGAGAAAGGCGACGCATGATATAAGGGAGAATGTAGGAGAAAAGAGCGGCAATGGTAGCAGGAAGGATGCCTGCAATGACGGTGAATATGGCATTCCATATATCGGAGGACTCTGCGAGCTTGGCCAGGGTAGGCCACCTGTTAATAGCCTACAGTCCTGTCAGTGAAATGACCTGAGTCTGTATTCTGGTTCTCACAGTGTTCAAATTGGCCAGTACGGTGACAATCATCACAGGGATAGTGTTGATGAAGCAAATGATCACGAGAATGACCTTGCCAAGAACGGCGTGCGAGTGTCGAGACTTGCCGTCTCTTTCGAGATTCTGCCAGAGCTGCATTATATTATCGGTAAGCACAACATCGGCTGACCAAATCACACTACTACGCACCACGTTCTGCGATCTTGGAGCCTGCCCAGAAGTCATCAGCCGGGTACCAAAGATCAATTGGCCGTGCTTACCCGTTGAATGTGATAACCAGCTTCCTTCAGCTTGTCTTTACTATCTTTGAGCACCTCTCGCGCTTTCTTCGCAGTCGGTACCGTCAAGAATGCGGAGGTCACGGTGCCTTTCAGCTTGGTATACTTGACATCTACCTGCCCTTTCCGGATTTGATCCTGAAGATGCTCGATATTCCGCTTCTCTGTCAACGCATCGTCCCTGAGAGCTCGTCAGTGAGTTTTTGGGTGCCCGAAAAGATTACCACGCACACTCGATCTTGTGCAGACTTGCTCAAGCCACATAGTCTTCCCGAGCAACTGTCATAAAACACCCCTTCTCCGCTCTCGTAAAACGTTTCCATTGATACCGCTTTGATCGCCCACTTTAACTTCTTCTTCTTGAATTCTTCCATCTTTTCATGCAGAGGGTTCATATTGTGCACTGCAAACCAAACGCTAGAATCAACTTTGCTTCGGTGTGGTCCGAGGATGAGCGATTTGATCTCTCGTTTGGCATCAGCGACTGTTGAGATGGACTTTGATGGGTTGGGTCGGATCGCCAGGTTTGTGATCATGAGGGTCTTGAAGGAGACTTCGCTGTAGTTCCTAATACTGATCAGCTTGGGCATGCCAGAGCTGCAATGGACACTCACATGTGCGTCCATTCTTGAACCAATTTCAGGTGATGCGCACATGCCTTCAAGACTACGTTGTTGAGTCAGCTCTAGATCTCATACAGCTATATGTCGCTCACCGAATACAACTACCATCATGGTCACAATCCACTCGAAGGATATATGCACCAACAGTCCATTACTCGTGATATTTGCGGCAGTCAACAGCTGGGGATTTTCGATGATTGATGTGCTATTTGACCCAGCTGTGCTCACGGATGTCGAGTTACTGCTGGCGGCGCTTGCAGTACTGGTCTCTGCTCTTCTTCTTGCGCTTTCCAACGCTTCTGTGGGACTGACGGCACTTGTGCCTCCATATGAAGTCTGAGTGTTGAGATAGAAATTTGCAATTGCCAGTAGACATGCCAAGAACGCCACGACCGTGAAGAGGTATTTGAGTAAGCGAAGGAAGATCAAATAGACTATTGCATCGAGACCAAGCATATGAAGAGTCCTTAGACCAAGTCAGCCGTCAGATCACCACGAACAAGTCGACCTACTCACTTGAGGTCTTGTTCAAAGAGGCTTGGTTTCGAGGCAGATTGCTTGATCTTCCTACCTTTCTCATCTGTGACCGTTTCTTTGGGTATCAGGAAATCCATCCAGCGGGGCAAAGCCGACCGGAGCTCGACCATTGTCTCTCTCCACGTTGGTTTGAGCCACCCCAAGTAGCCTTTAACGGCCTGTACTTCCAGTTCAGCTTCCAGCACAGTGGCCACTTGGTATATCACTCACCCTAGGAGCCCTTGCCACCCACTTGCCCTTCAAATTCTCTCCATCGGGATAGTAGTCTGGTTTATTTTCCTCCTTCTTGTCCATATACGCCTTCCTGTCTCTCGCGCTCATCTTGTCTAGCATCTCCTTCTCCTTCCTCTTCTCTTCTGGTGTGCGTGACGTTTTGCGGACTTTGAGACGAGGGAGATATATGAGCTTCCATCTTGGACGGGCGGCAGAGTAGATAAGGACGATGAGGAGCTAAAAAGCGTGTTCAGAATGTCTCCTTTCCTGCTAGTACCAGGGGGACTCACAGCTCCCGCCGCTGTAAGGGCCCAAGCGGCAAGGATAGACTTGGCAGAAACATTCCAGTGCTCCTCCGCCTCCTCGATGAGATCTGAGGCCGTGATTCCATTCGTCGTGGTACTGGCGGACGCTTGTGTTGTCGTGTCCGCATCGTCGGCCCTGGCTGCTAGTGTATGGGATAGGTTGGCAATTATCTGGCGATGGAAAGAGGGCCCGCGGGCGTGGGGTATGTCGGAGAGTCGATAGCGAGCTGGGTAAGGCGGCATGGGTTGAGGAGGTCTATATACATGATGAGTTGGTCCACCATGAACCAGTGTAGAGCTTCAGCAGCCTGGCAGGAGATATACGTTAGTGGGAATGAGAGGGGCGACAGGTAAGATGGTAAATCTTGGAGAGCCCATACTGTTTCGCCGAGGACGAGAGATGAAAGGATATAAAGGGACACCTGGTCAGGCCCGGAGGCGAGCTGCAAAGGAATGAATGTCGGTTTTCTCATCTCTCGGCCCTCAGTAGAAGCCGCGCCTCGGAGAGGGCTCGGAGAGGTGTCAGCCACATTCGCATACACGCACGGAGTTGAAGGGTCGTAGTCCATCTATCTGGCAGTCGATGACTTTGGTCAATCTGGTCTTCCTGCTTGTGATATAGAGAGTTTCCTCTCGTATGGGGAAAAGGTCTCGCTACCTTCTCTTGTCACAGCTAGATAGGCGTATGTGGAAGGCGCGAAGATGGTTTGATCAGCGAAGCACACCTCAATGCAAACTACTCTTATCTAATAGGATGGAGAGCCCTTGGATTACAAGCCGGCTGACTTTCCTAACCTAGTGATATGTACAGAGTGTGAATACTTCGTCGCATTTTTGAGAGATGATCCGCAAACCTGAGATGGGCCGCCAAGGAGAATATGGTGGTACAGGGAGGAGAGCAGACGTTATCGTTCTGTGGTATGATCAGCGAGTACTGACCTCCGAGTACTCCTCTCGAGACCTCGACGAACTCGACGCGTTCTAGTAGGAACACATAATGACGTGGCATTAAGCTTGAATGAGGTGATTTACAAAATCGCGTCGCGCCCCCCTGGGCTTCCGTCGTTTGGTCCGTTGAAGACGATACTTTCTGCATTGTTGTCTTTTTCGATATTGCCAGACACATCTTGCTGAGCCCGCTATACTTTCTTTCTGACTGTCCATCTTGCTGCTACACGCCCTATCGCCCATCTCGGCCTATATCGGAACACCGACGCTCGACCATCTCGCCCTGCCTACGTCCATCACCCGTCTGTAGCCCCGTCAAATTCAAGATGCCGTTGTCTCAAGCTGCCATCAAGGATTTGATAAAGGATACTTATGAGCCCGGTGGTCCTGAGGTGAGTGATGCCGCTTGAAAAGCGACACAGAGCACGCGTGTCATATCATCAGCGCGTCGCGTCGGTGTCTGGATTTTTATGACTCGTCGTGGAAAACGCGTGTGTAAAGTTGAGGCTGACCCTTATTGTAGCCTATGTCCGCTGGATACGAGGCTTCTATCAGAAATCACCTTGCGGGATTCCCCAACGATACAAACTTTGTCACCGAGCTCGCCGAGGCCGGCAAAGATAAGGGAGGAAATGGCTTTGGTATCGTCGTCTGTGAGTTTTAAACAACTCCCTTCTCACGCGTGGATGGCTGACGTGAGATATCAGGTATGGAAGAATACTGCTGGACAGAAATCGCCCTGACCGCCGACCCCGCCAAGCCTGACGGTGGCAGAAGCATTGGCTGGGGCTCAATGTTGGCGTTCCAAGTGAGTCTACCCCGAGTCTCTCAAGGTGGTCCACATCGAGTGCCTGCTGACGATAGCAGAGCCACTGCGGGAGCTCTGCGCACGTGCGAGGGAAGACTGAACGCTGCAAAAAGCTGGTGAGTGGACGCGTCGCACCCAAACGCGTGGATGCGCACTGACCCGGTTGACTCACCCATCCTTTCCCGACACGCCCATTTCATATATATACCACAGAAAATCCCCATCGAGAAACCATTTCCCTCTTCTGCATCTCAACCTTCTCTCGCCACCCCCACACCACCGCGCACCCTGCCCTCTACCACCAAGAGCACTGGCAAACAGGTTCGCACCTCCATCCTCGACGCCATGTCCTCTCCTCCTTCCAACCGCACCCCTTCCGCCCCCTCTGGGGCTACCGTCGCCAGAGCCACCCCGACCCCCGCTAGTAAAGTGTCTCGCGCCGCACCCTCTCGCCTGTCAAGTTCATCTTCCCACGGCTCCAAGGTTGTGCAATCCTCATCATCAAACGCGTCATCTCGTGAGCCTCTTGCGTCCGTCAACAAGAACACGAATGGTAAGGGTAAGCAACCAGTCCGTCAGGCGAGCTCCCCCTCCGGCCCTGCGCCCTCGTCTGGCCTCCTCGGAGAGGACGAGACTGAAGAAGACATGGCTACTATCGAGGAGCAGAACAGACGGTTTGACGAGATCTTTGCTGCGAAGCGCGAGCCTGTCGCGTCTGAGCCTGCTTCGTCTCCCTCGATCACGAGACCTAGTTCCGCCAGTGCTGGAATCACGAGACCTACCTCCGCCACTGCTGGGCCTTCTAACGCTGGTGCTGCAGGTGTACTCCCTGCTCCCGCTGTCGATCTGGCCTCTGCCGACTACATGCAAGTATACTCTCTGATCCATCAAGATGTCACCGCAAATAAGAGCGGTCTCGGTATTGGTACGTTACTTGTTGTGATCTTGTTGAACTGTGCTTACTATATCGCAGAGCATGTTCCTCACGGAGACAAGGAGCAAAAGTACGCCGCCGAAGCGCAGCATCTCGTCAAGTCTCTGTCATCGTGAGTTACTTCACTTGTCATCTACTTCTACTGACCTTTCATATCAGCTTCTTGCAGGACAAACTCAAGCTGCGCCTCATTCTTACTCGCATCAAGTTTCTTCGAGAGAAGCTCGTGTCGCCCGATACCGTCTACCCATACGTCGGTCCTTCCATCGACATGGTCATCGCTTTCCAGAATCTTCCTACCGTGATTGCCAAGGGCGCTACGTACCTGCATGACCTTGCATCGGGAGCAGCGACGGGGCGGTTGATGCAGATTTCGTGCGGGTGCAATGGCGCTAGCCACTATATCCCGCTCTGCGTCAAGTCAAAGGCTGCAATCGCCCCTCCATCTCCTGCATCCGCCGTTGACAACTCCCACATGTCCCAAATCAGCCAGGCGCCCTACCCCAATGCATATGCTGGGTCTAGTGGTAGAGCCGGCAATTCGGGACAGATTAGGGATACCATGGGGTTGTTGAGTCAGCCTGGGTATGGCGGGGGCCACGGTTTCATGGGGCTGGATGATGGTGATGATGACGCGGACGATGAGATGTCTTTTTTCCATCGTGACATCGCTACGCCTCAGGAGTGAGTTGAACCTTCTCTATTTCCCAGAAACCTCGCTGATATAAGCCAAGTCTGGCTACCTTCTTCGCCGAGAGTTTCGGGAACTTCGCCTCCGACTCCACGGTTGAAGACGATCTTCGAGTCCTCGGCCTCAACTCTCTCAAGGATTCTATTCCCGGCCTTCGTATCCAGCTCATGCCGCATCAAGTCATGGGCGTCAGCTTCATGACCCGTCAGGAGAAGAACCTCGCCTTCAAGGGTGGTATCAATGGCGATGCGATGGGTTTGGGTAAGACGGTGCAGAGTATTGCTACTATCGTGGCGAACCCGAGTCAGGATCCCAAGCAGAAGACGACTTTGATCGTGGCGCCTTTGGCGTTACTTGGCCAGTACGTGCTCTTCTCATCCGGTCGGGTGGAGGCTAACGAGAAATCATAGGTGGAAGGCCGAGATCGAGAGCAAGACTACTCCTGGTCTTCTCAAGGTTCACATACACCATGGTCCCAAGCGTACGGCCTCCATCGCCGCTTTGAAGCAATACGACGTCGTCCTGACCACTTATGGTATGCTCGTTTCGGAAGGTCCGAACGAAGTGAATTCTGTCAATTGTACTGTTATGATAGCATAGCTGACACAGAATTCGTAGAAAAAGATGATCGACGAGGATGGTAAACAATTTGTTGACAAAAAGAAGATCGGGCCCCTCATCAAGACCAATTGGTACCGTATCATTCTCGACGAAGCGCATCAGGTCAGCATCAATCATTCCAAGATCGGACAGATCTAATTGTTCTATAGATCCGAAACCGCAAAACTCAAGCTTCCAAGGTCATCTACACTCTCAAGGCTCATCTCCGTTGGTGTCTCACTGGAACTCTGGTCGTCAACTCGTTGGACGACATCTTCTCGCACTTGCACTATCTGAATATTTCACCCATGTCGCAATGGGAAGTGTTCAGAGAACAAATCAGCAGGATGCAGAAGAGGTCTCCCAAGCTGGCTACCAAGCGTATCCAGGTATGTCCTTCAACTGCTCTTGTTCACCGTTCAAAAGTCCTGATGATATGTCCATAGACGATTCTCAAAGGCTGTATGATTCGACGACACAAGGATACCCTTTTGAACGGCAAGAGGCTGCTTGAGCTCCCCCCCAAGACGACTACGATCTGCGACCTCAACTTTTCCGAGGAAGAGAGGCAGATCTATACTGCTGTTGAGAACCGCTTCAAGGTCACTTTCAACACGTTCCTGAGGAAGGGTACAGTCCTGAAGAACTATCATGTGGTGTTGGTCATGTTGACACGTTTGCGACAATTGACTTGTAAGCTTTCTTGTACTGTACCTGAAAGGCCAACCGCTGATCTGTATCAGGTCACCCTTGGCTTCTTCGCCGGAACCCGAACGATATCATTCGCGATGGCGACGTGGTCATCACCGACGAGGATCTCTTTGGTGGTGTCGAAGCTCCCAAGACTGATGACATCTCGGAACAAGCCCGAGCTTCCACCCTCGTCGGCCCCGAGTTTGTCGAGCGAGTCAAGGGCATCATGCTCGAGCGAAGCAAGCGTCTGGAAACCGCTTCCGACAATGACAACGGTGAAGCCGGTGACTGCGAATGCAGTATCTGTTACGAACAGTTCATCAACGAGCGCATCACTCCCTGCTGTCATTCATTCTGCGCCGAGTGTATTGACAACATCTTCAACTCTGCTCAAGGCAACGCGGACCTCGATGACGCGGACGTGCAAGCAGGGAGGAGGAAATGTCCTTTGTGCAGGACAGTGATGGACAAGCACAAGATCTTCCGGGCTTCCGCTTTCGAGCCCAAGGAGCCAACCGAGGATGAGGAAGACAATTGGGGCGAGCAGGCGGAGGAGGATGATGCGGAGG